ACCTCGCTCCACTCCCTTGCACCGCTCTGCACCGCAGCAGTGCCGCCTGCCAGGGACCAGAAGGAACCAGCAGGCCGGTCATGGGGGTGCAGAGACCACAAGGCGGGGTGGGGCGGGCAGTGCAGGGAGGAGGAGGCAGCACACCCACTGCCTGCATCTGACACCTGCTGCTCGCTGCCGGCCCTCTGCTGCTCACTGCTGGTGGGGGCGTGTCGCTGGTGGTCCCCAGACAGCACACCCACGTGTCGCTCCTGCGCCTCGTGCTGCGGCCACCAGGGCTGCGGGGTGGTGGTCTGGGGGTGCTGGGCGGGGGGGTGGCTCGTATGGTGGCGTGGGGGGAGAGTTGGCGGGGGGAGGATGGGCGGAGGGCGCTGCCCCATGGAGTGGGTGTGGGCGCGGGGGATGAGCAGGGGATGGGGGGAGAGAGAGGGGGAGGAGGGGGACGTGGAGGAAGGGGAGGCGGGAAGACAGGGGAAGGAGAAAGGGGAGGCGTCTGGAGGGGAGGTGTGCGAGGTGTGCGGGGGGGAGTGTGTGTGCTGGGATGCAGCGGGGGTAGGTGCATGCCACTCGTGGCTCTTGGAGCATGCACCACCACCAGCAGCAGCAGCAGCACTACGGGGTAGCAGCGCAGCAGCAGCAGCGCAGTCAGCACTGTGCCGCGTCCACTCCGCTCCCGCTGCCCCCTCCCCGTGGGATGCACGCTCCGCTTTGAACGGCTCCTCTGTAGCAAATGGTGACACCACTGCTGGCCCCTCCACTGCCGATCCCTCCGCTGCCCGCTCCCACTCCCGCTTCCGCTCCTGCTCCCGCTCTCGCACTGCCGTGTGCGCCTCTTGCTGCCGCTGCCCACCCTGTCCCTCGCCCTGCTCTCTCCCTCGCTCCTCTCCCTCCCTCTCCACACTCCGCCCGCTCATCCTCTCCCCCACTGCCGTCACCTCCCTGCCACTCACCTCCCCAGCCTCCTCTCTTGCCTCCGCCACCCCTCGTGGCCCCTCAGCACCGCTCTCAACCCACTCGTTGTCAAGCACCCGAGCCACCTCCCACACCACCCCTGCCACCACCTCACTGCCTGCCTCGCCTGAACCCGCGTCCCTACCCTCCCCTCTCACCCCAGCAGTCTCACCACTCATCCGCACACCCTCACCTCTCGGCCCTCCACCCTGCTCATACCCCCCTGCAAGGCCGCTCCCCTTGCCTGCCCCTGCGTGCAGCCCTGCAGCGGAACCACTAGAATGAGAGGCAGCACCCGTGGCGTCACCACGGCCCTCCTCTCCTCCCTGCCTCACTTCCCCGCCTCTCTTCATCTCCCTCCCGCCCCTCTGCCCTGCATCCCCTCTCACTCTCCTGCTCCCATTCCTCACCGCCTCACCTTCACTCCCCACCCGCCGCACTTTCCCTCTCCTCCTCTCCTCATCCCCCTCTCCGTTCCCTCGCCCCACATCTTCTGCCCCTCCCTCCGCCTCAACCCTCTCTCCATTCCGCCTCAGAATCGCCCCCGCAGCACTGCTGCTGCTCCGCACCTCCCCGTTGCGCGCGCCCACGCGCCTCCCCGCGCGCGGCTTGCCCCCCTGCGCGCCGTCCAGCGCATGCACGCCCGCGCCCCCCCCGCCCTTCCTGCTGTGCGCCGCTGGCGGCGCTACTCGCCGCGCTGGCAGCTGTGGCACCACAACCACCGCTGCTGCACTTGCCACTGCTGATGCAACTGTAACTGCAGGTGCTGCTGGTGACACGGGAGGAGGTGCGGGCGGGGCTGCGAGGGTGGAAGGTGGTGGCGGAAGGAGCTGACTGTGTTCACTTGTCACCGTCAGGGTGCCCTCCGCCTTCTCTCCCACCCTAACTCCGCGTCCCTCCGCCTCTGTCTGCTGCTGCTTCCGCCTCCCCTGCTCTTCTTCCCCTTGCCTCTGCTGCTTCTCTCCCTCGCCCTGCGCCCGTTCTTCCTTTATCTTTGCTGACCATCCACCTCCACCCTCTCCTCTTGCTGCCTCCTCTGCTCCTCCGCCTTTTCTGCCACCTCCACCTCCTCCTGCTTCCGCCCTTTCTGCAGACTCCACCCCCTCCCCCCTCTCCTCCCCCCTCTCCTCCCCCCTCTCCTGCATCAGCGCACCTGCCATTCGCCGCACTGTGACCAGTTGCCCCTCTCCCCCTCCAAATCCCCCCTCTTCCTCCCCGTCGCTCCCCCCGGTTGCGCCAGTCGCCACCACCAGCGCCAGCGCGCGAGTCAGCGCCTCCATCTCCCTTCCCCCCTCTCCGCCTTCTCCCCCTTCTCCCCAGCGCATGCTGCCCCTGCTAATCCCCCCCACAATCTCCATTCCCCCCGCTCCCCCGTCCTCCCCAACCTCGCGGATCTGCGCAAGCTGCTCGCCCCCCATGGCCGCGCGCAGCTGGTACGCCGCCCGCCGCCACGCGCCTCTCTCCGCCAGCTGGCGCCGCCTCGTGCGCTCCTTGCTGGCGCGCAGCATCTCCAGCTCGGCGCGCAGCGACGCTGACATGGCGTCCCCCGCGTGGTCGCGCTGCTGCACCTGCCGCCGCAGGCTCCGCGCCTCCGCCTCCGCCACCGCCGCGCGCTGCCGCCACGCCTCCTGCTCCTCGCGCACCCGCTCCACCTCCCCCTCCATGCGCGCCGCCAGGGCCTGGTGGTGAATGGGAAGAGGGGAAACAGGGAGAGCATTCAAGTCGCGGAATGCACATGGGATGTGTTGTTGCGACGTGTGGCAGAGAGTGAGAGAAATCAAGCGAGGTGGCAGGACGCATAAGGGTGACACGAGCGCATTCACCATCCCACACCCCCACATCCCGCTCTCACCTGCAGCACGGCCAGGGTGCCATCATTGCCCGAACTGCCGCCCTCGCCGCCCCCGTCGCCACGCTCCCTCTTCCTCTGCCCTCCTCCCGCCTCTGTCTCCGCGCCGCCCCTCTCCTCGTCGTCTCCTTCCCCGCGCTCTACCGCGTGGCCTTCCATGCGCGCTGATACGTCCTTGGTTGTTGCCACGTCAGCGGCGATGCGAGCCATGGTGCGCTCAAGATGAGCCATCTGCAACCGTTGGATCGTGAGGGGCCGACAGGAGTGAGCACAGGGCGTGGTGGCGGCCAGAAGGAAGCAGGCAGAAATACCGCGCAGGCATGGCGAATGAAGTGCTCAACACGGCACGAGTATAGACAGACACACCAACACTCCTCCCGCATCTCACCTCGCCCGCGTCGCGCAGTATCTTGCGCTTCAGCAGCCATGTCGCATCGCCGCCACTGCCGTCGCCGCTGCCGCCGGAGCTGCTGGCGCCGCGCGAGGCGGAGCTGCTGGCGGCCCACGAGAGGCGCGACGACGCCGCGCTGCTCGACTCCGCCTCCGACTCCGCGCACTCGCTCCCCGCGCCACTGCTTCCGCCCACGTCCGCCTTCCCCTGCGCTTCCATGCGCCGCATCAGCCCCTCCAGCCGCTCCCGCAGCCGCCGCGCCTCCACCAGCGCGCGCCTGCTGCACCCCATGCTGTGCGCGCCCACGCTCTCCCCTCCCATGCCGCCCCCGCCAGTGTCACTCAAGCTGCGGCCGCCCGCGCCGCCCCCATCCGCAGGAACAGCGAGAGCGAGCGCAGCAGGCGCACCAGTAGTAACGGCAGTAGCGGGGACGGGGGAAGGCAGGGCTGCAAGTGAGCCGTGAGGGGGCGCAATCAGCGGCGCAGGGAGATAGGCAGGCGCGGCGGCACGGGCGGGCGAGTCAACGCAGTCAATGGAGTCAATGGTGGCTTTGAGTGCAGCCGCCATGCGCGCGGCGCGCCTCATCTCCATCTGGCTCTCGCGCCATTTCCGCTCCACCACCGCGCGCTGCTCCTCCAACTCCCGCCGCGCGGCCGCCATCCGCGCGCCTCCCGCCTTCCCCGTCTCTTTCCTTCCGCCTCTGCGTCGCTCCTTACCCACGCCTCCCGCTGCCGTCCCCCAACCGTCCGAGCCGGAACCGGCAGCCCGCTCGTAGCTCGTGCCAGACTTGCCTGCCGCTGAAACTCCAATCGAATCGCCTCCACGGCTTCCGGTTTCCACGCTTGCGCCCGCGAAGTAACTATCAATTTCCTCCTCGTCTCTCTCTTCCTCGTCTTCCACCTCGTCCTCCTCATCCTCATCATCATCGTTGTCGAGCGACAAGCGCAGGTTGAGTGCCACGTCATCCGCGAGGGGGTTGAAGAACGCGCTTGACCCGCCGCCGAACAAACCGCGGCTCGTGGGGTCTGGCGCGTCCCAGCTGTCGTCCTCCGATTCCAACTCGTTGACTCGCGTTGACCGCCACGCGCCGGCACCAACCAACGTTTCGTTTCTTCCTTCCGCCCTACTCTCCGCCTCTCCATCTTTGTTTCCTGCCCCGCTCGTTGCTTCCCCGTCGTCCTCCTCCTCTGCCTCCACCTTCCCTCCTTTGTAGCCAGCAATCTCCGCCCTTCCGCGCGCCTCCGCCAAGCCTGCTCCGCTCGCCACATGGAACCGCGCTGTCGCATCGGACCGTTCATCGTCCGCTTCCCCCGCGTCGTGCGCCCTGCGCGGGGGCGAGGGTGCCCTATGCTCCGCGTTCGCCTGCGCCGAAGCGCCCTGCGACGCCCATCGCGACGCCGCCACGTGCATCATCAGCCGCTCGTTCGCCCGCAGCACGTCCTCGCTCGCCGCGCCTTCCCCCGCCTCGGTCGCCGCGCTCTCGTCGCCACGGACGGACGCGCTTTGCTCCGACGCGTCGTCGCGTGATGCGCTGGCGGGCGTCGCCTGACTGGCGGCCGCGAGGCCCTCGGGCAGCCACGAGCGCACGTCCCAGTGGCTCGGTGCGCACTGCTCGGCGCGCAGCTCCAGGGAGCTTGGGCGGGCGGCGGGAGGAGGTAAGGATTGCGCGGAAGAGGGGGAGGCGGGCCTGGTGTGGCGGAAGAATGGGCGGGATGAGGCGGAGGAGGCGAAGGGGGAGGAGGCAGTGGCAGCAGTGGCAGTGGAGGGAGTGGAAGGCGAAGGATGCGGAATAGAGGCAGGGGAGGGAGCGGCATCAAGGCCAGTTCGCTTCTTGCGCAGGTGGCGTATTCGCGAGAGGCTGTCGGTGAGTGCCTTCATCTCCATCTCGTGCCGAGAAATGCCCTCCAACTCCATTGCCGCGTTCGTGCACGCGCGAGCGGCGTCTAAAGTCAATGTCACCTGTAACTATCTCATGCACTACTACCACAAATTGCTAAGTGGTCAGATGGTATAGATGACTGCTGTCGTTGTCATTTTTTTCGTCTTAGCTGGAGGTCACGTCAACATCGCAACAAAGTCTCGAGAGAGCGTGATTGCTTCTGGCCCTGTGTGAAACCTCCCCCAATCTCCAATGCTTGTCGTTCCTTGTTTCCGCATCGCGCTGGGGTTTCCTTTCTTTGATTGCTTTGTGCACTTTTGGGGAGCGCCAAGACGGCTGCTTTTTCTTCACTCAACGCATTTGGCACCTCTCACATCTATCGCGTGATAGTGATGGCGGATTGCGCCCCTCTCCTCTTGCCTCCACGAGCGCGACTTGTTCCTGGCATTGAGATCGCGCCCCGGCATGTGCGGGAGCACGAATCCTCTGCCTCGCGCGCATCGCGGAGGCAAAAGATATGCTTCTGCCAGGCACGAATCGAGTTTTGGGGGGCGGGCAGACGAAAAACTTGTGCTTTTGCTGGTCCAAATGGTTTTCGGGTTGAACGAATTCTGAAGGGGGGATTTCCTCCCGCCTGATTTTGTTTACCGGCTTTATGAGTAACTCAGCTGCATGTTAGAAGACGGAGTAAGCATGTCTACCAAAGCTACAATAGATAGTGCAATCTTGTCGCCAATTCGATATCTTTCACCAAGAATAAAAGACATTGACATAAACAGGTGGCAAGGCGTTTTCTGAAAAACATCTTTACTTTGGGCTGTAAACTCAAAAGACTTCTATGACCGTAACTACGCATCTCATTTTTGTATGCTAGCCCTGGCCCTTACTAGGAGTCATCGCTGACACATAACATAAGGTTAGGACTTTGTGTACGACTGTAACGGAACAGAGTAGCAAATCGGACAGTAACGCGAGTATGATCCCAGCTGCAATGTTCCCTTGGAAGTCCGTTGCAGAAATTTGGGTTTCTCCCGCTCGTCGAGCACACCAACTCAGGTTCACCGTTCGCACTGTACCTTGGTTACTGCGGAAGCCATTCCCAAGGTCACAAGATAACTACTTTCGTACGACATAGGCTCCTGTTAGTATCCCCCCGGAGGTTCTCAAGCATCCCGTGCGATCCGTCCCCATATCGTTAGGTCCGGCTGGTGACATAGCAGTGGCTGTGCCCGAATTTCCTTTTTCCTTTAGCGATTTACTGTCTTCAGGGGCACCACCAAGACCATTTTGACGCCTAAGATACAAAGCCGTCACAATGATGCTCGGAGGGACCAGATTGAGGTTAGTTCCGGGCAAATCAGTGCATTTTTGCAGGTTATCTGCCAAAATGCTTTATTTTTACACGCATCTCGATCCTATAGTTATCCTGAACGATTGTTGCTCGGCGTTTCAGGGACATGATCCGGAATGTCCGCGCATGTAAAACAGCGGCCGAGGAGCGAGGGGTGATCGCGAAGGAATGCGCGAATCTACGGACAGCGTTCAAGGAGAACGACATCGAGTACCGGCACCGCAACGTGGCGAAGCTCATGTTCATCCACATGCTCGGCTACCCCACGCACTTCGGCCAGATGGAGTGCCTCAAGCTCATCGCGTCGCCGGGGTTCCCGGAGAAGCGCATCGGGTATCTGGGGCTCATGGTTCTGCTGGACGAGCGCCAGGAGGTGCTCATGCTCGTCACCAACTCCCTCAAAAAGTGAGCGCTTTCCAGCCGCCTCCCCACCTCACACCGAATTCTTCAGACCTGCGCTGTGGATTCGCACTCACGTGTAGTGGTCGTTTTAGATTCGTGAATGGTTCTCGCACAACAGGTGTGCATGCAGTCGAATGGCCTCACGTCCTCCTTTTTCTGGATCCAGTACGCGATCGCGGGTCGCTCTCTCCCCTCTCCAACGACCTCGCATCCTCCTCCCTTTTCTCCTCCTGCTCCCATTATCCGTCCTTCTCCTCTTCCCCCCTCTCTCCCGACCCCTTTCCACCCCGGTCCCGCAGCGACCTGAACCACACGAACCAGTTCATAATCGGGCTGGCGCTGTGCGCGCTGGGCAACATCTGCTCCAGCGAGATGGCGCGCGACCTCGCGCCCGAGGTGGAGCGCCTGCTCAACAGCAACAACTCCTACATCCGCAAAAAGGTCATTCCGCAAGTTCTGCCTGCACGACCATTGGGGATCCATGCGTGCAGTCGAGACTGGTTGCTGTACCCCATGGACTCACTGACGCCGCTCACCCGTCCTCCGCTCGAATCACCACTGACCGACACTCAATCCTTGCTGCCGCACCCATCCCTTCTCCCTTTCCCCTCCCCCTCCCCATCCCTCCACCATTCTTGCGCGCGTGCAGGCGGCGCTGTGTTCGGTGCGCATCATCCGCAAGGTGCCGGCGACTTAGCGGAGTACCTGCTGGGGCCGGCGTCGGGGCTGCTGCAGGACAAGCACCACGGCGTGCTGCTGTCGGGCACCAAACTCGCCATCCAGCTCTGCGACACGCACCCCCCCGCCCTTGATTACTTCCGCAAGGTCGGCCCCCTCTCCCCATCTCCCCCCTCCCCCTCACCTGCTCGTGCTGCTGTCCGGCACCAAACTCGCCATCCAGCTCTGCGTCACGCACCCCCCCGCCCTCGACTACTTCCGCATGGTCTTATTCCCTCTCCACCCACCGCATCCCTCGCTGCTGGTGAAGTTTTTTCTGACAAGTTTCTTCTGACAAGTTTCTTCCGACAAGTTTCTTCTGAGAAGGGGGCTCATAGAGTGAAGCTTGTCAAGGTTTGGAGCTTGTGAGGGTGTTGCCAAGCTAATCAATACCACGTGGCAGCACTTGCAAAGTAGCTGGTGCTGGCTTGACCGCTCGCCATGAACAGGCTGACTGACACGTTTTCTCCTTCTCTGCTCTCTCACCACCCTTCCTCTTCCCATCCCGTCCCCCTCACAGCAAGTGCCGACGCTGGTGCGCATTCTGAAGAACCTGGTGGTGAGCGGGTACGCGCCTGAGTATGACGTGGGCGGCATCACGGACCCCTTTCTGCAGATCCGCGTGCTGCGCCTGCTCCGACTGCTCGGCAAGGGCGACCCAGACGCCAGCGACATCATGAGCGACATCCTTGCTCAGGTAGATACGTCTTCTCTCAGGTAGAGACATACAGGCGTGCTGGCGCAGGTATCACTTCCCGCACTGTCGTTTCATCAGCTGTTGTCAAGTCTCAATTATCTGCATCCACGTTTCTCCCTCACTGCCTCTAGCCCTTCATCCTCTCAACCTCTGCACTTCTTTTCCCCGTCCCGCATATGTGGGATGCCCTCACAGGTAGCAACGAACACGGAGGCGAACAAGAACACGGGCAACGCGATTCTGTACGAGTGTGTGCACACCATCTTTGGCGTGGAGGCCATTGGTGGCCTGCGTGTGCTCGCCATCAACATCCTCGGCCGCTTCCTCGCCAACCGTGACAACAACATCCGGTACTCTACCTCTACCCCGCCCTGCCCCGCCCTGCCCCACCGTGCCCTGCCCTTCCCCAACCTGCACCAACCCACCCTGCCCCAGCCTGCCCCTCCCGCCCTGCCCCGCCCCGTCCCGCGCCGCCCCTCCTCACGCACGTTCGCACTGCTGTGTCCACTATATCTGCATTGTCAACTTTTTCCATTGTCATCTCCTCGTAGCACTGTAGCTGTTCATCGGCTATGGGTGGCGGCTGACGTGTGGGCCGAAATGTGGACGGTGTTGCGGGTCTTGGTGTTGCCTTGCATGGGGGTGTGTGTGGGTGCTACTGTGCATGGATGCGTGGGTGTGTGTGTGTGTGGGTGCTACTATACCTGGGTGCATGGATGAATGGGTGTGTGTGGGGGGGGTGCTACTATGCATGGGTGCACGGATGCATGCGTGTGTGCATGCATGGTGGCATGGCAGGTACGTGGCGTTGAACACGCTGATCAAGGTGGTAGCGGTGGACACACAGGCCGTGCAGCGCCACCGCAACACCATCGTCGAATGCGTCAAGGCAAGCACCACCGCCTCCTGCCTGCCTCCCTCCCACACCACCCTTCCTACCCCCCTCCCACGCCACCGCATACCACCCTCACTTAAACACCCCCTCTGTGAATTCCCCTTTCACGCTGTGGACTGTCACAGCCTGACACAAGACACTGACCGTCCTCTCTCCCGTCTCCACCCGCCCTCCACCTCATGTGTGCGTGGTTGCACGAGCAGGATTCAGACATATCGATCAGGAGGAGGGCGTTGGAGCTGGTGTGTGCGCTGGTGAACGAGGGCAATCTCAAGGCGCTCACCTCCTCTCTCCCCCTCTTCCGTTCCCCCCCATGTGTGCATGGTTGCACGAGCAGGATTCGGACATTTCCATCAGGAGGAGGGCGTTGGAGCTGGTGTGTGCGCTGGTGAACGAGGGCAATCTCAAGGCGCTCACACGCGAGCTGCTGGACTACCTGCGCGCCGCTGACTCTGACTTCAAGCCCGACCTCACCTCCAAGATCTGCGCCCTCGTGCAACGGTGTGCTTTCCCCCCGCCCTCTCCACCCCACTCCCTGCTGTTCTCCGTTTCTCAAAGATCTGCGCCCTCGTGCAATGGTGCTGCGCTCCCAACCCTCTCACCCTCAAGCCCTCCTCCCCTCCTCTCCGCTTCCCTCCTCCTCTCCCTTCTCCATCCCCCTGTCGTTTTGTGTGCCATGTGCTGCCCGTCTTCCCTCATCCCGTTGCTTGTGCCATGCACTTCAAGCCCGGTCTTACCTTCAAAATCTGCGCCCTCGTGCAACGATGCCCCTCCCCCCACGCCCTCCCCCCCCCCCCCCCCCTCCCCCCCTCTCCCTCCCCCCCTTCCCGCTTCCCCTTCCTCCCTTCCTCATCTCCCTTCTTCTCCCCTCCACTTGTCGTTTTATGTATCATGTGCTGCCCGCCTTCCTTCACCCCGGATTGTGCTGTCCGCCATGTGTCCTGGAACGCCTTTCTGAGGCGCTTGAAATCATTAACCTGTGGTGTGTGTGCCCTGCCAGCCGTGCGGGGGGGGGGGGGAGGATGTGGAGGTGGGGGGAGGGAGGGTTGGGAGGGGGTGGAACGGGGGGGGGGGGATGGGGTGGGGGGGGTGGAAGGGGGAGGGGGTGGGGGGGTGGGGGGGGGGGGAGTTGCAAGGGGGGCGCGTGTGTATGGGGGAATGCGAGTGCGTGGGGTGTGCGTGTGCATGGGGCGGTGTTCATGCATGTGGGGGAGGGGGGTGGAGGGGAGGTGTGCATGCATGGTGGTGCATGCAGGTACGCGCCCAGCAAGCTGTACCATGTGGAGATCATGCTGCGAGTCATGACCGAGGTATGCCCCCTCTCCTATTCTCCACCCCTCCCAACCTTCCTCTCCCCTCCCCTCCCCTCCCCTCCCCTCCCCTCCCCTCCCCTCCCCTCCCCTCCCCTCCTCTCCCCTCCCCTCCACTCCCCTCCCCTCCCGTCCCTTCTCCTCGCCAGCAACCCTTTCCTCACTTGAACCTACCTTGCATGTTTGCACGGTGCACCTTTTGTCTTGTCCTTCCTCAACTGAGGAACACCCGTGCTTGTGTCTCGACTCACTCGCCACCATTTCCTGCGTGCTTATTTGTAACCGATGCACCTACACATCACTGTGCCTTCCTCTCTCCCTCTCTCCCTCTGTGTGTGCGCGCGTATGTGTGCGCGCGTATGTGTGCGTGTGTGTGAGTGCCAGGCAGGGGAGTATGTAACAGATGACGTGATCCGCTTCCTGGTGGTGCTCATCAGCAACGCACCTGAGCTGCAGGGCTTCGCAGTGCGCTCATTCTTCCATGCCATGCGCTCCTGGAAGGGCCAGGTCTGTCCCTTCCCCCCACTTCCCCCACTTCCCCCGCCCTTTCCTCGTCCTCCCCTTGCCCTCCCCTCACCCTCCTGTCGCCCTCCCCTCGCCCTCCCCTCTCCCTCCCGTCGCCCACCCGTCTCCTGACCTCTGAAGCACTTTCGTCAGCCTTGCCTGCCTGCATGCATGCATCACCATCGCCTGGCTTCCACAACTACCTCATGCTGCATCGCTTGCGCCCTCTCTGACGGGCATCTGTGCCTCGCCACTCCCTCATGCTGCATGTGCTGTGTGTGGTGTGGCAGGAGAGTCTAGGAGTGGTGACGGTGTGGTGTCTGGGCGAGTACGGGGAGATGCTCGTCAACAACACCGGGCTTCTGCAGGGCGAAACGCCCCTCCAGGTGCCTCCCTCCCTCCCTCCCTCTCTCCCTCGCTCTCTCCCTCCCTCCCTCCCTCCCTCCCTCCCTCCCTCCCTCCCTCCCTCCCTCCCTCCCTCCCTCCCTCCCTCCCTCCCTCCCTCCCTCCCTCCTCCCTCCCTCCCTCCCTCCCTCCCTCCCTCCCTCCCTCCCTCCCTCCCTCCCTCCCTCCCTCCCTCCCTCCCTCCCTCCCTCCCTCCCTCCCTCCCTCCCTCCCTCCCTCCCTCCCTCCCTCCCTCCCTCCCTCCCTCCCTCCCTCCTCCCTCGCTCCCTCCCTCCCTCCCTCCCTCCCTCCCTCCCTCCCTCCCTCCCTCCCTCCCTCCCTCCCTCCCTCCCTCCCTCCCTCCCTCCCTCCCTATCCACCCCTTCTCCCTTTGTTCTTCTGCACCCGCTATCGTTCCGCACTCCTTCCTCGCCCCTTCACTTTATTGCAAATTACCATCTGAAACTCAGTGTTCCATTTTTCAGCGATGGCAGAACACACTCGAGGTCTATTCAGCAACTACCTATGCCTTGTTCAGCCCCCCTTGAACCCATTATTTTACCCATCCATCCATCCGTCCGTCCGTCCATCCGTCAATGCAGGTGCCACACCCTGCCCGCTATGCACCCTCCGCCCTTCTGAAACAACCTTCCCTTCCCTGGAACCACTCACTTTCTTGTGAACTACCATCTGAATCTCAATGCTCCGGTTTTCCACCAACGGCAGAACCCAGCCAAGCGCCATTCAGCAACCGCCCATATCTCGTGCACCCCTCCTTGCGCCCCCATCTATCCATCCATGCTCCCACCCCCTGCCTGGCATGCTCCCACCCTTCCCTGGAACCACCCCTGTGTGTGTGTGCATGGTGGGGTGAGCAGGTGGCGGAGGCAGAGGTGGTGCAGATGCTGGAGGGCATAATGAAGGACACACGCGCCACGCCCACCCTCAAGGCCTACGTCCTCGTTGCTCTCCTCAAGCTCTCCTGCCGCTTCCCCTCCTGCTCCCAGTGCGCACCTCGCCGCCCGCCCTTTAACCCCTCTTTTCTCAGCTCCTCTCCTCATCTCTTCTCGTTTTCCTCGCAGCGATGTTCTCTCGTGTGCCTGCACTTGTGCCAATGTCCTTATCACTTCTTTCTTCTCTTCACCGATTCCCTCCCTCGCCTTCCACGCATGATCCTACTCCCCCCTCACACAACCCCTGTATCAGTTACGACTGTGGATGTATGCATGTTTTCTTAGTGCATTCATTCAACCAAAGAAAAGAAAGGAGATTATACCTGTTTCAACGGTATTCTCCCCCTATATCGCTCTCCATCTCTCCCCACCACTTGCCCCCTGTGCCTCTCCTGCAGGCGCATAAAGTGGTTGGAGGAGCAGCACCGGCACAGCCTGGTGTTGGAGCTGCAGCAGCGCTCAGTGGAGTTCAGTGCCGTGCTCGCCCGCCACGACAAGATCAAGTCAGCCTCGCACGCCCTCCCTTTTCCCACGCCCTCCCATCCCCCACACGCCCTCTCAGCCTTCCTTCCTCCTCGCTCTGCTCCTGTGCGTTCCCCTGGGCAATGCTGCATGTCGCCTTGCCTTGTGTCGTTCCCTACCTTGGCCCGTCCGTCCACCTACGCTTGCACCTCTTCGTGCCACACCACGCTATGTGCAGTACACTTTAGAGTCTGTTCCATGCCAGTCCCCCATCACTGTCTGTCCCCCTCACTTTTTTCCCCACGCCCATCTTCCCCTCCCACCCGCCGCCCCCCCTCCCCCCCAGAGCCACGTTGGCAGACAAGATGCCAGCACTGGATGAGGTGGCGTACCGCTCCAAGCGCGCTGACCTGGCGCCCGACGCAGCGGCGCGGGCAGCAACGCCAACAGGGCAACCATCAGCCAATGGCGCGGCGGCAGCAGGCGGGGCGGTGGGGGGAGTGCGGGCAGCAGCAGCACCCCAGGCGCAGGCGCAGGTGCTAGCAGACCTGCTTGACCTCACAGCTGATGACTCCTCTGCTGCCCCTGCTGCCGCTGCCGCTGCCCCCGCTGCTGCTGCTGGAGGGCTGCTGGATCTGCTGGGAGGAGTCAGAGCACCGGCTGCTGTTGCCGCTTCTGGTGAGCCTCGCTTCGCTGTGCTCGTTTCTCACTCCGCTCTCCACCCTCTGTCCTCCCCACCACACCCGTTGTGTCTGCTGCTCTTCAAACCCGTGAGGCATGCTGAACCCGTTGTGCATTGCATCTCCCGAACCCAGCCATCCACCACAACCCACCACTATTATACTCTTCACAGCTCACCTTCACCATCACAACATTCTCTCCCCTCCCTTACCAGCGCCTGCACCAGGCGGGGCAGACCTGCTATTGGACCTGCTCTCCCTCGGAGATGCACCGGCACCCCCAGCAGCAGCAGCAGCACCTGCCGCCATGCCAGCTGCAGCCATAGACCCACTAGCAGGCCTCATGGGCGGAGCAGCACCAACCCTCATCACCCCCACATCAGCACCAGCACCCTTCGCCCCAGCTGCCGCAGCAGCAGCAGCAGCGGTGGATCCGTTTGGAGGCTTTGCAGCGGCGCCGGCAGCAGCACCGGCAGCAGCGGCGGCGCCGGCGTTCCCGGGGATAGTGGCGTTGGAGAGCCGAGGGCTGCGCATCACGTTTGAGTTTGCCAAGGACCCTGCTGCACCGCAGAGCACCACCATCAGTGCCACCTACACCAACTCCTCGCCCTCGCCCCTCACTGACTTTGTCTTCCAAGCCGCCGTGCCCAAGGTGCGTGGGTGTGTGTGTGTGTGTGTGGCCAGAGTGCGTGCTTCTGAAGGTGCGTGTCTGTTCCTGTACCTGCACGCACACACTGGCATCTGGCAGGTACTTGGCACACAGCAAGCCCAGTAACCTCTGGCAACTGTCTGTGTCCCACTTTTCCACTTCACTCCTCCACCTTCGTCTGTCCTTCATGCAGTTTATGCAGCTGCAGCTGGAGGCTGCATCAGGGGCCGTGGTGCCGGCCAGAAACCCCCCCGGCAGCCCATTGCATCCCACTGTGTTGTGAGATGCGCCTTTCCTCGTTCTCCCCTCTCCTTTCTCTCCCACACCCCCCACCTTCGTCTGTCCCGCGTGCAGTTCATGCAACTGCAGCTGGAGGCAGCATCAGGGGCCGTGGTGCCGGCCAGCAACAGCGGCAGCGTGACACAGACCATGCGCATCACCAACACCCTGCATGGCCAGGTCAGTCCTTGTGCATGGCCAGGTGAGTCTTTGTGAGTGGGCAGGAAGGAAAGCACATGCATGGATGCATGGACAAGTGAGATGTATATACAAGAGCGGAGTGCGAAGCAGTGCGCTTGCTCTATTTCTGCGCACGTCCACAGCACCAGTGCCATTCATGTTGATGCTTGATTCTGATGGCCATATCATGTGGATGTGCCTGTGCCCGCCTCTGCTCGTCTGTGGGTGTGCCGCTATGTGTGCGTGGGAGCAGAAGCCACTGGTGATGAAGTTGAGGGTGTCATACAAGGTGGCAGGGCAGGATGTCTTGGAGCAAGGCCAGGTCAACAACTTCCCCGCCGGCTTGTAATGCACCGCACTGCACAGCACCACAGTGCACAGCACTGCACCGTACAACACCACACTCCACAGCATCACGGAGGTTCCACTAATGCACACCGAGTCCTAAAATACGCACTCCCTGCTTATGACGCAGAAAGGCAGTAGAAATTGATGGCTAACTGGAAGAACCATACAGTAGATTCGTTAGTATTATTGTACAGTAGGCGTTTCCATGTGCACAATTTCGAAACCGTCATTTCCAACTGAAGCAGACCACAGCACCACAAAGCGAGATTCGCCGTGCGAAGACGCGCGGGACCGCGCGCACTTTTTTCCGAGTTTAGTACGCGCAAAACACGCACTTTTTATCACGCATCCTTCCCGCACCAGCTGCTAATACGTGACTGAATCTCCGTGATACCCGCAAGCAGCGGGTCGTCGCCTTATGCTCGCCCGGTCAATTGTCGCCCCTCCATCGACGTTCGTATCCGCGTCGCCCGCCGTCGATTCGCCTGGGCCACGGTGGCCGAGTCTCCTCGCGGCCGCTCGCAGCACTGACTGTCCGTGCAGATGGCGGCTGCGGCACGCGCGTAACGGCGATACGCGCGTAGCGGAGAGCACCCGCGCCACGCGGAGACGATAGCCCTTTAGATTTTGCTCGCTCGATCGCCATCGGTCACCATGCAAGGTCAGCCATTCGTAATCCAATCGCCCCTTGCTCGCGCTGGTCCACCATTCCCCCTCGTGTCGCCAGGGCAGTGCGGCACGTCGAGCGGGCGTGTGGCTTCACGCAGTCGCGCGGTGAGAGGGCGGCAGTCGTCTGAATCCACAGTGATTGACTCGCCGCAATGTCCTCGCGCGTCGTCCCGTATCATCCCGCTCCTCCTACCGCATCGCGCATTCGTCGCCATGCCGCTTCACCTTTTCCCCCCACCCTTCCGTCCCCTTCCCCTTTCCCCACCGCCCCGCCCTCATCTGTCGCCACGTGCGTCCCCCCCAAGCAGCGGTGCGCGTGCTAGTAGCGCTGCTGGCGGTGGCGATGGCGGGCGGGGCGGCGCAGGCGCGGCCGGAGGGCTTCGGGCGGTGGTTCGTGGTCCCCGCACTGGACGGCGAGGGGTCGTACGCGGCCGCGTGCGGGCCGTGCGTGGCGGAGGAGACCCCCGCGTGCAACGTGAGCGGACGCAGCAAGGGGCACGAGTTGCGCAGCTACCCCGATGACGAGGTGCGCGCGGAGAGATGCGCTTGGAGAAGATGGTGGGCGTGGGGGAGAAAGGGGGAAGGGGGGTGGACGGAGGAGGGGGGAGATGCAGTGAGGGGAGGTGAGTGGATGGTGGGGTGTCATGATGTGAGGCGTACTGTGAACGTGTGAGCTATGAAAGACGAAGGAAGCAAGCACTCAGAGCATGCACCACTACACGCTTGCTCTTCTCCCTCCTTGCGTCACTCACTCCCCGTTTGATGCCCATATTGTTATGTCCCTCCCTCCCCCTCCCCTTCCCTCTCCCTTCCCTCGTTCGTCCCCTCCCTCCCCCCATAGGTGTGGGTGACAACCATAGTGGTGAACGCTTCATACGACAAGGCAGTGGAGGATGGCACGTGGCGCCTGCACTCCTTCTTCGCCGGCCACAACGCGCGCTCCGAGCCCATCGCACTCACCGCCCCGGTCCTCACCATGCCGCGCCCCGAGGCAGCCGGCTACGAGGTGTCCCTGGTGGTGCCGCGGCGCTACTCGCCTGAGAGTGTGCCGCAGCCCACAGACCCGACAGTGAAGCTCGTGCTGATGCCGCGCGGTGTGGTGCGTGCTGTGCTGGGGCCGTTTGGGGGATTCCCCACGGAGGCGGTGTATGGCAGCAAGCTGCAGCGCCTTAAAGGGTTGTTGGAGCGGCGTGGCATGGGGTTTGATGAAAGCTCGGGCGCGTATGCGGGGTACAGTGGGCCGTACACACTGCTTAATAGGAAACAGGAGGTCTGGATCAGGGTGTTCCTGCCTACCTGATGGTGGGACTTGTGTGAGGGCTTGTACAAAGGCTTCTTATAGTGAAGCCTAATGAGGTCAGGATTCATGAAGTGTTTTATTACAATCACCAAATGGTGCTGGCTGTTGATAACTGGTGCGGCTTTTGAAGACCATAGCGGCGTATATCTGGACTTGGTACGATACATTTATACTTTTATACTGTAATTTTGATCTGAGTCCATTAACCCTGAATAATGTCTGGAGTTCTGGTCAATATGGTACAATATCCTAGGCTGTCATTTATCATCACCTCAACAATAATCAGGTTCTGGAATTGAGTGGGGTTTTCGTTGGCGAAGCTGGGGCTCAGAACCGACTCGTGGTGGCAAACCACCACCTCCTTGTGTCTTGTCAGTCGTCGCACGTCGCTCGTAGAGTCGCTCGTCGTTGGTAACTCTGCTCGTCGCTAGTGTAGTCGTTCGTCGCTAGCATTGTCCCTCGTCGCCCTTCACTACGCTCACCACCCTCCCTCACCCCATCGTTCCCCTCACTCTCCAAGCCGTTCAATAGCTCTCGTCAAATCCCCTACTCTCCTTTCTCCCCCTCTTTTCCCTTCCGCCCCTCTAACGCGACTGGGAACACCAACACTCAGCGCCATGGTTCTCAAGTCCGTACCGCCTAACCCTAACGCGTGCTTTCCGTCAATTTCGCACCGAGCTGTTTGATGTTCGCGATTTTATCCTCATGTGCCGACTCCTCTTTCGCGCCGCAGCTTCACCAAATTCTGCCAGTTTTGCCCTCTAACCGCGAGTGTACCGTGCTGCGTGCCGTGCTGCGTGCTACATGTGCTGCGTGGCAGGACGGAGCTCTGCCGGTTCAGCGGCGCCAAGATCTACCCCGGGAGGGGCATTCGCTTCATCCGCGCCGACTCGCAGGTCTCCCCGCCGCGCCACTCTCTCCACTCCCTCTTCCCTTCCCCATTCCCGCCACCCCCAGTTCCCGCCTCCCCCCTCCCACTCCCTCCCGTGCCTCCCCGCCACGACGTGCTCGCATTCTTTCTCGTTGTCAATCCATTCGCCGTTTCTCCGCTTCAGAACCGGCTCTAGTTTTCATTCAGTGGTTTTCAAAACCAATTTTTGCCCGCTAGCCGCCCTCTCCCCCCCCTCCCCCTCTTTCCCCTTTTCCCCTCCCACGCTCTCCCGTTGTTACTCGACCCTCTCGCGGCAGGTGTTTCTGTTCGTGAACGCCAAGTGCAAGCAGTACTTTCACAACCGCCTCAAGCCGTTCCCCCGCCCCCCCCCCCCCCCCCCCCCCCCTCTCGCTTCCCCCTTTCCCCTCCGGCCCATCACTCCCCTCCCTTGTGACTGCTGACTGCGTGCACGGCGGCAGGTGTTTCTGTTCGTGAACGCCAAGTGCAAGCAGTACTTTCACAACCGCCTCAAGCCGTCCAAGCTCGACTGGACCGCCATCTACCGCAAGCAGCACAAGAAGGTGCGTCGCCGCGCGCGAATAGGCCCCGTTGGGTTTCGAAGTAGGTAGAAGCATTGACGCAGGTTGCGACATTGCAGGTCGATGGGCGGAGAGTGATGCGCGGAGGAGGATGGGCAGAGAGGGATGGGCGGAGAGCGACTGGCGGAAAGCGATGGGTGGAGAGAGATAGGTAGAAAGTGGCGCGGGCGCGAGGAGGCTACGAGATGTAGCGTCGAGCAGGCACGGCGGGGCAAGGCAGGGGGAGGAGAATATGAGAAGGGCAGGAAGACGCGGGAGGAGTTCAGGTGGGGAAGGATTTCAAGTGGGGAAAGGAGTTCAAGTGGGGAAGGAGTTCAAGTGGGGAAGGAGTTCAAGTGGGGAAGGAGTTCAAGTGGGGAAGGAGTTCAAGTGGGGAGGAGAGCACAGGAGGAAGATAGAAGGAATGGAGGCAAGAGGGGAAGGGAAGGTTGGCGGAGGAGTTTGGCGGATAGCGGGTTGTGGAGCATCAGTGGTGCTCGCATGGAGGGAGGAAGAGGAGGACAGTGCAGCGGTTGGGGAGGTTGGAGGTAGAGTGGTTTCGACTATACGAGGCGGCGGTCGCTGACTGATAGGAGCAATAGGCGTGGGAACGAGATGAGAGGGTCTGGCGCGAGAGGGTTATGCCTTTGGGAATGGGCGAGCTACGATCAATCAGCCAAGGCAGCTGTCGGAATGTTCATCGGCGGCTAGGCAGTGTTTGGTTTGCGCGTCTTCATGAAGCGTCCCACGTCGTCGTGTCGGCCATTAGCGTCGTTATATTGTTATTCGCGTCGTCATATCGCTATTCGCGTCGTCATCTCGTTATTCGCGCCGTCATTTCCCTTTGCACGCCCATTTCGCGCCGTCGTTTGTCATTGCCTCGTGTCACTCGCCCCTCGCATAGAGTCTCTCCCCGCCCGCGTCGTCGCCCGCCTCGCGCGCAATGCGTCCGCCCTCTTACCTCCGAGACTCACCCCTTCCCGGCGGCCCCCGCTGTCCCCACGTGCGCGCGCAGGACGTGCAAGCGGAGGGCGTGCGGCGGAAGAAGCGCACGACCACCAAGGTGCACAGCCGCTCCATCGTGGGCGCGTCGCTCGAGGTCATTCAGAAGCGCCGCTCCGAGAAGGCCGAGGTCCGCGCCGCCGCCAGAGATGCCGCGCTCCGGTCAGTTGTGCCCCGTGGCCCTGCCTCTTGCATTCCCATACCATGCATTCCATGACATTCATTCAATGCCATGCATTCCCATGCCATGCATTCCCATGCCATGCATCCCATGGCATGCATTCCCATGCCATGCATTCCCATGCCATGCATTCCCGTGCCATGCATTCCCATGTCATGCATTCCCGTGCCATACATATGCCCTGCATTCTCATGCCGGGCGTCCGCTTGCGCGCGCTTGCTCTCTTCTTGGCAAAGGTTGTGTGTTTGCCGCTGCACCCATGCATCCAAGCATTTATGCAAAACACTGTGTAGCCTTCTGTCTCCCCGTGTCTGCTTGCGGTGGGTCTAGCGTGCACCTTGACCCCTGTTTCGCTCACCGCCTTCTCCCCATGTGTGCTCATGCACTGGCGCTTGTGAATGGAGGGTGCATTGCATATTGGGAGGGAGCATGTGGAACCACATGTACACGAATGTGTCTGTATGTGTATGTATATTCATATGTGTGCATGTGTATTTGTATGTGTGCATGTGTATTCATATGTGTGCATGTGTGTTTGTGCATGTGTGTATGTGTATGTGTATTCATATATGTGCATGTGTGTATGTGCATGTGATGTGTGTGTGAGTGTGTGAGTATGCGTGTCTGTATGTGTGTGTCTGCATGTGCGCATATCTGGCGGCATCGGTGCCGTGTGTATGGGAGCAGTGAGATCAAGGAGCGGCTGAAGAAGGTGAAGGATGAGAAGAAGGCCAAGAAGGCAGAGGTGACAACCAAGCAGGCCAAGGCCGCTACCAAGGCGGCAGCCCCACGCGCTTCAGGGCCCAAGGGTGGCAAGGGCGCAGGTGGTGGTGGTGGCGGCAAGCGATGAATCATGCATGTACTGTAGTTGATCTGAGAGATGTAAGCCTGCTTTATAAGCTACTCCAGGCCTGCACATGTATGGAGCAATGCCGTGAAATACAGTCCGGCTCCGTGTTCTGTTATTGAAGGGTACGAGAACGCAAGAATGGCCCCACACGCTAAGAAGCTCAGAACAACGTTGGGTTGACATTCTGGCCGAGATTTACATTATAGATGGCAACGTTTTGTGTTGTAGAGACTAGTTTGAATTTTGAATGTCAGCTTTGAAACTCTGAACAAGGTATCTTGTTTGACGTCCTATCGTTTTGGCGAATTCGCGAAGCTTGTCATCGTTTCGACACTGGCGACCTGTAACTTATTGGATTAACTAGGGTTAGCGAAATATTGTTGCTCAGCCAGTCCAACTTCGTCAGTCGGCTACGGTGGCCTACCACCACGTGCAAGCTCTTTCCTCCCCCTTTTTGCACCCAGGCATCTGACCGAGCCTCCTTTCCCCGCGCTCTCTTTGAATGCGCCTCCCACGGCCTAATCGGCTCCTTTTCCTCGATACCTTTCCCTCCCTCCTAGCTTAGTCGCCTCGCCCCACCAGGCCGCCACCATGGTAGGTTCAGCTGCAGGTCACGCCGTTCCTAGCGCATTCCCTGGGCTAGCAGATGCTAGATGCTGCTCCATTCGTCGATTTTCTTTTAGCGTTTGAAGTTACCAGAGCAGGCATCGCTAATTTCTAATTGGAGAACGGGTCCATGTGCGTCATGTTGTGCGTGCGTGTGCATGCGGTGCGTGCGTGTGCATATGTTGCGTGCGTGTGCATGTTTCCTTGCGTCATGTTGCGTGCGTGTGCATGTCGCGTGCGTGTGCATGTTGCGTGCGCGTGCTTGCTGCGTGCGTGTGCGTGTTGCATTCGTGTGAATGTTGCGTGCGTGTGCTTGCTGTGCGCGTGCGTGGGTGCGCGGCGTGGGCGTGCTGTGCGTGCGTGTGCTGCGATGGTCGGTAGGCGCTCGTAGCGAACGAGGGGTTTCAGCACATTCTGCGCGTGCTCAACACCAACGTGGACGGCCGGACCAAGATCATGTACGCGCTCACCTCCATCCGCGGTATTGGCCGCCGCTTCGCTAACATCGTCTGCAAGAAGGCGGACGTCGACCTCAACAAGCGGTATGCATCGCTCTCCCGCTCGCGTCGCGTCGCCCGTCGCACTCGTCGCACTCGTCTCAGTCGTCGCACTCGTCGCACTCATCGCACTCGTCTTTGCCGTCGGCTCTCTATGGCCCTACTCTCTCCCGACTTTCTTTATGTTGTACCGCATCCCACCATTCACCGCATCCTATCACCCTCATGTACCGCGCCCATCACCCGCGTCCCTCGTGCGCGCCGAATCCCCTGCAACTTGCTGCATCTCGTTTCTCCGTCGTCTGTGATTCGTCACCTGGTCGTTTCTTCAAGTTCCTGACTGCCTGTGCTGCCCGCCGCTTCACGCGGGTAACTCTAACTCGATTGTGAATTCGCATTGTTGCTACTATGTTTGCGCGAACACGGCTGTATCATGGGTGCCAGGCCAGAATGTTACCTGTATTGGGTTGCACGCGCACCGCTCACCGCCCTTGCAGTGTCGTGTCATGCGACACCCATTTTCAGTGTGGACGGCCACAAAGGTTACAGGCTCATAACCACCGTATTGTAGCGGTATTCGTAAGTTAGGGTTTCATCACCATCCGCTTGCCTGGTCCGCTCATGCGCGCGCGTCTCTCCCCTCCCTCTGCCCTATGCGCGTGCGTGTGCGTGTGCGTGAACGTGTGCGTGTGCGTGTACGTGTGCGTGTGCGTGTGCGTGTGCGTGTGCGGCGGGTGCGCGGGGGAGGGTGGCAGGGCGGGCGAGCTATCGGCAGCGGAGCTGGAGAATCTGATGGTGATAGTGGGCAACCCGCGGCAGTTCAAGATCCCCGACTGGTTCCTGAACAGGCAGAAGGACTACAAGGACGGCCGCTACTCGCAGGTCGTGTCCAACGGACTCGACATGAAGATGCGCGACGACCTCGAGCGCCTCAAGAAGATCAGGTCCGTCCATTGCGCTCACCCACCTAGGCGCCTCAAGAAGATCAGGTCCGTCCATTGCGCTTATCCACCTAGGCGCCTCACATGTTGCTCCGCTAGGCCAGTCATCACGATTACCACGATTATGAACACCATGGTCATCAACACCATGGTCATCAACACCATCATCCACATGATCATCTCGTTTCGTGCTCCATCATCACGTTAGGGGTGCCATGGAAGGCCGGGTGGGATATGTAGAGGGCGGTTGGGGTGGCAGGGGTGGTGGGGTGAGTGAAATTACTGCTCAAATGTCCCCCGCTGATGCCCTGATGATGATTGACCTTGTCTCTACCTGACTAGACTGAATTTGCGTGTGTGGAATCCTGTTTTTTCGCTGCTGTGCGTCCCTGACCTGCCTTTGGCGGCCCTCCATTCGCCCTCTCATGGCATCACCTCATTCTTACATCCCCGTCCCTGCAGGAATCACCGTGGGCTGCGACACTACTGGGGCCTGCGTGTGCGTGGGCAGCACACCAAGACCACTGGTCGTCGTGGCCGGACTGTTGGTGTGTCCAAGAAGCGATAGACAGCCTCTTTGCACTTTGCCTTCGTATGGGAATACCGTATGTTGCTCACAGGCTTGGATGTAATGCATTGTGTAATGAGTGATGGCAATATTGGCTTTGGTCTTTGTAACTGCACCATTCATTGTTATCATTACCAATATGGTAAGCCGAAACTTTCGAAATGATACTTGATTGGTGGTGTCTGCATTGATTTGCATTCACAGGGGGCAGTATATCAGTATCTGTATTTATCAATCAATAAAAACATTGTACACTAGTAAGCCCAGGCCAGCGTAAGCCAGCGCACACACGTCAGCTCAAGCCAGCCTAAGCCAGCGCACGCACACACACGTGCGAGTCATCCCACAGAGGCACAAGACCGGTGAGCGCGTCAAGAGTTTCCTTCTGCTCGAGAACGAGTGGGACGGGAGAGGGCAGGGGAGGGACCAGCCCTGCGATGCAGTTCATGTTTAGTGTAGATGTCTGCAGGGACGGTAGCAGAAAGGAGCTGAGGGGGCTTTTAAGGCGCCTCAAAAGTCATCTCCTGTTTTGAGGCGCCTCAAGAGGCGGGAGAGGGCAGGAAAGGACCAGCCTGTGATGCGATTCATGTGCAGTCCAGATGCCTGCAGGGGCGGTAGCAGGAGAGGGGTTGAGGGGGAGGGAGGGGGTGTTAGCATCCATGCGAGAAGAGGAGGAGGCAGATAGGGTTCACGTGGCAATGATTTCACGCGAGGCAGTGAAAGCGTAGAAGAGCAAGCAAGGGGAGCAAGGGGGAAGAAGGGGGAAGGGGAAGGGGAAGGGGAAGGGAAAGGTTTGGGAAAGCAAAAGAACAACTTGAGAGAGGAACACTTATAGACGGGTAATCAACACGGGTGGCGGCGGGTTAAGAAAGGGGGAGAGGTGGCGGCACGGGGAGGGGAGGGGAAAAAGGGAGGCGATTGGGCGCGAGTTCCCACCACGTCCCTGCCAGAAGAAGGTGAGTTGGTCCCTCAGAGCTTGCTCCAGCGCCAGCAGCGCGCTTACTGGGGGAAGGAGAGAGAGGGGGAGGGGGAAGGTGAGGGGAAAGGGGAGGCGACGAAGACAGGAGGGGAAAGGGAACATGGGAAACCCGGAATGGTCCCCCTTCCCATGTCAAACTCGCGTCCCACTCCGTCCTCACCCCTCGTGCAACTCACATGGCGGGCAGCATGGGTGGCGGCTCGCGCCATGGCTCGGCGGAGGGCAGTGCTGCGAGCATGGCAGCACCATCGCCGCCTTTTGAGGCGCCTTGAAAGACGCGCGTAGAGGTGATGGAGGCAGGGAAGGCGTGCGACAGCAACAGCATGAAGAACGCTTCAGAGCAATCCGTCTGCAGAGAGGGCGCGCGATGATGGCAACAATGCTTGCACCTGCAGCTAGGGAAGGGGAGAAGGGGATGGACGGGGGGGACGCGTGGAAGGGGAGAGGGAGAAGAGGTAGATGGAGAAGGGACGTGGCTCGGGCCCTTGGGTTACTCAGGGTACAATGGAGTGCGATGGCATTATCAAGGCATAACTTGATGCTACTGATGACATTCAAGTCATTCGTTGTGCGTTTTGAGGTGCCCGTAAAGTGCTCACCTCCCCACTGCGCCCTCCCCTTCACACCTCCCCTTTTTCCTGCTGCTCACCCACCTCCCCACCATCCCCCATACCCAATGCGCCCTCACTCGCCCGCCTTCCCCCCCACCCTCCCCGCCCCCCCCCCTAGTGCACTCACCTGGCGACCGCACCTCGTCCGTCGCGGCGGAGGGCACCTCCGCGCGCACCTCCGCGGACACCTCCGTGCGCACCTCCGCGAGCACCTTTGCGCATGCCCTGTTCTCCTGCTCGCTTCCGGATGAATCAGGCAGCAAGCGAGCATGCTGCCTGCGCCTCGTCCGTCGCGGCGGAGGGCAGCGCCGTCACCACCGTCGCCGCCGGTTGAGGCGTCTCGGAGGACGCGAGCAACTCCGCCAGCACGGACAAGGCGCGCGCGGAGGTGCCTTGTCCGTAATTCGCGCGAGGGAAGATCGCGAAAGAAGGGGGCGGGAAAAAGTGGTGCAAAAAGGTGTTCGCATCGCGGATCGCAGCGTTACTAACTAGATCGCGGGTCGCGCTCTTGCTCGTGCCGTCACCCTCTCGCTCCGGCTACTGAAGAAGCGGCGCCTCCTACTTTCGCGCCTGCGACCCTGAGGATCGCAGCGTCTAATCCTCGCGAAGTTCACTCTCCGCGTCTAGATCCAGCTATCGGTAACAAAAATTAGCCATCTAGGCTAAAAACACGAGAGGCGAAAGACGATTGAGGCTCGATCGTGGTTGCGGAAGGTTGACAGATACACCGTTTCATTCCTATTGGCGTGGAAGTCAAACATATCCAATTGTTTTTTTTTCGGGTGCCCCTACAGCTAAACTATCAGCTAAACTTTTTCTGCCAACTACAAATTCTGACCCATACCAAAGACGTTCTGCACCGCTGAAGTTACAGCAACCCGCGTAAAAAGTTGAGGCAACTAAATTAGTGCCACGTCACGACCACCTCCTAGAATGTTCATCCCTGCCCTTCCTCCGTTCTTCGTTTTGCTGATGCGGATCCAACAACTTCCCCGACACCAGTACGCGTCCTTACAAATCTCGTTTACAACACACTGAGCAGCCGCATCGCTCAAGCCACATTTCATTGCTAAACCCTGTACCACAGAACACTAAAAGGAAACACAACACACAAATTGTCAGGAGTACAGTACCATTTCGAATTTCTGTCAGTTCCCGCGCAAACGGGGAAGCTCTGGGAGTTCCGCGAGCCTGATCATTTGCTCGCGACGTTCGCTATTAACTCCCAAGAATCGTAGTTCCAGTAACAAAATCGTCAACGCTTTTGCGAAAATGACAACCTCTGGTCGCAGCATGGCGGCCTCCACGGCTTCCAATGATTCTCTCACTTCTGCAGACTTGTTTTTACAATTCTGAATATCTCGGTATCACTTGGATTGCACCTGAACCAGACTTTCACTGATCAACGCCATTCTCTCTGCTCCGTTCTTGGCTTTCCTGATTAGACACCATTCTCAGAATAGTATTCCTTGATTCCTAAAATTGATTCAGTAAGCTGTAGTTCATGGTTGTCGCCACGTTATCTCGGTCCACTTAACGTGACTGAATCGTAGTCTCAATCATAGACTCATCAAGGCTGATACTATATCTTGGAATCCATTGCTGGCATCTTCAATATAGGCCTTCTTCATACTTAGCAGTCTCTGAAGTCTTCCTGACAGTGACGATCAAGCCTGCAAATCCTCAAGGTGACGACGAAAGCGACGTGTTCTTGGTGACTGATCAATCATTTTTATCGTTCCACTCCCCGTTTCTACTGAATGATACGTTTCTACCGCATTTCTACCGTTCCACTCCCCGTTTTTACTGTATGATCTGTTTCTACCGCATTTCCACCGTTCCACTCCTTGTTTTTACCAAATAATCGCTTTCTACCCCATTTCTACCGTTTAACACCTCATCTCTACTGAATGATATGTTTCTACGGCATATCTACCATTCCACTCCCCGCTTCTACTGAATGATATGTCTCTACCACATTCCTACCGTTCCACTCCCCGTTTCTACTGAAGGATCTGTTTCTACGGCATTTTTACCGTTCCACTCCCCATTTCTACTAAATGATATGTTTCTACCGCATTTCTACCGTTTCACTCCCCGTTTTTACTGAATGATCTGTTTCTACCGCATTCCCATCGTTCCACTCCCCGATTCTACTGAAAGATCCATTTCTACGGCATTTCTACAGTTCCACTCCCCGTGTCTACTGAATGATATGTTTCTACCGCATTTCCACCGTTCCCCTCCCCGTTTTTACCTAATGATCTGTTTCTACCGCATTTCTACCGTTCCACTTACTGAACGATATGTTTCTACCATATTTCTACCGTTCAACACCCCATCTCTACTGAATCATATGTTTCTACGGCATATCTACCGTTCCCACTCCCCGTTTTTTACTGAATGATCTGTTTCTACCGCGTTTCTACCATTCCACTCCCCGTTTCTACTGAATGACCGCGCAAATTTTCCCCCCTTCCCCACTGCCCTTGTCCCCTCCCCCACTCCACTCTGCCCCCTCCTTTCCACTCTCCCTCTCCCCTTCCCCTCTCTCCCAGTCGCGCCAACAACATCAAGCTACTAGGATCGCCCCCTGCAATTGAGCCCTGCACCCTCACCATCCTCCAATGCCCATGCTCCCTCACTGCTCCTGTCCCCCGTTTTTTCTCCACCCCCCCTTCCCCTCTCTCCCAGTCGCGCCAGCAACAACAAGCTATCTGGATCGCTCCCTTCAGCTCTCAACACGCTCACCACCCTCGAGTGCCCATCCTCGCTCACTCCACTCCCCCTCCCCCCACTTGTTTCTTTCCCCTTCTCCCAGTCGCGCCAACAACAACAAGGTATCTGGATTGCTCCCTTCGACGCTCAAAACTCTCACCACCCTCAATTCCCTGTGAGTAGCTTTCTACTTTATCCGTTTGACTGCCCCATCCACCCCTTACCTGTTCACCCCTGCTTTGTTCACCCTGCCCTATTCACCCAACACGCTTCATGCCATTCATACATCCCCATTCTCTTTGTGTGTGCAAACTTGCCAATGTTTCTCATTGTCTTCTGCGATATACACACTCGCTCTACACTCTAAACAAGAAAATTAGTTTCGTCCCCTCAATATTCTATCCGTCTCCCTCGTTGCAGCGCCCTCAAGGATTGCCCTGATGGTTACGAAGCGGCACTACTCTGGAGTGTCGAAAGCTGGATCTGGATGGAGGGCTTGCATATATCATCAAGGCAAAGAAAAAAATATTGCTATCGGGTGCAGGGACACTCAGGAGGAGGCCGCCAGGATATATGACAGGTGAGACCTTTATTTTTCTATAAAGCTAATCATCTACTTCTAGTTTAGGCATCACTCTTCCCGTCAGATTTTCAACCAAACCGCCATGGGTCACTAACCAACCCGAATATTTCTGTGGATTTCGTGGTCCTCCTTCCCTGCAGGGTGTTATACAAACTTCGAGGACCTGATCAGCAATTCAATTTTCGCCTCTCCAACGATCAAAAAGCTGTGCTCGATGCTGCCACAGAAGATGAACTATTCCACTCCATCTTTGAGGAGAATTCCTTGTACAAGATGAGCCGCTCTCTGTCGTGGTTTGAAGGCGTGTATTGGGACAGGTTCAAGAAGATGTGGAGAGCTGCAATGTTGGAAAACGGGGAGTCAACAAGTCTAGGCTTGTTTCCGACAGAAATTGAGGCGGCAATTGTCTACGACATGGCTATGATAAGGAGAGATGGCGCGCAAGCCAAAACTAATGGTAAGCTTTATAGCGACCGCAACAGCATGGCTAAAAGAGTGAGAAAGTTCCAAGCCCGAGGTAGAAGGGAGGTGGAGGTGGAGGAGGTGGAGATGGAGGAGGTGGAGGAGGTGGAGGAGGTGGAGGAGGAGGTGGAGGAGGTGGAGGAGGTGGAGGAGGTGGAGGAGGTGGAGGAGGTGGAGGAGGTGGAGGAGGTGGAGGAGGTGGAAGAGGTGGAAAGAGGATGAGGATGATCTGGTGGAGGTGAAAAAGGAGATGAAGGAGGGGGAGGGGGAGAGGGAGGGGGAAGGGGCGGGGGAGGGGGAGGGGGCGGGGGGGGGGGAGGGGGCTGGGGAGGAAAAGGAGGGGGAGGGGGCTGTGGGGGAAAAGGAGGAGGGGGCTTGGGGGGAAAAGGAGGGGGAGGGGGCTGGGGGGGAAATGGAGGGGGAGAGGGCTGGGGAGGAAAAGGAGGGGGGGGGGGCTGGGGGGGAAAAGGAGGGTGAGGGGGTTGGGGGTGAAAAGGAGGGTGAGGTGGTTAGGGGGAAAGAGGAGGGCGAGGGGGAGGGGGTTGGGGGGGAAAGGAGGGGGAGGTGGAGGAGGTAGAGGAGATAGTGGCGGCGGAAGTGGTGGAGGAGGTTTTTTCAACCAGCGGTTTGGGCTACCAGCTGGAGGCAGGATCGTCCACGGAGGACATGACGGAGGCTTCCATGCAAGAGTTACCGAGCTATATGACAATCCAATGGGCCTCGGGGCGTCCGGTTCCGTACTCCATCTGCATGGAGGAGATTCTGACCCAATGGGAGTATTGTGAGGCGGCATTCACAGAGTGGGCTGACACTATGGAACGGAAGTTTCAAGAGTGGTTAGCTGCCCGGGCAGAACAAGGGGGGACGGGGTAGGGAGGGATGGGGTGGTGGGGCTGGTAGAAGCGGGTTGCAATTGTTTAGATTTCACTACTGTTAATTCTGCTTACAACAAATTGTGATCATAGCTATGTTAGTTTTCACGACAGGTTGAACCTTGTACGGTACGGTGTAATTTGCTCCTTTCATATGACTGTTTTCTAACGGACAAGGTTTTGATGTTTGAAGTGGAGATTGATTATGTGGAGCACAACTATGTGAGACTAGGATATAAATGTACGGTACTACAAAATCAGACCCTTGTTTTCTTGACAAACAAACCACACACTCTCCTCATTCACCACTGCGTAGTGGCAACTACCTGTGAAGAGGATTACTAATCATGTCCAGAGGAAGCTCCAAGCGAGCAAAAAACAGGAAAAGGGAGGATGCGGTGCAGATGCGGTGGATGGGGGCAGAGCCAGCATACTGCCAGGAGAGGAGGTAGTCATTTATCAGCTGCAGCTGCAGGGAGAGGATGCGCGGAGCACGTGGCAGCAGGTCCACTGCGTGTGCTGCGTTCCCCATCATGCTCTCTGCTGCTAGACGTGCCTCCTGAGGGTGGAGATGGGTGGATAACCATCAAATATAAATAATGGATGAATGAGGTAAGTTAGAGCAACAGGTCCACTGCTGGTGCCCTGCTCATCGTTGTGCCCTCCATTGCAATGCGTCTCCCTCCTGAGGTTTGCGGTCTGGTGAAATGGGGAGAACGATTGGATGGAATGGGGAGAGAAAAAGATAGAGCAGCAGATCCAATGCGTGTTCTGCGCTCCCATCCTGCTCTCTGCTGCCATGCATTCTTCTTGAGGGGTGCAGGCAGGTGGAGAAAACAGCTGCATAAAGCTGTCATTTATAGTAACTGGATAGATCGGTTGGTCATAGTTGGATACAATGGGCAAATACAACAGCAGGTGCATGGCTTGCGCACTGCTCCTTCTCATGTTCTCTACTGCTCGGCATGCGTCCTAAGGGGTGCGTGAGGATAGAGTAGATGGCTTGAGGTTGTGAGCAAAGCAGGCGGACAGAAAGCAAAGAGCAAATGGTTGCAAGCATAAAGGGAGGGACTGGCAGCGCGGTGGACTGGCTTGGATCACCTCTCCTCTCCTCAGCAGCACCCATAACACCTTCCTCACCTCAAGCGCATCAATTTCACCCAGGAGAGCAAGCAGAGCAGCGCATGGCAGTGAGCACTGAAGGCGTGTGCTGCTGAGTATCCACATGCTGCACGCGGAGCGTGCCCATTCATTGGAGCCATTAATATGGAGCCTCTCTTTATTGTTTCCTTGTGAACTGGCCTTCGTGAGCACTTGACTTTAAGAACACTTGCCTGGGGGCAGAAGGCGGCAGTGAGGGAGGAAAGCGTGAGAGTCATGAAGCGAGTCCCACATCTGTCACCTGCTCGCACCCACATATGTCCAAACTCTGCCGCATAGAGAAAGTGGAAAGAGCATGTGGTTTAGAGTAGGGAGGAAAGGAGGCAATTTGGATGTGGTATCTGGGTGCATCTGGGTGTATCTGGGTGTATCTGGATGTATCTGGGTGCATCTGGGTGTATCTGAGTGCATCTGGGTGTATCTGGGTGTATCTGGGTGTATCTGGGTGCATCTGGGTGTATCTGGGTGCATCTGGGTGTATCTGGGTGCATCTGGGTGTATCTGGGTGCATCTGGGTGTATCTGGGTGCATCTGGGTGCATCTGGGTGCATCTGGGTGTATCTGGGTGCATCTGGGTGTATCTGGGTGCATCTGGGTGTATCTGGGTGTATCTTGGTGCATCTGGGTGCATCTGGGTGCATCTTGGTGCATCTGGGTGTATCTGGGTGCATCTGGGTGCATCTGGGTGTATCTGGGTGCATCTGGGTGCATCTGGGTGCATCTGGGTGCATCTGGGTGCATCTGGGTGCATCTGGGTGCATCTGGGTGCATCTGGGTGCATCTGGGTGCATCTGGGTGCATCTGGGTGCATCTGGGTGCATCTGGGTGCATCTGGGTGCATCTGGGTGCATCTGGGTGCATCTGGGTGCATCTGGGTGCATCTGGGTGCATCTGGGTGCATCTGGGTGCATCTGGGTGCATCTGGGTGCATCTGGGTGTATCTGGGTGCCACCTGAGCGGCACCTGCATGCCGCGGGCATCACCTGCAGCGGGGTGCATCCGTGTCGGAGTGTGGCAATAGCAGGGTTGATGAGCGACTGGCAGGTGGGGAGGTTGAGATGCGCGAGACTGGGGTGCGTGAGACTGCACCACCCTCATTGCCGCCCCCGTCACCTGCTACCCTGGGGAAAGGGTGGGGGTAGCATGGGACCTCATGTTAGAACGACAAGGGGAGAACAATCAAAATGGTTTGGGTAGAAGGGCATGTGAGGAAATGACGGAGCAAGGAGGGGGAGCTGGAGTGGCGTGATGGGTCTGTGGTGAAGCGTGTATGTTGCCATGCCTTGGTTTGAAGGAGAGGTGGAGGGAGCACCTTGGTGTAAGAGAGGTAGAGTGGATGGATGGCGTGGCAGTTGGAGAGCGGCGCAGCACATCCAAGCCGCGGTCCGTGATGCCCACACACCACCGCACTGACACCTCCTGCACCGCCTTGCACCCCGCTGCAATGCAGCACAACCCCATGTCCGTGATGCTGCGACAGTTGCCTAGTCCCAACACCTGCCCACCCCGCACACCATGCCATCATGCCACCCGCCATGCCAACACATTGTGCCGACTAGCCATACCACATGCCACATGCCATACCACATGCCACATGCCATCATCCCACATGCCAACATGCCACGTTACAGCATGGTGGGGTGGGGGGGAGCGAAGGAGTGGGAATAGGGTTACAGCCACGCATGCACCGCTAACTAGGTGGAGCGGGAGAGGAGGTGGGGAGGGGAGGAGAGGTATAGGAGGGCCAGGAGGGGAGGAGGGGCGGGAGGGAAGAAGGGCGTACCGCGAGTTGGGGGCACGAGGCGATGGGCATGAGAGCAGCATCGTTGAAGGTTTTGTTGGTGAGCCAGCGTGCCTGCAGCTGCGAGCCGGACCTGCAGGCACGGCACGCTAGGATTGGAGAACGATGCTCGGAGCCGGAGGCCAAAAACAGTCTAGATTGGAGTGTAGGGCCGAGGCAAGGAGCGGACACGAATAACAGCAACGTCATGCAGTGGCGGGAAACGAAAGAGGGAGGCGTGCCCCTTTCCCTTTAACACCCCCTTCTTCCGCTCCCCCCCCCCTTCCCCCCCCTCCCCCACCACTGCTCAAGACAGAGCAACAGGCCAGCACAAGATAACAAGAAACAAGACATGTAGCTCTCGCGCCCCGCGCCCCGCCCGTCCAATTCTCTCCCCGCGCGTACGAAAGTGCCCCCCGTCACGGCATGTCCGTCCCTCCCCGCACTATCGCTGCAGTGCCACCCGGTCCGCCGAGCAACGGCTCCTCTGCCGATGCGCACACCGCCCCTGCCCACCGCTGCAGGCGTGGACAGAGGTGTGGACGAGGCAGGCGGAAGCCGCCGAATTCCGGGCTGGAGTCGGATGGCGCGCGATCGTGGTGTGAGAGACGAAAACCGAGAGACGGGCGAGGTGCACTCTCGGTGCAGAGGTGCGTGCAGTGCAGGTGAGGCGGGGCCGGTAAAAGGGGCGAGGCGGCGGCAGCAGGCGCAGGGTGGGAGGACGCGCGCGGCGCCCTCCATCCAGTGGCGTGAGCAGCGGCAGTCTGTCCTGTCCAATACGCCGCACTCTCATGCCCCACATGCACGCGGTGCCATGCCACAGACCAAGCGTGCAGTATGCCAGCATGGCAGCATCAAGCACACAACCCATGGTCCATGTCCCCACAACCCCCCATGTCATCGCTCCACAACTCCCCATGTCATCGCTACTCTCCCACGCCATTTATCCCCCAGCATTCCATGTGGCGCCCATCTTTTCCCCACCCCTCTCCCGTGAGCGCACACACAGCTGCTGGCGCCCGGGTAGATGCCGGCGGTGGTGATGGCCGGCACACCCGCCGCCACCGCCGCCCCCTGCAGCGCACGAGCGTTTGCAGCGATCGCCACGTCGTCAGACACATCCACGTAGGGCGTCTGGGGAGGGGTGGTTGGGAAGGGGGGAGAGAGCGGGGGAAGGGAGGCACGTCAAATCTCCTTTCCCGCGCGTTGCCAGCGATCGCCACGTCGCCACACACAGCCACGGAGGGCGTCTGAGGGAAGAGGGGGATTAAGGGGTTGGGAAGGGGGCAAGAGGGAGGCCTTTTGAGGCGCCTCAGACGTCGCAGCGAGCACAGGGATGGAGGCGCAGGGGGGAGGTCGCACCTGGGATGGAGGCGCGGGGGGGAGGTCGCACCTGGGACGGAGGCGCGGGGGGGAGGTCGCACCTGGGACGGAGGCGCGGGGGGGAGGTCGCACCTGGGACGGAGGCGCGGGGGGGAGGTCGCACCTGGGACGGAGGCGCGGGGGGGAGGTCGCACCTGGGACGGAGGCGCGGGGGGGAGGTCGCACCTGGGACGGAGGCGCGGGGGGGAGGTCGCACCTGGGACGGAGGCGCAGGGGGGAGGTCGCACCTGGGACGGAGGCGCGGGGGGGAGGTCGCACCTGGGACGGAGGCGCGGGGGGGAGGTCGCACCTGGGGGGGAGGTTGCACCTGGGATGGAGGCGCGGGGGGGAGGTCGCACCTGGGACGGAGGCGCGGGGGGGAGGTCGCACCTGGGACGGGGGCGCGGGGGGGAGGTCGCACCTGGGACGGAGGCGCGGGGGGGAGGTCGCACCTGGGAGGGAGGCGCGGGGGGGAGGGCATACTTGATATGAAGGTGCAGGGGGGAGTGGTGGTGTGAGTGGTGCTGAAACATGGCTGAGTCACCATTCTCCCACCTATGCTACCACACCATTCACCCTCATATGCTACCACACCATTCACCCTCTACAAACACAATCCACTCAATCCCACACCCCTCGCCCCACGTCCCTCATCCGTTCGCCCCTGACTCACCCTCTGGTCCCACGCCTTGCCTTGCCGGTCTTCTCATTGGGCCACGGGCGCACATTCAGGATACTGGGACACCTGCGCGTCATGCATGCCGGCATGAGGGCATGAGGGCATGCGCGAGATGTTTGGGCGATTTAGCCCAAGCATGCAGGTGCCCGGGGCACCTGAGATGTTTGGGCGATTTAGCCCAAGCATGCAGGTGCACGGAGCACCTGAGATGTTTGGGCGATTTAGCCCAAGCATGCAGGTGCCCGGAGCACCTGAGATGTTTGGGCGATTTAGCCCAAGCATGCAGGTGCCCGGAGCAGGCGGCTGCGCTTTGGCTCGCTCGCCATCGGCTCCGCCCATACGAAGGCGCGGGGCGGAGGGCGTACCTGATACGAAGGCGCGGGGCGGAGGGCGTACCTGATACGAAGGCGCGGGGCGGAGGGCGTACCTGATACGAAGGCGCGGGGCGGAGGGCGTACCTGATACGAAGGCGCGGGGCGGAGGGCGTACCTGATACGAAGGCGCGGGGCGGAGGGCGTACCTGATACGAAGGCGCGGGGCGGAGGGCGTACCTGATACGAAGGCGCGGGGCGGAGGGCGTACCTGATACGAAGGCGCGGGGCGGAGGGCGTACCTGATACGAAGGCGCGGGGCGGAGGGCGTACCTGATACGAAGGCGCGGGGCGGAGGGCGTACCTGATTCGAAGGCGCGGGGCGGAGGGCGTACCTGATACGAAGGCGCGGGGCGGAGGGCGTACCTGATACGAAGGCGCGGGGCGGAGGGCGTACCTGATACGAAGGCGCGGGGCGGAGGGCGTACCTGATACGAAGGCGCGGGGCGGAGGGCGTACCTGATACGAAGGCGCGGGGCGGAGGGCGTACCTGATACGAAGGCGCGGGGCGGAGGGCGTACCTGATGCGAAGGCGCGGGGCGGAGGGCGTACCTGATACGAAGGCGCGGGGCGGAGGGCGTACCTGATACGAAGGCGCGGGGCGGAGGGCGTACCTGATACGAAGGCGCGGGGCGGAGGGCGTACCTGATTCGAAGGCGCGGGGCGGAGGGCGTACCTGATACGAAGGCGCGGGGCGGAGGGCGTACCTGATACGAAGGCGCGGGGCGGAGGGCGTACCTGATACGAAGGCGCGGGGCGGAGGGCGTACCTGATACGAAGGCGGAGGGTGGGGGGGAAGAGGGTGGGGGATGGGGGGTGGCGGGAGGGCTTAGTGGCAGGGCTACAGGGTTCCTGGTTGGTGGGTTCTACGGCAAGTTGCACAAGTGCATTCGCGAGGGATACAGAGCATGGCACCGACCCCACTTGCACGCCCACACATGCACTTGCATGCCCGCATGAGAATCTCAAGTTGCCCGACCGAAGTTGCCCGACCGAAGTTGCCCGTCCGAAGTTGCCCGACCGAAGCAGCACCGCAGCCTCTGCCCCTGGCAACAGCGATTTGACCATCAACGTAGAACCAGATGAAGAAAGGGTCCTTGCTGCCCGCCTTGCCCGCCCCTCACACCCTCCCCTTGTCCTCCTCACTGCCTATCTCCCTCTGCCATGTGGCCGAGGAGGTGAAGTGCAGGAGGCAGGTGCCCAGAGTGGGGAGTGACGGAGCCCAGGTCGCCAAATCCATGAGTGTGGCTATTCGCTCCCACACTTGCCAGGCTGACCTGGAAGGGCGGCAGCTGACCTGGAAGGGCGGCAGCTGACCTGGAAGGGCGGCAGCTGACCTGGAAGGGCGGCAGCTGACCTGGAAGGGCGGCAGCTGACCTGGAAGGGCGGCAGCTGACCTGGAAGGGCGGCAGCTGACCTGGAAGGGCGGCAGCTGACCTGGAAGGGCGGCAGTGGGCCGAGGTTGAGGGTGAGCGTGTGGAAGGTGAAGGCGAGGCGGCGAGCTGTGAAGCCCATGGGGCCCTGCAAGGTGAGGCAGCCCACCGGCCCCAGAAACACCCCGTTCTCTATCTCCATCGCCTGGTTGGGAGAGAGGAGAGGGGAGAGTGAGGGGGGAGGAGGGAGAGGGGGGGAGAGGAAGAGAAAAGAGAGGAAAAAGGGGGAAGGTGAAGGCGTGGCAGGGATTTTCGAAGCACATGTGGTTTGAAGGGTGGTAAGGGCTGGAGGGGAACACAGAGACAGGGGGTTGATGGGGAGGGAGATGGGGCATGGGGAGCAGCATGCGGAGAAAACGAAACAGATGTTCACGAGAGCATGTGGATGAGAGAAATGGTGGTGAAGAGGAGGAATGGTGGGTCCCAGCTGCATGCAGCAGCATGAGCTGAGCGGGGCAGCAGCAGGAGCGCGGAGGGTGGACGGCGGGGGCAGTGACGGTGGGCATCGAAGCATTGGATGGCGGCGATGGGGCCTCCCCGCCCTTGGCCGCCTTGCTCACCTGCTCTCGGGACTCGTGGGGGGCACACGCACAGTGGGGGGCACGGGCACAGTGGGGGGCACACGCACAGTGGGGGGCACGGGCACAGGGGGGGGCACACGCACAGTGGGGGGCACGGGCACAGTGGGGGGCACACGCACAGTGGGGGGCACGGGCACAGTGGGGGGGCATGGGCACAGTGGGGGGGCACGGGCACAGTGGGGGGGCACGGGCACAGTGGGGGGGCACGGGCACAAGTGGCAATCAACCTTGCGAGGTGACCTGCGAGCGAGAGGGAAGAGCCGAGTGCATGGGCATGAGGGCAGAATTGTGGAGCAGTTGGAAAAGTGCAGGTGGTGAAGGAGGTGGGAGTTTTCTAGGGGAGCTGGTTGGAGGACAGGAGAGAGAAGGAGGCACTGCAGAGCACTTGTGCGTACTGCGCCTGCTCCTCCAGGTCGCGCACTGCTCTACACCGAAGAGACCGAAGCGTGTTGCAGACACTGGAAAAGAGGGGGTTAGGGTGCGGGGAAAGGAGAAAGGGTGAGAGGGGGGAAGGGTGCGGGGAAAGGAGAAAGGGCGAGAGGGGGGAAGGGTGCGGGGAAAGAACTCTGGAAATTCAAACGGATAGCTGGTGGGATGATTGTGGGGAGGGGAGAAGGGCGGATGGGAGGGGAGGAAGGGGAACGCTACCTCGCTCACCCACCCTCACTGTGCCTCTGCTGATTACCCGCCTCTTCGCACCACTGCCAGTCACCCGCACCCCCCCCCCCCCATTGCAACTCAACCGCGCCCCTCCCCACTCCCCCATTGCCACTCACTAGCGCCCCCTTTCCCACTGCCACTCACCCGCCCTCACTGCGCCATCGCCCGCAGCGGTCACCAGCAGCGCCGCCCCCGCATCGGCTTCCCCCGCGCCCCCTGCAGCAGCTGCGCGCCAAGCCCTCCGCCTGCGGGGGAGAGCGCTCGCTGCGCTTGGCGGAGTGGCGCAGCAGTCGGAGCAGAAGGGGGAAGCGGCGGCTAGCGAGTGGGCGGAGGAGAGTAGGCCCGCGCGGGGCAAGGGTATTCTGGAAAAATATCGGAGAGAGGGGTGGCGAAGGAGAGAAAGGAGCGAGAACAGGGAGGGGAGGGCAAGAGTAGGTGGTTCGGAAATGAGGAGTGAATATTCGCTCTTGTTCTGAAACGCTGTTCATATCGCAGCAGCGTATGCGGCCTACACCGCGTGTGTAGGCGACTGTTCCAGCCTGCGATAAAGCGCGCATGGCTTGCGGGAACACTGAAACGGCGACTACCCACCTATTACGTTCGCTCATTACTGTAACGCTCGCCAAGGGGCGGGTTCCCGGGGGCAAGGCGGGGTGGACGCGGAGTGCCATGGGCCAGAGTCGCGCGGAACGCGGAACGCAGCGCGGAGGAGAAGGAACGAGCTCGGCGACAATCACTAGGGAAACCGCACTGGACGGCGTAGCTCGTTTCGTCGGCGGCTGTCAAATGCCCGGGCGGAAGAAAAGCTGTTGGCGGCGACTATAGCACGCGACGCGGCTGCTGATGATGTCTACGTGCGCTGAGAATGGCGGAGATCGTATGACTAGTTTCGATCGGAATGAAATTCAACTCGAGATTCGGGGGATGGGAGGGGCTCTCGAGGGAAAAGATAATGAAACATGTTTTTTTTAACTAGCTGTTGTAAAAAAGCACTCGCTGTATATCGAATCACTTCAGCTGCCTCGCTGGCTAAAGGGGGAATAGGCTGCTGACACGTGCACAAGATACAGTCGAGAACCTGGGAATCTGCAGAGAAAATAACCAATCAAGCAAGTGAGTCACGTCAGCAACAACCAGGCCAGAAGTCGAATGAGTTGAGAATGCATCGTAAGGAGTTTCATATTCTCTCTGTAGGTGGGATGAGTCCGCCTTTAGCGGGTTATAGGGAAAGGCGAGTCACTCACAACAGCAGCAAAGCAGATATTGCTCGTAACTGCTTGCTCTTCATTCTGCTGCTCTCTCCAGAAATCCCGAGTCGCCTCTTCTCTCGTTCATACCTCTCCCGTCTGGACCCATTTTTTTTCTTCGTGGGCCGCTTCGGAGCTCCTATGCCGCACCTCCTTTGATTCGCTCCTTCTGGAAGTCGCATTTTCTTCCTCCTTCAGGCCGTGCCGTGGCGTGCTTGTGCCCGTGCCTCGTCCCATTCACCCTCGCCAGGATGCGACTGTGCGACGAGAAGATGGGAGAGGAGGGTAATGGGAGGAGCCGTTAGGGGCGCCGCGATAGGCGCGTGATAGGCGCGCGAGATTTCGAACCACTCTATTGACAGTTTCGTTAGCAGGTTACTTATACACCGCAACTAGACGCGAAAGTGCGCCGCCACGTTTCAAATACAAGTCGAGTGGGCCCATAGTACCGCCGATTCATCCGCCGCCGGCGCCGGCAGAGAGCGTTGAGGCAAAGCACGACTTCTCATAGCCACCGTACTATGTTCCTCATACCCACTAAAAAAGGGATTGTAAATACAATTCATCTCGCCCGCTTTTTTAGGCGCCTCAAGAATCGTACCGCCTTCGCCGTCTCCTAGAATAGGCGCGCAGGCTGTACATAATCCCCTCTTCCGCGCCACTCCGCCTTCCCGTGCCCGCCTCTTCGGCTCTTCTGCTCTCCGCCTTTCCGCCTCCCCCGCCTCTGCACTTCTCCGCCACCCTCTCCGCCCTCCGCCACCCTCTCCGCCCTCCGCCCGCGCGCCATGGCGTTCCCGGAGCTGTTAGCGCGGCAGGCGTCAATCTAATCGCTCACGCTCGACGAATTCCAGGCGACGTTCGCAGGCCCGTCGCACGCCGTCGCATCCATGCCCATGGACGACTTCCTGCGATCCGTCTGGCTCGCCGAGGAGTCGCAAATGCTCACCGCCGCTCACGCCGCCGGCGGCGCGGATCCGCGCGCGCGCGACAAGGCTGCGGGGCTGCTGCGCGCACCCTCGCTGCGGCGGCAGAAGTCCGCCGCGGCACTTCCGCGCGCGCTGACTGCGCGGACCGTTGAAGACGTGTGGAAGGACATACAGGCGGAACTAGCGGGGGAGGGGGAAGCAGCGGAGGCGGGTGGGGCGTCGGCGGAGCGCGCGGAGGGGGGGAAGCGCAGCAGCAGCAAGCGCGGGGGCAGGGGCATCAGCAGCAGCAAACACGGCAGTTTTCGTTTGCGGAAATTACGCTGGAAGACTTTTTAGTGCGCGCAGGGATTTCGAAGGAAGAGCTTATAGGGGGGATAGAGGCTATAGTGGGAGAGCCGGGGGATGGGGAGGAGGCGAGTGGCGGAATTGGCAGCAGTGCGCGGAGAAAGGGGGAGGGCGGAGCCGGCGGGGGCGAGGGGGAAGGTGGAGGGGGGAAAGAAGGGGGGCAAGTCACTGGAACGGACGGGAGGATGGGGAGCGTGGGGGCGAATGGCAGCAGTGCTGACGTGGCACATGATTCAAAAGCAGCAGCAGGGTGGGAACTCCACCCGCATGGGGGGGCATCAGGGCAGGCAGGGCAAGCAAAGGTGCCATTCCTGCAGCAGCACAAGAATCAGCTTCACCCACAGCAGCAGAAGCAAGGGGGACAGGGCGGAGGCGAGGGAGGGAGAGGGAGAGGAGGTAGGGGCGGGGGCGGAGGGGCAGGAAGGGGAGGGGAGCAGGCGATGCAGCAGCAGCAGCAGGCGGTGGTTTAGATGGCAGCAGCAGCAGTGGCGGACGCGAGGCACAGCCACGTGGCGTGTGTCTTTGCCGCCACACGCCACGCTGCCGCTGCTGCCGCTCCCCCCAACGCCCTCGGGTCCCTGGGCACGCTGGGAGCGCTGGGAGGGCAAGGAGGGGGGTTGCTGGGGTCACTGGGAGTGCAGGGAGCGATGGGGGCGATGGGATCCGCCCCTGCTCGTGGGCTTGCCATGGGGATGGGCATGGGGGGCGGGATTGGGGGAGGCGTGGGCGGAGGCATGGGGGTGGGTGGGGGAATGGTGCCCACTACGTATGGTGTGGGCGCAGGGATGGGCGCAGGTATGGGCGCAGGTATGGGCGCAGGTATGGGCGCAGGTATGGGCGCAGGGGGGCTGGGGGGACTTGCTGGGGCGGGCATGGTTGCCACGGATGGGGTAGGGGGCGGGGGAGAGAGGTGGGGGGGCAGTGACGGCGGAGGGGGAGGGGGGCAGTCGGATACAGGCGGGGGGAGTGGGGATGGGGACACCCTGAGCGGGGGCGTGGGGGGGAGTGCGGGGCGGAGGGGGAGGAAGCGGAGTGGGGAGGGGGGAGGGGCGCCCGTGGAGAGGAGGCAGAAGAGGATGATGTCGGCCGCTCGGTCCCGGGCGTGGAAGCAGGTGGGGTGGGATGAAGTGTGGTGAGGTAAGGTGTGGACACTCTTGTTGTTTCGCTCCTCTGTGACACTGAGTGAGTGCTCTTGCGACTTTGAGAGGAGGCAGAAGCGGATGATCAAGAATAAGGAGTCGGCCGCTCGGTCCCGGGCAAGGAAGCAGGTCAGGTGCGGTGGGGTGAGGTGAGGTGAGGTGAGGTGGGGTGAGGTGAGGTGAGGTGAGGTGAGGTGGGGTTGGGTGAGGTGATGAAGTGTCTTTCAATTGTCTGCTGCTCCTTTGCTGTGAGGGAAGACTCTTTGAACAGGGAGTCCGCCGCTCAGTCCCGGGCGTGGAAACAGGTGAGGTGGGATGTAGTGCGGTGAGGTAAGGCGAGAATACTCTTCTTGTTTCGCTGCTCTTGTGACTTTGAGAGGAGGCAGAAGAGGATGGTCGGAAACAGGGAGTCGGCTGCTCGGTCCTGGGCGAGGAAACAGGTAGGGTACGGTGCGGTGCGGTGAGGTGAGGTGAGTTCAGGTGAGAAAGCGTTATCCAGTCCTCCTGTTTCGCTGCTCTGCCACAATGAGTGATGATTTTTGAAACTCTGAGAGAAGACAAACGAGGCTGATAAAGATCAGAGAGGCCGCTGCTCGGCCCCGGGCGAGGAAACAGGTGGGAGGTGCTCTCTCTCTCTCTTTCTCAAACCTCATGCTGTCCCCCGCTGTTCTGCCCTCCTCTTCCCCCCTTTCCTCCCCTCATAAGGTAAAAGTGCTCCCTCTCCCTCGCTTGCTGCCCTCTCCCATGTCTCTCCGCATGTTCCCCCCATTTCCTCTCCCCTCCCTCCTCTCCTTCCCTATTCCCCCCACTCCTCCAGGCGCACACAGTGGAGCTGGAGGCGGAGGCAGCGCAGTTGAAGGGGGAAAGCCCTCCCTCTCTGGAATACAGGTGGTGGTGCTCTCTCTCTTAGCCACATGCCTTGCTGCCCTACCCCCCTCCCCCCTCCTCTTTCAGGCGTACACTGTAGAGCTGGAGGCGGAGGTGGCGCAGTTGAAGGAAGAAAACGAGCAGCTGCGCGCCCAGCTGCTACTGCTGCAGTCCCAGACCCACGCGCACCCCAGCGTGGTGAGTGCGCATTGAGTGAACGAAGCACGGCACACGCACCCCTTCTCAGCTGGAGCGAGCGAGTACTCGTTGACATTGCTGTTGCCGTCACCCAGCACCGCAGCTTGTGCACATTGAGAGAACGAAGTGCGGCATGGGCGATGCGAGCACTCGTTGTCTTTACTGTTGCCGTCATCCAGCAGCACAGCTTCTGAAAATATCTCATCCTCCTCAGCACGTCAATCTGATCTGATTCTTATACTACTTCTCTTCTTATCTCTGACTCTGTGTTCTCTTGCCTCTGTCCCCTTCGGTCTTCTCTCTTATTTCGAGTCGACTAAAACAAAATGATTGCCCTCCACCGTCGATATTGCTTCCCTTTCTATCTCTGAACCTCTGTTCTTTCACCTCTGTCCTCTTCAGCCTTGTATTTCTCCTCTCAATTTCCCTAAACCTTGCAGCCAGCAGCAGTGCCTACTTCTCTATCTGCTGCAACACAAACAGCAGCACCAGCAGCGGCAGCAGGCACGCCACTCATTCTCCTACCACCACCATCAGCCGGACCGTCCAATTTGCCTGCACTACCCCTCTCAACCGCTTCACACCTGCACGTACCGTCACAGCCTCACACGTCTTTGCCAGGTGCAGCAGCAGCAGCGGCAGAAGGTGGGAAGGGTGGTGCTGGCAGCAAGGCACCCCAACGGTCCAGGTCAGGGCCATGGTGACCACCCTTGCTGCCTGGTCTCGCTGGATGCGCGACACCCCCTCTCAACCACATAACACCCCCCTTAACCGCTTCAAACCTGGACACACTATCTCAGCCTCACACTGTGAAGGGAGGTGCCGACATCAAGGCACTCCAAGCAACGGTTCGGGTCAGGGCCTGGTGACGAGGGAACCACTTGAACTGGCTGGTCTCTCTCGATGCGCCGCAAACCCTCTCAACCGCATCATACCCCCACTCAACTGCGTTACACCCCCACTCAACCGCATCACACCCCCCACTCAACCTCCTCGCACCTCCTTTCAACCGCTTCACACATACGCACACCATCTCAGCCTTACACTGTGAAGGGTGGTGCTGGCAGCGGGGCACTTCAACAGTCCAGGTCTGGGCCGTGGTGACAAGGGAGCACCCGAACTGGCTGGTCTCGCTCGATGCCCCACGTCCCCTCAACCGCTTTACACCTCCTTTCAACCGCTTCACACCTGTGCTGTGCATACCAACTCAGCCTCGCGCTGTGAAGGGTGCTACTGGCAGCAGGCCATAATAACGGCCTAATAGGGGTGACAAGAGGGCCATAGGGACACGGGGGACACGCACCACTTGGTTTTGCTTGATGGGGAACAGGCAGTGTTTTTCTGAATATACCGTATTGTCCAAGTCGGATTTTGTTTGTAGCAAGTGTGAGAACCTTGGAGTGGAATGCTGGAAGCATTCTTAGATGATCAAAATGTACCGGAGTCAAAGAGAGGTGCGTCACTGCAACTAGTTCAGGCTACGGTACCGGTACCGTACGAGTTGGCTCAGCTGACTAATAAACTCCAAGTGTGACTTTGCAGCGCGTACAGTTGTTGCTAAGAAGGAATACACATGTCCAGCTTATCCTTCAAAGCTAATGGCCATAGCTATTGCGTTACTTGCCAACCACCTGTGTTGTGTGCACATGACCTTATCTGGGCAGGTACCATATCACAGAGCATTTGGTTGACATCACTGCAATTGACCAAAAGCGGCAGGGCAGCTGCCACGACTTTTGGAGTTGTGAGCGGAGCGCGGCATGCCTATTGCATCCGTCGCATGTGGCCTTGAGTTGGCCCGAGAATGACAGCAAGCGAGAGATCATGCACGGGAAACAGATTCAGATGCCCTACCACTACCAGCAGTAGTTGACCAACAGGGTAGTTGTATCATGACAACCCAACCCTTGTCAAGCCCGGTCTCTTCAGCGTAGCGAGCCTTTTGTCAAGCTCCCAAAGCTCGAGGCCCGTGAGTGCTGAAACAGTCCCAAGCACCTGAATTGGGGGGGAAAAGGGGGGGGGGAGGGGGGGGGGGGGGGGGGGGGGGGGGGGAAGGGGCGAAGCGTTGGATGTCATATTCAGTCATGCTAAAATGAATGAGAATGACATAAAAGCATACGCTAACTGCTCATGTATATAATGTGAAACAATTGCTGTGAGCTGCAGCACATGATGCTTGATGGATGCATGGACGAAACATGGCATGATGAATTGCATGAATTACAGTTCAACGCATGTAAATCTGCATGTTTAGAATCTCATGACATGATGATACGGTAACACCATGTCAAGTGTCTCAGTGGCACTTGCATGGTCTTGCCCGACCCCGTCTCACCGCACACAAGGCTGGCAGGGCCGGCCTCCATGTACCTCCCCCACCCCACCGCACTCACCTGGCCCTTCCCCACACCGCTCGCACCTGCCCTTTCCCCCACACCGCGCGCACCTGCCCTTTCCCCCACACCACGCGCACCTGCCCTTTCCCCCACACCGCGCGCACCTGCCCTTTCCCCCACACCACGCGCACCTGCCCTTTCCCCCACACCGCGCGCACCTGCCCTTTCCCCCACACCACGCGCACCTGCCCTTTCCCCCACACCACGCGCACCTGCCCTTTCCCCCACACCACACGCACCTGCCCTTTCCCCCACACCACGCGCACCTGCCCTTTCCCCCACACCGCTCGCACCTGCCCTTTCCCCCACACCGCGCGCACCTGCCCTTTCCCCCACACCACGCGCACCTGCCCTTTCCCCCACACCACGCGCACCTGCCCTTTCCCCCACACCACACGCACCTGCCCTTTCCCCCACACCACACGCACCTGCCCTTTCCCCCACACCACAGCACCTGCCCTTTCCCCCACACCACAGCACCTGCCCTTTCCCCCACACCACAGCACCTGCCCTTTCCCCCACACCACGCGCACCTGCCCTTTCCCCCACACCACGCGCACCTGCCCTTTCCCCCACACCACGCGCACCTGCCCTTTCCCCCACACCACGCGCACCTGCCCTTTCCCCCACACCACGCGCACCTGCCCTTTCCCCCACACCACACGCACCTGCCCTTTCCCCCACACCACGCGCACCTGCCCTTTCCCCCACACCGCTCGCACCTGCCCTTTCCCCCACACCGCGCGCACCTGCCCTTTCCCCCACACCACGCGCACCTGCCCTTTCCCCCACACCGCGCGCACCTGCCCTTTCCCCCACACCACGCGCACCTGCCCTTTCCCCCACACCGCGCGCACCTGCCCTTTCCCCCACACCACGCGCACCTGCCCTTTCCCCCACACCACAGCACCTGCCCTTTCCCCCACACCACAGCACCTGCCCTTTCCCCCACACCACGCGCACCTGCCCTTTCCCCCACACCACACGCACCTGCCCTTTCCCCCACACCACGCGCACCTGCCCTTTCCCCCACACCGCTCGCACCTGCCCTTTCCCCCACACCGCGCGCACCTGCCCTTTCCCCCACACCACGCGCACCTGCCCTTTCCCCCACACCACGCGCACCTGCCCTTTCCCCCACACCGCTCGCACCTGCCCTTTCCCCCACACCGCGCGCACCTGCCCTTTCCCCCACACCACGCGCACCTGCCCTTTCCCCCACACCGCGCGCACCTGCCCTTTCCCCCACACCACAGCACCTGCCCTTTCCCCCACACCACAGCACCTGCCCTTTCCCCCACACCACAGCACCTGCCCTTTCCCCCACACCGCGCGCACCTGCCCTTTCCCCCACACCACGCGCACCTGCCCTTTCCCCCACACCACGCGCACCTGCCCTTTCCCCCACACCACGCGCACCTGCCCTTTCCCCCACACCACGCGCACCTGCCCTTTCCCCCACACCACACGCACCTGCCCTTTCCCCCACACCACGCGCACCTGCCCTTTCCCCCACACCGCTCGCACCTGCCCTTTCCCCCACACCGCGCGCACCTGCCCTTTCCCCCACACCACGCGCACCTGCCCTTTCCCCCACACCACGCGCACCTGCCCTTTCCCCCACACCACACGCACCTGCCCTTTCCCCCACACCACACGCACCTGCCCTTTCCCCCACACCACAGCACCTGCCCTTTCCCCCACACCACAGCACCTGCCCTTTCCCCCACACCACAGCACCTGCCCTTTCCCCCACACCACAGCACCTGCCCTTTCCCCCATACCACACGCACCTGCCCTTTCCCCCACACCACGCGCACCTGCCCTTTCCCCCACACCACAGCACCTGCCCTTTCCCCCATACCACACGCACCTGCCCTTTCCCCCACACCACAGCACCTGCCCTTTCCCCCACACCACAGCACCTGCCCTTTCCCCCACACCACACGCACCTGCCCTTTCCCCCACACCACAGCACCTGCCCTTTCCCCCACACCACAGCACCTGCGGAACTTCTTTGATACTGATTGGTTTCCCCGACCCCGTCTCGCCGCACACAGCACTGCTGCTCCCCGCGGCCTCCACCCCGTCACCCTCCCCCGCCACCACTGGCAGTGCTGCCCGTTGTGCTTCTATCTCCGCACAGCACCTCAGCTTGGCCCCTCTCTCTCCCCGAGGTGCGCGCGGCAGCTGCTGCCATTATGGCCAGGCCCAGAAGGGGTTGGGCAGTGGGGGAGAGGGAGGTGAAGGGCGGCGGGTAGGACGGATAGAGGGGGAGGCGGGCTTGGGGAAGTGGGCACGAGAGAGGCGGGCAGAGAGGTGTGGTGGAGAGGACGGGGGGAAGGTGACGAAGAGGTGGGGAGGGGTTCGCGGGAAGGAGAAGAGGGAGTGATGTGGGGGCGAGAAGCGGAAAAGCGGAGAGGTGTGGGAGCGAGGGCAAACATGCACCCACGTCTGACGCGGCAACGGGCAGCGCCGCGACCTTCCCCCTTCCCCACTGCACCTTCCCCTCCCCACCCACCGTACTCCGTCCACACTGCGCCCTCCGCTCCCCGACCTTCCCCCCTCCCCACTGCGCCCTCCCCTCCCCACCTCCCCTTCTCCCCACTGCGCCCTCCCGCCACCACCTCCCCCATCCCCACAGCGCCCTCTCCTCCCGCACCCCCCTCGTCCGCGCAGCTCACCTCGACCGCGCGTCGTTCGCGGCGAAGGGCAGCGCCGCGCGCTTCTCCGCGCGCTCCTCCGCGTTGTACAGTAAATTATAATCGCAACTGTCTTGCTTTCCTTGTGCTGAACATTCACCTCCCCGCGCGCCTCCGCGCGGATGAATCAGGCAGCACGCGTGCATCCCGCCCGCGCCTCGTCCGTGGCGGCGGAGAGCGCGCCTCGAAACAACGTCGCCGCCTTTTGAGGCGCCTTGAACGACGCGCGCACCTCCGCCGGCACGGACGAGGCACGAGCGGGGAGGTGCCTCGTCCGTCAGTTCATCGCCCGCGCCTCGTCCGTGACTTAGCGAGACGACGCTGAAATAGAAATGGTGGGGATCGAACTGAACAGATTGAATCCAAATCTAGTTGGTTGAGTCACGAAAAAAATACGAGTTCACAATTTTGGGGGGTGAAGCAAAATAACCGCTTCGGATTGCACAGAAAATCACCGTACCGCTCCGACTAACTCGAAAGTGAACTTTTGTGAAGTTCTGTTTTCATTGGCGAAACGGAGCAACCGAACTATACACGCTACCCCACTCACTTTTATCGAGTACTGAACCGTCGATTTTACCACGCTGCCACAAAGCTTCCTCGGAATTAGTCTGCTAACGCGGCAGCGAGCCTCAATCTTTTGATTAGCTCTCTGGATTCGCCACGATGACGACCTCTCTCGGAGTTTGTACGGTATCACGCAAGCAAGCTTGCACGGCAGATCACTCCAACACCCAACACATTTTCCCTCCTATTGCCACGCCACACCAGAGCACACTAACCTTTTGGAGACTAGTAATCACGCATCGTGACTCAGATCTACCTGCACGACGCTATTCGGTGTGTTGCACCACTGGTATCCCGATCCAGACCTACATGAATTTCACTAGGAGACTACCTTGCCATAGATTTTCACTTAGATGTACTTCCACTAGAGACCGCTTGCATCCTCAACCAGGGAACTACTGTTGAGGCTCAGCACGTGGATTTCGGTGCTGCTCCGTCTATGATCCATCGCGCCACAGGTGAGCGCCATCTTAGATAACTCATGAAGCTTCCTGCTAGATCATCCGATGCATGATGAGAGATAATTTTAGCCAGCAGCAAGCACACATTGCAGAATTATGACGAATAACCGTGATAATAGTTGCGTCGTTTGGATCTCTTCCTGCTCGCTCCTTCCTTACTGATTGGCACTTTCTTGATTTGTTTTTTTCTGCAGAACCATGACGAATCTGTTCGAGCACGTGCTAAAAGAGTTGCCAAACCCCAAAGGCGGCTCGTTTGGCTCATATTACAGCCTCCCCCAACTCGAAGATTCTCGCATCGGTACCTCGTTGATTCTTTGTTTTCAAATTCCAGTTGAATATCTTTCCATTAGCTCGTTTTAAGTAATTACCTCCTATCCTGCAGATGAACTGCCATTTCTTGTCAAGTACATGCTGGAGTCCGCCGTTCGCAACTGCGACAATGACCATGTCACGAAGGCGGACGTGGACAAGATCCTGAATTGGGCTGAAAATTCCCTGCACCAAGAGAAGATCCTCTTCAAGCCAGCTCGAGTCATCCTGCAGGTTCGTAGCCGCATTTCTCCGTAAGGTGAGGTCGCATGCGAGCCGGGAGCGGGGGCTGCTGCAGGTGAGGAGGCAAGCAAGCTAAGGGGTGCTGCAGGTGAGGAGGCAAGCAAGCTAAGGGGTGCTGCAGGTGAGGAGGCAAGCAAGCTAAGGGGTGCTGCAGGTGAGGAGGCAAGCAAGCTAAGGGGTGAGTGGGGAGGAAGAAGCGAGTGGGGAGCAGGGCTGAAGTGCTCTGAGGAGGAGGAAGCGAGGGGAGATGCGGAAGCGAGGGGGAGAGGAGGGCTGGAGGGCTTAAGGAGGAGAGCGGGGAGAGGAGGGGGCGGTGGGAGTGAGGGGTGAGTTGGCGGCGGCTAGTAGTCGTGGCCGCAGAGTTGAGAGCGGCAGTGACGATGGTACGTCGCAAGGGTGTGAGGCCGCGACATGAGACCGCGGCGGCTATGTAAGGCTGTGGTGGTGAAAGTGGTAGGAGCTGTGGCAAGAGGCGACGAAAGCAGGTCGCGTGGGCGGCGGATTGTTCCGCGTCGGCGGAATGCAGTGGCGGCGGCGGATTCGGTCACGACGAGCGCCCGCGTTCGTCGTGGCAGTGGCGCCCGTCCGCCCGTCAACGTGGCCGTTCCGACGGTCGCGCTGGCCGTCCCGACTGTGGGCGCATTCGTGGGAGAGAGGGGAGGGCCGTGACAGGCGGAATTGACCTTAGGAAGGGGGGAGGGGCGCTGGAACTTTAGCGCAAGGGGAGGGGGGCCGTGACGGCGTAGGATCGCATCAGGCGCAAAGAGCGACGTAGCGTCGCGTAAGGGAGGGGGGCGTGATGCGGCACACGGCATCGCTGGTTGCGAGCGCATGGCACTTTTCCACTCTCCTTACACCATGCTGCCCTGCTTCCCGTGCTTCCCGCTGCCCCGCTTATGCTCCCCTCTCTCCCCACCCCCCAGGCATCCACAGGAGGTGCTCTCAAGCCTAACCACATGCTGACCTCTCATGCCCGCCCCCCCTTCCATAAGTGAACCATGTCATACATGTGAATAACATATTATGTCCTTGTATTGATTGATCAGGACTTCACTCGCATTCCTGCTGGTGTGGACCTCGTTGCGACACAGGACGCGTTGAGGAAGGCCGGCTGCAATCTTCTTACCATCGACCCTCAGGTGCATTTTAAAACTGTGCACGCCTCATGCTGTTCTCCATGCATTCACTCACGTACAATTCATGTTTCTTTCTTGTTCGAATCGCGGTTATACTGCTCTGAGTCAAATGTCCTGCTGCAACAAAGTCCTTCTGCTGCTCAGAGCAGATGTCATCTGCTGACCCCTTTCGCCCCCAACCCGCTGCATGTGGATCGACCACTTGGTGCACGTGGACGATGCAAGTGTGCTCAACGCGCGGAGCCTTCTGATGCGCCTCAAAATCGGTTCTGTCTCTTCCACCCCTTTCCGTCCTCTCCTCCCCCTTCCTCCCCCTCCCCTCCTTCCCCCAGCTGCCGGTAGATTTGGTAATTGACCACTCGGTGCAGAGGACTACGCCGAACGTCCAACGTGCTGAGCCTTTCTGAAGTGACTCAGAGCCGGTTCTGTCCCTTACCCCCGTCCCTTCCTCTCCTCCCCCTCCTCTTCCCCCCCTCCTTCCCACAGGTGCCGATGGATCTGGTGATCAAACACCCGGTGGGCCTCAGCATGGAGCGCGCGATCGAGCGCAACATTGAGCGGCTCGCTCTCCTTGATTCAACCTCGACAGTCACCAGACAGATTGTTGTGGTCCCCCCTGGCGCTGGCATCGTGCACCAGGTCAGTTTTTTGCTAGTGCCTGAGGGTCTCTGCGTTGTGGCCTACTTTTGGGGCGCATTACAACTATCAACTCCCGTGCAACAGAAAAATGCCACGATATACTGACTTGTGATAACTGTTCTTGCGTTATACTGGAGGTCAAGGGGCCGCTATACCCTGACAGCGTCGTCGGCATTGACTCTTGAGGCAACTGTGTTGTTTCATTGTGATGTCCCAACTGCAGGTGAATCAGGAGTACCTGGCGCAGGTGGTGATGGAGGTCGACGGGCTGCTCTACCCTGACAGCGTCGTCAGCACCGACTCCCACTCCACCTTGACCCATGGTCTCGGCATCCTCGGCTGGGGCGAGAGCTGGTCTAGAGCCAAAGGTGCCATGCGCGGGGAGCCCATACGCATGGACCTCCCCCAAGTCGTGGGCGTCAACCTCACGGGAAGGCTCCGAGCGGGAGCCACGGCCACGGATGTGGCTATGACGTGCATGAAACCCAGCATGCTGAATTCGTTCGTGGAGTTTTATGGCGAGGGGATGCGGGAGCTGTCAGTGGCGGACCGGGCGACAGTGGCGAACCTGCTGTCGGAGTTTGGGGCGACCATGGGGTTCTTCCCGGTGGACTCGGTGACGCTGCAGTACCTGAGGGACACAGGGCGCGATGAGGCGAAGGTGGAGCAGGTTAAGGCTTACATGTGCGCCAACCACCTCTTCATGGATCACGCCACGGTGAGTTGATGTTACCTGGTGTGCTACCACCTATTCATAGATCATGCCATTGGCTTGCGCATGGTAACGAATGTGGTGTGTTTTGACTTGACTAAATGCACACGGGTGCATGTGCCACGTGCAAGTGCTTCTCGTTTCCTGCGCTGTACCTTGCTATTGTAGGGCCCTGCATCTGAATCTCATCCGTATGATCCCTTCTATCCTTGCCTTGTCGTCCGTTTCACCCCCAGGCTGGAGAGGCGGAGGCCAAGCCCAAGTATTCCAACTACCTCCAGCTGGACCTTGCGACTGTGGAGCCCTGCGTCTGCGGGCCACGCATCTCTGGGCCCGACGCCTGCAGACCCTACTGGTAAGCCATGGTTCTCCGGTCGCAGATGGGCAATAATATTCCCCATGCCGTTGTTACTCTACATCTCTGTTCCTCCTACAGCTGCTTTCCTTCTCAAGTTTTCCCCTTCCCCACAGCCCCCAAATTCCCTTTCCTCCGTCCTTCTCTCATCCTCTTCTCAATGGTCTTGTTCGGTTGCCTGCCTTGCTTACTTCTTTGCAGGCCGCACAGATTTGTCAACCTCAAGACCATGAAGTCGGGCTGGGATGAATGCCTCAGCAACACCGTCCGTTCAAAGGCAAGTCTTTTGTGTGATAATAGCATGTTTTGAAGGCTCCCTGCCTCGTACACTCTGACTGGTGTGCTTGCATAGCCTCGACAACAAGGCCGAGCAGGGTAAGAGTGTGAAGGTGATATTAAAGGAAGGATTGGAATCCGAACTGAAGCATGGTTCCGTTGTCATTGCTGCCATCGCCTCCGCACCAACCAATCCAACCCCTTCTCTCATGCCTCAACCTCTCTGCCAGTGGCTCACTGTATTGTTTTGTCTCTACCACCCGATCCCCTCTCTCGGTCTCCCTTCCACAGGGCTTCGGCATCCTCCCGGACCAGCAAGGAAAGAGTGTAACGGTGACTCTTGAGGAAGGGGTGCAAATCCAGCTGAAGCACGGGTTCGTGGTCATCGCCGCCATCACCTCCTGCACCAGCGCGCTCAACCCGGCGGAAATGTTGACAGCAGCCCTGGTGGCGAAGAAGGCGAGTGAGAGGGGGCTACAGGTGAAGCCCTACGTGAAGACGAGCCTCGCCCCTGCCTCCAACGTGGTGACCAAGTACCTTGAGGCCAGGTGAGAGGAGTTTGGGGTTCAGGGCGGCTCATACGGTAGGGTTTTCTCAGGTGCACTGCAGTTGAAGGATTTGAGTGAACGATTTAGGAAGGGGTTTCGTGAGGGATGCAGGGGAACGTGAGACTCCTCAAGGTGGGGGTGGGGAAGAGGTGGTGGTGCTAGTGCAGTCCGTCAGTGATGCTGGCAGACAGCAGCCGTCGTGGCGGTGAAGGTGAGTGGGAGGGGGCTCTAGGGGAAGCCGTATGTGAAGACGAGCCTGCCCCCTCCCTGGGTGCAACGTCGCCACCAAGTACCTTGGGGCCAGGTGAGGGAGGGCTGGGCATGGATAGTTCAGTTTCTTGTACTACCTCCCTTACTTTGCAATTGTTTTGCATGGTGTCCTCCTGGCTCTCTAGGGCATAGGTTTCAGTCTCTTTCCTTCCTCCTCTCCATCTTTATATGCCCCTCTTTTCCCACCATGTGTGCAGTGGTCTCCTGCCAGCTCTGGAGGGTCAGGGCTTCCACGTGGTGGGGCATGACTGCACCACGTGCATTGGAAGCTCAGCTAAGATTTCAGAGTCTGTTATGGAGGCCGTTTCTGACAACGGTACGTTGCAGTAGCATACCCTGTAACAGTAGCAAATTTGGTTCTTTGTCTTGACACAGCCAATAGTCTCGTATCTCCTTCATTTCACCCGAGCCAAATACCATGCATCCCCATTCCCCATCTCCCTTACCCCGCTCCCCTCTCCCTCGCCCCCACTTCCTCAACAGGTCTGGTGGCAGCAACAGTGCGGTCTTGTAGCCGTACCTCTGAGGGGCACGTGCATCCTCTCTTTCGAGCTAACTACCTTGCGTCGCCGCCCCTCGTCGTGGCATATGCGCTCGCTGGCACGGTGGGTGTTCAGTTTGTTGGCCTGCACTTGTTTGATTTATCTAGTTGTGATCTTAATGTCAGATTAAAACATCATTTCTCTTGTATCGCCCGCTTTTGTTGTCACGCACTCACACCGTCATCCAATAATTTATCAGGTGGACATTAACTTTGAAGAAGAGAGCATCGGATCGGACAAGGATGGCAATGAGGTGTTCCTGAGAGACATCTGGCCCAGCAACGAGGAGGTGGCAGAGGTGCGTGCTAACCAAAATGGTTTATGGATGTACTGAAACGTACCTGCTATGCACGCACCTGCCACGTACGCACGAACTGCCATGCACGCACCTGCCATGTATGCACGAACTGCCATGCACGCACCTGCCACGTACGCACGAACTGCCATGCACGCACGTGCCACGTACACACGAACTGCCATGCACCTGCCATGTATGCACCAACTGCCATGCACGCACCTGCCACGTGCGCATGTCCTGCCATGCACGCACCTGCCACGTGCGCATGTCCTGCCATGCACGCACCTGCCACAAACGCAGGCAGTGAAGGAGGGGGCAAACAACGACCTCTGGAGACACTCACCACCCCTGTTTTCCTCATCTTCACCATCCCTGAACGCTTATACCTGTCAGGTGTTGGAGAGGGCGGTGCTGCCGCAGCTCTTCCAGTCGGTGTACGAGGCAGTGAAGGAGGGCGCCACCGACGCCCTCTGGAACAGCCTTCCAGCAGATGACGAGATTGGTTGGAGGGACGGGACGGACGCGTCCAGCCTGCACCTGCTCAGTCAGGGCGACTCTGTCGCCACTGATCAGACCTCACCTGCTGGTCAGTAACAGATGGCTGACACTTTTGTTTGTTTTTTTGAGTTCTTCCCAACCCAGCAATGGTAAGGCATAGACGTTTGAACTCTGGGGGAGCTGCTTTCCTTCCCCCCTGCTTTCCTTCTTTCCTTCTTGAACTCAGCAGTAGTGCCAACCGCAGCAGCACTTGCAGTGCCAACCGCAGCAGCTTGCTGTAGTGAACCTCTCCCTTCCTGTTTCTCTCGCTCACGCTACCCCAAACCCTAAGGCTACTATTCTAACATGGTAATCAGAGCAGGCCGTTCCTAGGCCTAGTTTTATGCTCGTTATGGCGGCGCCTCGAGTCGCTGCTGATCGACACGGTGGCGAGCTGCGCAATGGCGAGATCCGTCGCTCCGTGCCCATTTCGTCTTCCCGTTCGCTCCCATTACGCCTTGCTCGTCGCGCTCGTAGTGCCCTGCTCGTTGCGCCCTGCCCGACGTGCCGTCGCTCGCCCCGCCCCGCGCACGACCCCGTCACCCGCGGCCCCGTCGCCTCGCCGCTGGCCACGCACGCTCAGGCGCCAGCGCGAACGTCAGCGCCAGCAGTGCCAACACAGGTGGTGAATGCGCAGTTGCTCTCAGCCTCCCTGCCATTTTTTCACAGCTCACTGTGCCCTCAGCCCCCTTTGTCGTTTTCCCACGGCTCACTTTCCCTCAGCCCCATCTGTCACTTTGGCACCGTGCACCGTGCGTACAGCCCCCCCTGCCCTTTGGCACGGCGAGCCGAGGCCACACTCCCCCCCCCCGCATACCCCCTTCCCCCCGCACCCCCTCCCCTCCCCTCCCTTTGACACGGTGCTCCATGCCCCCTCCCCTTTTGCATTTATGTTTTCAACCCTTTCTCTAGCTATGGACCGTTGATGGCTTCTAAGAAAATACCTATTTCATAGTTTCAGCCGTTTTTTTAAATCCCTCCGTGTCTACTCTATTTACAGCGATCGACTGGGAGAATGTTCGTTTATGGATTGTCGACCATTGGGATCAGATACTGGAAAGTCGGTCGAACATCGAGAGCCTGAAGGCCCTTCTAATGGCTCTTACACGTATGTCTTAGGGGGAGGGGAGTGGTGAACGGGGTGGCATGGGGAGAGGGGTGGCATGGGAAGGGGAGGGAGGGTAGGGGGGGGTGGCTTGGGGTAGTGTTTGGCATGGGGAAGGAAGTGGCAAGGGGTTGGGAGTGGGGCATGTGGAAGGGGGTAGGGGGTGTTGAGTGGGGTGGTATGGGAAGAGGAGTGGCACAGAGTCACGAGTTCTTTCTCCTCTCTTTCTACTATGTTCCTCCCTCCCTCATCTTGCAGACTACCGAAGAAGGGACGGTGAGGAGCACTTGAATGCTCTACTTCAAGCCTGCCCCATCCCGCCAAAGATATACGAGGAATTTGCTGCGGATGACTTTGAGGAACTCTCGATCAATTTTGAGGAGGTATGTGTGGCATGGGAGGGGTGTGTGTTGCACGGGAGGGGGGTGTGTGGCACAGGCAGGTACCAGCAGGAGCTGGAGGGGGCTGCAACAAACATGAGTGCCGGCCAGACCCACTTAGACTGAATGTGATCACACTGAATGCACACTGAATGCACACTGAATGCACACTGAATGCGAGCACGAAGTTTGGGGTGAATGTGACTAGCGTGAAGGTGTGGTGTATGGGTGTGTTCTCCATGGGCGTGTGAGTGGAGGGGAGGGAGGCACCAGTTCGAGAGCGAAGGAGGGGGGCACCTTTTCGAGAGTGCGGGAGGGGTGGACCATTATGTTGCACGTGCATGAAGGTGGAGGAGGGGATGAGAGGGGCAGGGGGGGATGAAGTATGATGTTTGGTGTAGCGGAGTTGCTTAGAGATACACCATTGCTACTGGCATGTGTGTGTGTGTTTGTTGATGAAAAGAACACATCATCATTTTTAACCCCCTATCTGCCCCTCTCTCCCATGCTCCCTCTCACCTGCTCCGCTTTCACCTGTCCTCATTGTTTCACAAACCAGATCCAGGCGGCCTTTGACAACTTGCAACAGCAGGTGGAGGCAGAGCGAGGTGCGGATGCGGAGGAGCGGGGCGCTGAGAACGAGGGGCTGCGTAGAGAACACGTTGTGAGTAGAGTCGTTAGCAGGTTCTATCCTCACTGTGAGGAGGGGGGATGACTGTTTGAGGTTTGATGCACGACTGGAGATGCAACGGGTGAGCATTAGGGACGCCAGTTGTGGGTCAGTTTGAGAAAGCAGTGCAAGGGGTTCGCCATGGCCTGCAGCTGCTCGCTATGGTAAGTAGCAGCACCTCCGCTTGTGCCGATGTAGCTTCCTAGACTAAAGCCTGGCATTTGATGCTGCTGAATGCTGTCTGGAGGACAAGGCAGCCCGGGCTGGCATCTGTAAAAGCGTGGGCAGCGCGAATGATCGTTCCCCCCCCACCAGCTATACTGATATGCAGGTGAGCGCCGCTTTTGCTGACGTCCTCATGATGCTTTCACCTATTGCTACCGGTCTTGCCCCCCCATGGGGCTTCGCTAGTGCTATGAGGCGGGAAGATGATGTCAGCGGTTGTGCCACGGACTGCGACAGGTCGCTACGCAGCACCATGTTTGTCAGTGCGTGCAGGTGAGTGCACACTGGTGTGTTCGTCAGTGTGTGTCGCGGAGGTGTTCGAAAGTTGTTCCAGATGGCCTGCCCCCGCTACGAACAGTGGTGCCTTGTTGAGGTATGGCCGTGTCATCTGCACCCTCGTCTCCGCTAGCGGCCCATTAGTAGAGTCGTCAAGGGAGGTGAGTAGCAACAGCTGCTGCGCTTGTGTGACCTTTGCCAGGAATCCAAAACGTCCCTCCACTGCGGGGTTGGCAAGATCCAGGCCCCCACGCGAGATAGGGAGCGAGCCTGGACCCAGGTACGTGTGGTCTCTGCCCCCAAGCGAGTTAGGGAGCGAGCCTGGACCCAGGTACGTGTGGTCTCTGCCCCCAAGCGAGTTAGGGAGCGAGCCTGGACCCAGGTACGTGTGGTCTCTGCCCCCAAGCGAGTTAGGGAGCGAGCCTGGACCCAGGTACGTGTGGTCTCTGCCCCCAAGCGAGTTAGGGAGCGAGCCTGGACCCAGGTACGTGTGGTCTCTGCCCCCAAGCGAGTTAGGGAGCGAGCCTGGACCCAGGTACGTGTGGTCTCTGCCCCCAAGCGAGTTAGGGAGCGAGCCTGGACCCAGGTACGTGTGGTCTCTGCCCCCAAGCGAGTTAGGGAGCGAGCCTGGACCCAGGTACGTGTGGTCTCTGCCCCCAAGCGAGTTAGGGAGCGAGCCTGGACCCAGGTACGTGTGGTCTCTGCCCCCAAGCGAGTTAGGGAGCGAGCCTGGACCCAGGTACGTGTGGTCTCTGCCCCCAAGCGAGTTAGGGAGCGAGCCTGGACCCAGGTACGTGTGGTCTCTGCCCCCAAGCGAGTTAGGGAGCGAGCCTGGACCCAGGTACGTGTGGTCTCTGCCCCCAAGCGAGTTAGGGAGCGAGCCTGGACCCAGGTACGTGCGGTCTCTGCCCCCAAGCGAGTTAGGGAGCGAGCCTGGACCCAGGTACGTGTGGTCTCTGCCCCCAAGCGAGTTAGGGAGCGAGCCTGGACCCAGGTACGTGCGGTCTCTGCCCCTAAGCGAGATAGGGAGCGAGCCTGGACCCAGGTACGTGTGGTCTCTGCCCCCAAGCGAGTTAGGGAGCGAGCCTGGACCCAGGTACGTGTGGTCTCTGCCCCCAAGCGAGTTAGGGAGCGAGCCTGGACCCAGGTACGTGTGGTCTCTGCCCCCAAGCGAGAAAGGGAGCGAGCCTGGACCCAGGTACGTGTGGTCTCTGCCCCCAAGCGAGTTAGGGAGCGAGCCTGGACCCAGGTACGTGTGGTCTCTGCCCCCAAGCGAGTTAGGGAGCGAGCCTGGACCCAGGTACGTGTGGTCTCTGCCCCCAAGCGAGTTAGGGAGCGAGCCTGGACCCAGGTACGTGTGGTCTCTGCCCCCAAGCGAGTTAGGGAGCGAGCCTGGACCCAGGTACGTGTGGTCTCTGCCTCCAAGCGAGTTAGGGAGCGAGCCTGGACCCAGGTACGTGTGGTCTCTGCCCCCAAGCGAGTTAGGGAGCGAGCCTGGACCCAGGTACGTGTGGTCTCTGCCCCCAAGCGAGTTAGGGAGCGAGCCTGGACCCAGGTACGTGTGGTCTCTGCCCCCAAGCGAGATAGGGAGCGAGCCTGGACCCAGGTACGTGTGGTCTCTGCCCCCAAGCGAGTTAGGGAGCGAGCCTGGACCCAGGTACGTGTGGTCTCTGCCCCCAAGCGAGTTAGGGAGCGAGCCTGGACCCAGGTACGTGCGGTCTCTGCCCCCAAGCGAGTTAGGGAGCGAGCCTGGACCCAGGTACGTGTGGTCTCTGCCCCCAAGCGAGTTAGGGAGCGAGCCTGGACCCAGGTACGTGCGGTCTCTGCCCCTAAGCGAGATAGGGAGCGAGCCTGGACCCAGGTACGTGTGGTCTCTGCCCCCAAGCGAGTTAGGGAGCGAGCCTGGACCCAGGTACGTGTGGTCTCTGCCCCCAAGCGAGTTAGGGAGCGAGCCTGGACCCAGGTACGTGTGGTCTCTGCCCCCAAGCGAGAAAGGGAGCGAGCCTGGACCCAGGTACGTGTGGTCTCTGCCCCCAAGCGAGTTAGGGAGCGAGCCTGGACCCAGGTACGTGTGGTCTCTGCCCCCAAGCGAGTTAGGGAGCGAGCCTGGACCCAGGTACGTGTGGTCTCTGCCCCCAAGCGAGTTAGGGAGCGAGCCTGGACCCAGGTACGTGTGGTCTCTGCCCCCAAGCGAGTTAGGGAGCGAGCCTGGACCCAGGTACGTGTGGTCTCTGCCTCCAAGCGAGTTAGGGAGCGAGCCTGGACCCAGGTACGTGTGGTCTCTGCCCCCAAGCGAGTTAGGGAGCGAGCCTGGACCCAGGTACGTGTGGTCTCTGCCCCCAAGCGAGTTAGGGAGCGAGCCTGGACCCAGGTACGTGTGGTCTCTGCCCCCAAGCGAGATAGGGAGCGAGCCTGGACCCAGGTACGTGTGGTCTCTGCCCCCAAGCGAGTTAGGGAGCGAGCCTGGACCCAGGTACGTGTGGTCTCTGCCCCCAAGCGAGTTAGGGAGCGAGCCTGGACCCAGGTACGTGTGGTCTCTGCCCCCAAGCGAGTTAGGGAGCGAGCCTGGACCCAGGTACGTGTGGTCTCTGCCCCCAAGCGAGTTAGGGAGCGAGCCTGGACCCAGGTACGTGTGGTCTCTGCCCCCAAGCGAGTTAGGGAGCGAGCCTGGACCCAGGTACGTGTGGTCTCTGCCCCCAAGCGAGTTAGGGAGCGAGCCTGGACCCAGGTACGTGTGGTCTCTGCCCCCAAGCGAGTTAGGGAGCGAGCCTGGACCCAGGTACGTGTGGTCTCTGCCCCCAAGCGAGTTAGGGAGCGAGCCTGGACCCAGGTACGTGTGGTCTCTGCCCCCAAGCGAGTTAGGGAGCGAGCCTGGACCCAGGTACGTGTGGTCTCTGCCCCCAAGCGAGTTAGGGAGCGAGCCTGGACCCAGGTACGTGTGGTCTCTGCCCCCAAGCGAGATAGGGAGCGAGCCTGGACCCAGGTACGTGTGGTCTCTGCCTCTCCTCGTGGGTGGCGTATGTCGCACGCCGTCAGCAATGTTCCGAACAGCCTCTGGCCCCGACCAGACCACTCCCCGATTGACAATGGAGTCAGCGGTGTCGTTCAGGCGAGGTAGGAGACATGCCGCAAAATGCACCGGGTAAGTAGCAGAGAAGCTAGCTGCGTCTCCATCCGTGAGATCAGTCACAGTGCCTTTGCTTCTAGGCTGCTTCGCAGGAACTCAGCTGTTGCGTCGTTGCCGCCGATGAAGCTGCCAAGTACTTTCAAACTGCCATCTGTGAAGGGGACACCCTTAGGTAAGGTCACCGCCCGTTGGCCTGCTTGCGACCAGGCCGCGCACTTCGTTTGGTTGTGGCGCAGCGCAATCACTTCGAAGCTACCTGTGAAGTGGTCAAACGCCCCAAGGAGGGTAACATCATCCGTGTATGCCAAGCACACCACGGACGGGAAAGAAAACGCTGTTCATGTCTGCGCGGGGTGGATGGCAGCAACGAATAGCAGTGGACCCAAGGGACCCCCCTGCTGTACCCCAGTTTCACTTGGAAGAGGTGGGTGGGAGAACCCCGCGTCCAGGCAGAGGGCGGGGGGCTGGCCGTAAGACAGCTTCAGTAGCGGCAGCAGTGATTCCAGTGGTGATCCGCGTAGAGAGTCGACTATGGCCGCCCTGCTGACGCTGTTGAGGCATTTGCTAGGTCGCCTTGCAGGACGAGAGCACCTGGGTTCACCGTGAGGTACGTGCGGGAGGGGTGTGTGGATGATTGCCCTTGGCCCCCCTGGAACCGATACTCCAAATTGTCGTGGCAGGAAGGGGTCTCGAGCTGCGACTGCAGTAAAGGTAAGAGCAGTCTTGGCTGTTCAAGATATGATGCTCTCGCCAATGGTGATTGGACGTCTTTCTCCCTTGGGTTTAGTAAGAGCGATCAGGCGGGAAGCTGTGAGTAGGTTGGTTACTGCTGGTGGTAAGTTTCCTGTCGCTATTGTGTTTACCAGAGCGTGCAGATGTTTCCCCACTGCAGCGTTGACCAGGGCCGCATCGCAAAAGTGCTTGAATGTAGTTCCTGAAGGACCCGCTCCTACTCCATTTTCGCAGCACCCCAGCACCTTGACAATGACTGGGAACGCCGCTGACAGGTGGGCGGTTCAGGGAATGTTCGGTCCGGTAAGGTGGGGGAGGGGGGGGGCAGGTGGGTGTTTGGCGCGCAGAGCCTCCAGTACAGACAGGGACGGTGTGCAGACTGGTGTGGCTTTAAGGGCCATGGCAGCCCGTCGTAGGCTGCCACGTCGTGCCAGGCTCCCAGCTCTGGCAAGCACGCCTGTGCCGTCGGGTTGATGCCTTTGCGGTTGTGGGTTGGCCAAAGAATCCATTCTCTCCCTCAAGCGGTCTGTGTATTAGATCCGAGCAAGTACAGACATGCACAAGGATCCATTCATTCTCTCTCTCTCTCTCTCTCTCTCTCTCTCTCTCTCTCTCTCTCTCTCTCTCTCTCTCTCTCTCTCTCTCTCATCTCTCCAGGTGTTCGAGAATGAGAGCCACACAGTCAGCCACTCCTCCTTCCACCTGGTATCTCCGGCTGCCGCCACGTCATCACTAGGTGCCACGTCAGCACCACCCACGCCCGCGCCAGCAGCTGACGTGGAGACGCAGCGGCTGCTCGAGCTGGCTGGGGCGTTGAGCAAGGGGGGGATGAAATCAGTTGAAGGTGAGATGGCGAGTGTCAGTTGTGAGGTCATTTGCGTCGCCTCAAAGTGCAGTGCATGGCTGTGGGGGCTGCTGTTGTAGCTGCTACAGTTGCTACAAAATCGATTATGCTTCAACAGGGCAACTCGTGAAGTGCCTGAAAATGTACCCTTTCTCCTCCCCTTTTCCCAGCAGTTCGGCAGTATGTGAATCATTTGAGGTGACAGAAAAGAGGGGGTAGGTAAGGTGGTGAGGTGAGGGTGCCGCATGGCAAGCGACGGCTGAATGGTCACAAAGTTCTGACGTGCCTTTTGAGGTGCCTAGAACTTCCCAGGCACGTAATGACCTCACTGCTTTTCGTTCCTCCCCGTTCTCCCTCCCAACACTTCGCCTGTACGTGGACCTGTTCCGACGGTAACGCAAGGGGGAGGCGGTGAGGGTGCTGCAAGGCTGAGAAGGCTGACTTCTGTTTCATCACTTTCCTCTCTGCTCTGCCCTCTCCTTCCCCTTGGCCTGTATGTGGCTGTACAGGCGGAGGTGGAGCTGGAAGCGGAGGTACCCCCACACCTTCCACCAGGCATGGGGAGGAGCACGTCACTCCTGCCAGCAGCAGCACCGGCAACGCGGTCGGCAGCTCCAGCAACGCCGACAGCTCCAACCGCCAGTCCAATGCAACCACCAGCTCAACGCCAGACCCACACCCACTCCCACATGGTAAGTGCGCCTTTCCCTCAGCGGCCCTGTCATTTTCTCATACCTCAGCGCCACTGCTGCTGCTGCTTCAGCTTTGTCACGTCACTCCCACAAGGTGAGTGAGCGTGCCACTGCTGCCGCTCATTTGAAGCGTTGAGACCCCCCTTCCCAAACCAAGTGTGCACGGAGGATCTGCACGCGGAGATGTTTTCCCACCCTTCACCCCCGTTCTGTCCGCCCCTTCCCTCCCACCTCTCAGGAAGTCCGCAGTGCCAGTCTCATGCTGCAGAGTGTGAAAGCGGAGGTGCTTTCTCTCCCCTCATGCTGTTCCCCACTGTGCTGTCATCCTTCTCACGCCACTCACCCCCATGTCCTCCTTCCCATACCCCTCACCTCCCTCAGACATACATGAAGAGGGACGAGGTGTATGATCCTCCCTCATCCCATGTCATCATGGAGATGGATCATGAAGGCGAGGGTGCTGTCCTCCTTTTCCATGCCATTAACCTTGTGTACGTCCCTCCATGCCCCTCTCTCCTCCCACCAGGCGTACACGGAGGAGAGGGAGGCGGGAGCGGGGGACACTCAGCTTCACATACAGCTACTGCTGCTGCTGTAGCCCATGAGGGGCATGACGAGGGGGATGGCACCTTCGTCAACAGCAGCACGAGTGAGGAGGGCATATTTGTCAATAGCAGCGTCAGCGCCCGCAGCAGAAGTAGCACCAGCAGCACGAACAACTCACATGGTGAGTGCACCAGCCATTTTATCACGGCTCACTGTGCCCGCACTGCATCTGTCATTTTGTGATTGCTCACAGTACCCTCAGTTCCTCCCAGTCATTCTGTCATTGCTCACAGTACCCTCAGTTCCTCCCAGTCATTCTGTCATTGCTCACAGTACCCTCAGTTCCTCCCAGTCATTCTGTCATTGCTCACAGTACCCTCAATTCCTCCCAGTCATTCTGTCATTGCTCACAGTACCCTCAGTTCCTCCCAGTCATTCTGTCATTGCTCACAGTACCCTCAGTTCCTCCCAGTTATTTTGTCATTGCTCACAGTACCCTCAACCCTCACTGTCATTTTGGCACAGTGCACTGTGCCTGCAGCTCCTCTTGCTCTTTGGCACGGCGAGCCATGACCGCAGCCTCATCCCCCCCTCCCCTTGGCCTTCCCTTTGGCGCAACACTCCATGCTCCCCTCTTCATTTACATTTCGCCCCTTTCTCCAATTATGGACTGTTCATGTAGCTTCTATGAACGATATTTTTTCACGATTTCACCTGTATCTTTTAATTACTCTGTGTCTGCCCTCTTCCCAGCGTCCGATTCGGAAGATTTTTTGACATTGCTAGACCAGCAGAAGAAGCAAATAGAGGCAAATATGGCGGACAACGAGACACTACACAAGCTGATAGATGCTGACCGAGGTATGTGATAGACGGATGGGAGTGTGGGAGTGGCATGTGGAAGGGGGTTGCGTGGAGTGGGGTGGCATGAGGAGGGGAGTGGCATGGGGAGTGAGATATGGAACAAGCACTGTCTCATCTCTATCCACTATTTTTCCTCCGCACCTGTCAGTTTGGAAGGAAGAGGAAGGACTGTCAGATTGGTTGAAAGAGGGAGGCGACAAGGCCAAGAAGTTGCAAAGGCTGCTAATAGCCGACTACAACGAGAGAGTTGGACTCTCCAATCGGGCGGTGTTTGCTGAAGGAGCATTTCTAGGAGTCTGCGATAAACATTATGAGGTGTGCCACAATGTTTGTACTCGCGTCGTCACGTTGATTGATTGGTGTGGCGTGTTTGCTTTTAGAGACATTGCGCTGATAGCATGCGTGAGTGTGCTTGCTGACGTGAAGTACTTATTCACTTCTTTTGCCTCATTTTCTCCTGAAATTATGAAGTCGCAGTGCGGACGCCATCAGACGGGTGGTTGGCTTGGAGTCAATGCTCCTTGGCCCTGAACTGCTTCCTTCTCACTTGCCCATCCCTCACCTACCCCCTTTTCACCTACCCCCTTCTCACTTACCCTCCTCTTACTTGCCCCACACTCACCTGCTTGGTTGTTTCATTTACCAGGTTCAAGCGAGGGTTGATGAGTTGCAATGTCAGTTGGAGGAGCAGCGAGAAACGGCTGAGAAGAATGAGAGAGTGATAAGTGGCACAAACCTCTTTACTTCTTCATCTGCTCCCTTCTCAACAGCTTCCCACTCACTCACCCCCCTCCCACCTACCCTCTAACATTATCCCCTCTCGCCACCTCTCTAACATACCTGATTTTTCACCTACCTGCCTTCATCTTTCCCTTCCTGCAGTTGTCTAAGCTGGCGGAGTCGCGGGGGTTGTTGGCAGAGGAGCGCAAGAACACGGTCGAGCGGTTGAGCAAGGAGGTGGAGCAGTTAAATGCACAGCTGCAGAGTTCGAGCGACAAGTGGAGGCAGAAGAAGGAAAAAATGAAGAGGACATTGGAGGAGCAGAGAGAGGTGGTGGAAGATGTGAGTGTGCGCCTTGAGGCAGGTGCTCTTGCTCTGCTCGCGTCTCACTCAATTCCTCCTGGTAGGTTGTGGGGTCGGCATTGAAGAGCTTGCACGCCGCCGCGTGAGCCAGGAGCTTCAAGAACTTGAGAACTTCCGCGCAGGGGCACTCGTAAGTCTCAACGGCGAGGGGGACGATCTCCACGTAGGCTGCAGGGGAGCTGTAAGTCTCTCTCGAACGGTCGGTCGTATTGATATCACCAAGGTACACACATGGCAAGGCCATAAACCACACACAACAAAGCTACAGCAGCAATATACTAGCCTAACACAACTACAGCCGCCCGGTCTTCTAGCAGTTGGTACAGCTGGCCCTCGCTCAGTGGAGTGAACGGGCCCTGCAGCCCTAGCACATCCGCGATAAGAGCCTCATGGGTCTTATCCCTGAGGGCGTTGGCTTGGGCTCTCTGCAGGGTCACGCTCCATCGCTGCCGGTAAGTAGCTTAGCGACCTCCCTCGACTTTGGGGCAGCGTTGAACCGCCGCTTGCCCACTAGCTCCGCGCAACTGCGGCTGCTGATTGGATCGGTGACCGTAACGTCACATAGGTGTACCGCACCTGAGGTACGGTCCCGGATCGCAAGATCCGCCTTTTGCTTATCCACGGGGCAGAAAGCCGTTGTCTCCTTTGCACCGCAAAGCCCGCGTCCTGAGCCATGCGTATACATTCGTCTCTGATTCCGTTGTGTGTATCAGTCCGTCCGTGTCCCGTGTCCAGGATGGCAGTCCTGCCACGGCAGTCGCAGCGGTCAGGTACGGGGAGAGGCAGTCCTAGCCGGAATTAGAGTGTGATGGCAAACAGCTTGGGGCTGAGGCGGAAGGCAGGCATGTACGGGATGGCGAGCAGCCAGTCCCCCGCACCATATCCAGTTAAAGAAAGAAGCCGCTGCGTGTGGCCTGACAGCGGGTTCAGCTCCATCTGCCTTGAGGCCACTAGCTGAGCGGCGAAGCGGCTGCCCTGGATGATGAGGGCAAGGCAGTGCTGTAGTCTGTTGTCTGGGGCGGTCCGTTCTGCAGCCAGCAGCCCCCTGGCCTCCTCGCCCACTGAGGCCTCGCATTCAAGGAGCCATCTCTGCAGCAGGTGATGGCCGTGCCAAGGTGCCAGTCAGGTAGTAGCCCGCGGGGCCTGGTAGGGAGCCGAGGAGGTACATTGCTTGCACAAAACTGGCGATGAAACTATATCTGCCTTCGACCGAGAGGTCCGTCAGGCCCGGGCCCCAAGGGATGGCGGTAGCGATGCTTGTTCCCATACACGCTGCTCCTCTGCCTTTCCTCTCCGGTGGTGCACGTTGCAGGCGTCTAGAAGCGTGAGGAGCTGTGAGTGTGACGCCACAAATCCAAACAGCACCTGTAAGTATCGACGGCATTCACCGGGACTCCTCGACCTGATCTGGGAATCTGCTCCCTTGTACGCTCAGTGTAAGTGCATGTTGCAGCTCTTCCCTGACGGCTCCAGCCTCTCCTTCTGTAGTAGCCCCCGTGCGTCTGCACTGCAGGTAGGGCTTGTTCACACTCTTGGGGCCAGGCGTGGAGCGGGTTAGGTTAGCCTGCGGCCCTGGCATCTGATGCTGCATGGCAGCGGCGTGGACGTGAGTAAGCAAGCGCGCCGCCTGTGTGAAATTGCCAGGATGCTGTATACCCCTTCCACCAAAGGGTCCGAGAGTCCCACCCCTCAAGGGAGGGCGGGACTGGAGCTTGCTTCCATGTGCACGTCTGTTCAGCATCGCTGTGGAGGAGGAGGATGCCACGCGGTGAGTAGAGCCGGCAGCAGCTCCCGTCCCCGCTGTGATCACTCCTCCCGTGGTAAGAGATGGAGGGGGGTTGTCCGTGTAAGATGCTCGACGCAAGAAGAAGCGGGCGAGCAGTAACAGTAAGGACGCCAGCTGTCGGTCAGTCTGGGAGAGCAGTGCAAAGGCTGTTAAGGAAGGCAGCGCCTCTCCTTGTGCCGATGTAGCTGCCCAGCATCCGCACTCCCTCCTCGCGAAAGGGGACCCTATCAGGTAAGGTTTCTGTGGGTGGGCGTGTGCAGCTCCAGCCCCAGTGTCACCACCCTGTCAGTGAAGTGTTTGGAAGCTGCTGCTGCCGGTGAAGGCTCGCGGATGAACGTCACAGCATCGGCGTAGGCGAGGCAGGGCACAGACGGATGGGCCTCTGCTGTTGCTTTCAGCGCCGGGTGGGTGCTCGCTGCGAACAGAAGGTGCGCTTTGGTATCCAGCATCAAGGTGCAGTGCAGCAGGGACGGCTGGCCACAGGACAGGCACTCTAGGGGCAAAAGCGCCCTGAGTGTAGATTTCTCATGGGCTGACACTATAGCCTGGCGGGTGATACTATTCAATGCATTGGCCGGATCCGTCGTGCTTCATCTTCCTGTGATGGATCTTGCCCTCCACTACTCTAAGTCGGTATATGAAGGGGCTGTATATTCCTCTTCAGCAACGGCTCTCTGGAAGCTGTTGTCCGCTCCGCTTCCTTGCGATGCTCCACGCTGCCCTCGTCCTCGACCGCGTCTCGCGGACCCTCGACCTTGCTGCAGTGCTCGAGGTTGCTGCTTGGCGCGCCACTCACGCTGACACTGGCAATTGCCCCCTGGTCCGTGGTGATGAATGCCAGACCTGCGGAGAACTGCTGATAGCGCGCAGCGGCCTCCTCCTCGAGCTGCATAATCCGAACCTGCTCGAAAGTATGAACTTGTGCCGATCCCGCCTTGTCCCCAAGACGGGGGTTTGGTGGTGCCACCTCCCCAAGGTAGGTCTGCGTGTGATGGGCCACCTGCCTGCGCCGTGGAAGTTGCGCCGCATGGCAAACGCAGTCGCTCTCCTCGGCTCGACTCGCCTGTGCGCCGCTCCCCACGTCGCCGATCCTCCAAGCATCATGCCGGTGCTGGCGAGCGTCGTTCTCCGCGCTCTGCGTCTCTTGCGCGCTAGTCATGTCGGCGCCGATCGCCCGAGCATGGCTCGAGCCCTCACGGGAGGAGCGGAGTGGTGGCCCCCTCCACTTATTTTCCACTACTCTTTTTGCTTCAACCCCATCCTCACTAGTTACTTCTCCCTCCTCCCCCTCACGTCCTCACGTCCCCTTCCTTCTCCCTTTTCCCCCACTCCCCGCCTCACGCTTTTGTGCTGTCCGCCAGGCGAAGGAGTTGGAGCAGCGCTTGACTGCAGAGCGGGACAGCCTGGCAGCCAGTCTGGCGGCCGCCATGCAGCAACTGAAGGACAGCCGGGCGGCAAATGCCCAGGTGACGGAGGAGGTGAAGGGGAACGAGGCGCAGTCACGTCTTTTGTGCTTCTCTGCCTGCTCTCTTGTCCTGCTATTTCCACTTATTTTCCGCTACCCTGCCTGCTATTATCCCCATGTTTCCACTTCTTTCAGTTCCTCTGCTTAAACATGCCCCCCTGTTTCTTCTCCTCCTTCTCCCTGACCGCTCCTCACCCATGTTTTTTCAGTTCCTTTGCACATGCTGCTGAAGGCGGTGGGCAGGCGAGCACAGGAGAAGGTGCAGGGGTGCCGTGTGATGTGAACCCCCTCTCGACTTTTCCTCTGCGCCCCCATGCCTCACAGGCGGAGGAGAAGGTGCAGGCAGCTGTGCGGGAGAGGCAAGCCCTGGAGCAGCGCCTGGAGGACTTGGAGCTTTCAATGGCGAACCAGGTGAGCCTTCCTTTCCACCTCAGGCGCTGGCCTCACGTCCAACCTAGCGCGTGAGTCAGGGTTGGGTTGCTGGCGATAGGGGGGTGCTGGAGTGAGTGCTTGCAGTGCTTTGCCCATGTTTCCCTGCCTTGTCAGTTCTTCTGCCCACACGGCCCGTCCGTGTGAGTCAGGGTTGGGTTGGCTGGGTGGGGGTAGGTCGAGTCCCCCTTTTGCCTCGTTGTACAGTTGCCAATTCCCAGATGTGAATGCTTCAAACTGTTTTTTTCCCTTCCCTCCAACCCTCCCCTGCCTGTCAGGCAGCTTGAAGGGTTAGGCGTGGCAGGAATGTGAAGAGTCTCGAAGCTGCGTGAGAGTTGGTGTCATGGGAGAGCCTGGGCAGTGGAGTCAGTCAACGCACAGCGACCTCCTCAGCCAAGGCGGGGAGCCCGCAGGTAGTCGGACCCCCCTCTCACTCTCACTCTCCCGCTCCCTCTCCCTCGCCCTCTCCCGCTGTCCTATCTAATTCTGTCCAGGCGGCAGCAGCAACACCACCATCAGCAGCAACAACAACAGCAGCAGGTGCAGTAACACCCGCAGCATCAGCAGGCGAGGAGGAGGCGGTGGGAGGGGGGCAGCGGGAGGAGCAGGCGGAGGTGGGGCCGCGGGGGTTGGGCGAGCAGGGGAGCGGTCTAGTGGATGTTGATGACCGTGGCCCCGCCACCCACGACCAGGTGAGCCCAGGGACCCACGGGTGAGGGCGCGAGAAGGAGTGAAGGGATTGCAGAAGAGGCACGTGCGTGTGCTTCCAGGCGAGGGCGCCCGACAGCTGGTGGGAGAGGGGCCTCTGCCGTGGCTACGCGGGTGCAGAGAGGACGTGCGTGTGCATCCAGCAGGTGAGTGAGTGAGGAGTGCAGCCGCCGGGCGAAGGGTTTGATGAAGGGCATCCAGGGTGGGGAATCATGAAGTGAGCGCTAAATGCAGAAGGGAATGGGGTGGGGAAATGTGAAGTGAGGGCTGAAGGCACAAGGGATGATGGAATCAATTAGGTGACCGGTTCGTGCCTCAGGTGGCGTTGCCTCAGGTGGCGTTGCCTCGGGTGGGATGTGCGTGTGCATCCAGCATGTGAGATGTTTGGGCACATTGTTTGAAGGTATTCGTAGGAGCCTGTACTGCTTCATACCCACGCCCCCTCCGCCCTTCCACGACTATCTGCCTCATCTGCCAGTATCTATTCACCTCCCACACCGCACACATCCTAATGCCCCCCTAGCACACTCTCACCTCTTTCCCCTTGCAGCAGGAGCAGGAGGCGGAGGAGAGTGGGGCAGTGGGGCAGCAGGAGCAGCAGGAGCAGCAGGCGGAGGGGGAGGCGAGGGCGGTGGGGAGGCAAGAAAGCGTTTTAATGGTGATTGATTCCGCTGACGGCTCCACGCAGGACGAGGTGAGCCCAAGGGGTTTCAGGGGCGAGGGGGTGGTGGTGGGCGTGCCGTGAGGAAGGTGGCGAGGTTGACAAGAGGCGGTGCTGCGCGACGCCCTCCCTCTGTGAGGCTCAGCAATCTCAGGAGGGTGTCCCAACTAGTGGGAGTGGGGGGGGGGGGGGGGGGGGGGGGTGGGGGAGAAGGGGGTGGGAGACGTGCGAAAGTGTACGATACCTGGAAACCGTGATCTTAGTGACATCACCAAAACACTGTATAGTCCAAACACTGATCCAACTCAGGATCGATCACCAAATTGCTCAGAGAGGTAACGCGTCCTCACTTGCCTCTGAGGTTGCTTTTCCGCCCCGCGCTGAAACTCACGCCCTTCTGTCGGCTCTTCCCCAAGCGCAACCCCGTGACGAATTTGTTCGAATTGGTCAGAATTCGCCAGCAGATTCTCCAACCCTCGCTCCAGTGATGGTTGAACTGTTCGCCAACCAATCAAACCACCCTAAAGGGTGTGCATGACCAATGCCCCAAATAACCACCCCCAGGAATGTGCACCGACGCTTTAAACTTCTATTTGCCCCATCTGCTAGTATTCTTTCACTTACAACCCCCCCCAACCCTGGCCACACACAACTTTTACGCTATTCCCGTTGCCCACACACACCCCTTCGACTCATCCCCTCTCTTCTCTCTCTCATCCTGTTTTTTCTCCCTCCCTCTATTGTTGTCCAGGCAGTGGAGGGGTGTGTGTGGGCGGCAGCAGCGAGGCAGCAGGAGCAGGGGGAGGGGGAGGGGAGTAGGGTGGCGGAGCAGGAGAGGGACATGATGGAGGAGCACCACCACCCACAGGGCGAGGTGAGCCAAGAAAATGCGAGGGGCGAGGGGGTGGTGGTGGGCGCGAGGCAGTGAGGAAGGCGTGCGGAATTACAGGGGTAAGCCAGGAGGCCGTTGGCCTGTATGGGGCTTGTGCGGATGCAGTGCTATGCCGCCCCGGCAGGATCAGGCAGGCAGGCCGAGGCCACCGAGTAACGGTGGGAGGGAGGCCTGCGCCCAAATCCGCAGCTGTTGCACTTCTACCCGCGTTGAGATGCCGTGAGTGAGATGCTGTGAGTGAGATGCCGTGAGTGAGTTGCTGTGAGTGAGATGCTGTGAGTGAGATGCTGTGAGTGAGATGCTGTGAGTGAGATGCTGTGAGTGAGATGCTGTGAGTGAGATGCAGTGGGTGAGACGCAGTGAGTGAGATGCTGTGAGTGAGATGCAGTGGGTGAGATGCAGTGAGTGAGATGCTGTGAGTGAGATGCAGTGAGTGAGATGCTGTGAGTGAGATGCCGTGAGTGAGATGCAATGAGTGAGATGCAGTGGGTGAGAGGCAGCGAGGCGAGTTGCATGGTGGCTATCTTGAAAGTGGGGACTGCATGGCTGCAAGCTGCTTCTGCACGAATGCAGCTCCGCCCTCCTGTGCACCAACGTGGTACAGGTAGGCCCTCCGTGCTCTAGGGCACACCTGCGGGGAGGCCTTCTGATTGCACCTGCGAGTCAGCCCGGCCCCACATTGGCGCGGGTTGTGTTGGCGCGGGTTGTGTTGTGTGGGAGGCCCAGTGCTGAGAGCCTGTTGCTGACGTGGCTGAAGGCTGCTGTGCAGTCGCCCGGGTGTCCAACGAAGGTAACGCCATCATCATATGCCACGCAGAGCACGTTGGGGTGGGCAGCGGCGGTGGCGGAGAGGGCGGGGTGGATTCCGGCTGCAAAAAGGAGGGTCGCCCCTCTCGCTAAGTAATGGTGGGTTTGTGAAGCCAGCGTCGATGTTTGGGCGTAGGTGAAGTGCACCAGTGGGGAAGTTGGTGGAGCGGTGAGTGGGCGAGTGAGTGTATGATGGCGTCTAGGTTAAAGGGCTTTGAGAGGTCCGCCTGCAGAATCAAGGCATCGGGGTGCGTGGACAGGCAAGTTCTTGCTGCGTGCATGATTGTTTCCGCTCGCCCTCTGACCGCCACACCAACTTGTAAGGGAGGAAGAAGTGCCGTGCAGCACCGGCAGCCACTGTGAGGGCAGGCTGAGCTATCAGCCAGGTAAAACACTCGCCTCTGGCTAAGGGCCGCGCCGCACGTGGGGCTTGGCCAGGGCGATAAGGCGAGAGGAGGTGAGGGCTAGTGGAGGGTGCCTGGACAGTGGCGGAGGGCGTACACACCGGGGTTGCCTCTAGGACGAGCGTGGCCCTACGCAGGCTGTTACAACGCACCAACCCTTCTGCTCTAGCCCTCTTCCCCTGCCTCTCCCTCTCGCTCTCCCTCTCACTCCCCCTCTCACTCTCCCTCTCACTCCCCTTCTCACTCTCCCTCTCCCTCTCCCTCTATTTTTGTCCAGGCGGCAGCACCAACACCACCGACAGCAGCAGCAGCAGCAGCAGCAGGCACAGCAGCAGGCACAGCAGCAGAAGCGGAAGAAGGAGCCACACGTAACCCTTCCAATGTTCTGGTAGCATTAACAGCAGCGATAGCAGCTGCAACAGAAGCTCATCTAGGACGAGCAGAATCTGCAGAAGCAGCAGTAGCAGTAGCAACGGAGCAGCGGATGAGTTTGAATGCGTTTGCGACTGAGATGCGTACTCTGTCCATGTCCTTGGCCTCAGGGATGAGTGGTGAGGCAGCCGTAGCAGCGGCCGCAGCAGCAGCAGCAGCAGCAGCAGGGGCAGCAGCAGGGGCAGCAGCAGGAGCCAGCACGAGCAGCACCAGCAGCAGTAGTGGGAGCTGCAGCAGGAGGAACAGCAGCAGGAGAAGCAGCAGTAGCACCAACAGCAGCAGCAGCAGCAGCAGTAGCAGCAACAGCGGCGGCAGCAGCAGCAACAGCGGCGGCAGGAGCACGAGCAGCAGCAGCACAAGGACATTCACAAGCAGCACTGCAAGAAACTGGAGCTTCAGCAGCAGAAGACGGAACAACAGGAGGGCGTGGAAGAGGGACGGGGGAGCAGGGAGTTGGGAGAACGGGAGGGGTGATGATGGGGTTGAGCCAGCAGCGACAGCGCCCGAGTGCAGTGAGAGGGAGGGGGGGGGGTCGAAGGGGAGGGCGTGGTAGAGGGAGGGGGGAGCAGGGAGAGGGGAGAAGGGAGCAGGAAAAGCTGAAGGGTGTATATGCGAGGTAAGGAGAGGAAGTACCCTGTTCCCGAAGTAGCATTTTACAAGGGTAAAGAAAAATTGGTAACATACACTGGGGGGGAGTTCGTGACCCAGCTGTCAGCGGCGGTTTTCGCGAGGGTCACAGTAGTTGTGCACACGGTGCTGCCTCAGGGGCCAGAGGGAGTGAGTTTGTTGCCAGGATTGAAGGGGAAGGTGAAAGATTTCTTAACGGGGGATGAGGTGAATTGTGTACGGGATAATATGGATGCCGCGGTGCCTTGGTGGTATGAGGTGAAACATGCCAAGGTGGTGGCGGACAGGGAAAATTGGGGAGACTGGTTGCCGGAGAAACTTCTGCCACTGGGGGCGGCATTGAAGCGGGCGCGATTGGAACAACGTGCGGCGGCCCAGCCAGCAGCGCAGGGGTAGCGCCAGGTGCGTCCATGTGTGGTGGGGGGGGGTTGGACTTGGGGGTGATGGGAGGGGAGGGTGGAGGCAGTGGGAGGAGGAGAGGGAGGGGGGGTTGTGAGATGTGCCTCACACGGCCATTGCTTGCTCTGTCTTGCTGCTTCCGTGGGATGTTTCGGCCGTCACGGCCCTTGTTCCCTTCCCATGCACCCCCGCCCATCCCATGCACCCTCTCCCATCTCACGCGCCACTCCCTTACCCTTGCGTCCCCTGGTCTCATCCCATTCAACCCCTCCCATCCTTTTGTGCGCTTCACTGCATGGCAGAGGGGCAGCACAGGGCGTTGCGTTGTAGCGAGTGGGGGGGCAGCAGCAGGCTGTACCCGCATGGACGTCACACCTTCCCAGCGGTCAACTGCAATGCCAACACTCGCTCCCTCTCTTCCACATCCCCTCCTCTTTTTGCATCGCCTCTTTATCGCCACCCATTTTTCGCCTCCCTCCATGACGCTTCCTTTCGAATCACCCCCCCACACCGTCTCGTTGTTTCGGAGCTCAGGGGGTCTATGGCGCTGTAGGCTTAACTGAAGCTTGTGGGTTATGTTGTCAAAATGAAGAATGGATGGTGCATTGATGTTGGTTGGGGTACATATAGCTAACCCTAAGTTTTGTACCCCCTAAGACAAACCTCACTATAGGCTACAACATTTGACACACCCCCATAGCCTAAGTGAGGGGTGTCTAGCAGAACCAAACGAGTACGGTCACAAGACCAGTCCAAGAAACAAAGCTCAGGGTGGATCACAACGTCACCACACAGTCTGAGCACAAACAACAGTGGCCACAAGGCCAGTCCAAGAAGTAACAGAGATATATAGAAAGCAAAGTAAACAGTACACTCAAGTCTAAGCAACACGAGAACCAGTGTCAACAAGGCCTAACTGCACACAGCACCTCTGGTGGTCACAAGGCGGAAGCGCCTTGGTGAAGATGTCTGCAGTGTTGGCCTCGGACTCCACAAACTCAAAGCGAGCCTGTCCACGCCTCTGCAACTCTCGCAGAAGAAAGTACCTGACGTGAATGTGCTTCACTCTGCTCTCCAGTCGTGGCTCTCGACAAAGGAGAATAGACGCCTTGTTGTCAGTGAACAAGGTCGGTGCAGAGCTCGGCCGCTCACCAAGGTCGGTGAGCAAGAAGGTCAACCAACGCAGCTCCTGTGCCGCCATGGCACCAGCGTAGATCTCAGCCTCAGCTGTAGAGGTCGAGACCGAAGAGGAGCGTGTGGACCGCCAGGAAACAGCTCCAGAACCCAGGCTGAAACAGTACCCCTGAGTAGACCTGTGAGTCTCAGCGTCGTCAGCGTAAGAGGAGTCACAGTGACCAGTAAGTACGACAGACTGCTGCCCTCCAAGAACTAGCCCCACGCCTGACGTCGTCGCTAGGTACTTCGCCACCCTCACAGCTGCTGTCCAGTGAACAGGACGGTGTCTCCCTGGCGCAACAAAGCGTGCAAGGATGCTGAGAGGGAAGGCGAGGTCCGGGCGAGTACAAGTCATCAGGTACATAAGGCGACCCACAAGCTCTGCGTAGGGACCACTAGGCTCGAACGGCTCGTCAGGAAAGGGTCCAGTGAGTCTGTGGTCAACAGCAAGAGGTGTGCGCTGTACTGTGGAGTGCTGAAGCCCGAACCGCTGAAGGACCTGCTGCACCATGTGCGACTGTGAAAGTGTAATGGTGCGAGCAGCTCTGTCCCTGGTGATCTGCAGGCCAAGGTAGTGGCGCAGCTCACCAAGATCAGTGCAGGTGTGTCTCTTCTGCAGTTCGGACTTCACGTGTGCCAAAGCAACCCTGTCAGGGGTGGCGAAAACAAGGTCGTCAACGTAGACCAGAACAAAGAAAGGTGTGGTGCCACGACGAACGAACAGCGACGGGTCAGCAGAAGACGGCTGGAACCCAAGGTCAGACAGGGTAGAACGCAGGGTGTCGTGCCACTCACGAGGAGCCTGACGAAGACCGTAAACCGGTCGCCTCAGCCTCCACTGGGTCCCAGGAGGGAAAGAGCCAGTGAAGGCAGAGGGACGACGCAACCAGACCTCCTCGTGAAGACTGCCCTGAAGGAAAGCAGTAGAGAAGTCAAGAGAGTGTAACTCGTAGTCTCTCTGTGCTGCTACGTGTAGTAACACCCGAAGAGTGGTCATCTTCGGGGTGGGCGCGAAGGTCTGAAAGAAGTCAACTCCCTCGCGCTGACTGAAACCTCTAGCCACGTAGCGCGCCTTGAAGACCGGAGGAGATCCCGGTGGCCGCTTCACCCTGTAGATCCACATGCCGTCGACTACGTTCGCCCCCGGAGGGGGAACCTCATCGACGTAGGTGCCTGTGGATCTGTAGGAGGCCATCTCTGCGTCCATGGCAGCTCTCCACTGAGAGGCCCAAGGCCCTGACACTGCCTCAGCGTAAGTGCGAGGAGTCGGAATGTCAAGGGCGTCGGGGTCACCCTCAGGGGCGAGGAGCATGGCACAGAGATGAGGGGAAGCGGCGGCCAGGAACTCTAGCTCAAACTGCCTGTCCTCTAGGGCGTCACAGCCAAGGGCAGACACACCCCCGACGGCCAGAGGACTGGAAGGAGGAGCAGCCACAAGAGCGGTGGCGAAGTCAAGGCGGCGGGTAGAGGCAAACTCAGTGACTGCGGCAGTAAGAGCGGACACAGAGGACACAGAGGCACGAGGGTGGGTAACAAGAGAGGCGAGAACACGAGAGAGAACAGGACGGTACGTGCGGTAGTAGTCAGTGACAGGAGTAGGGAGCGACGCAGTGAGAGCCGACTCAGGAGGAGACGGAAGCACAGACGGAGACGGACGAGGTGGACTAGAACGAAGTAAGGCAGTACGAAGGTCAGTGAAGGGAACAGGAGACGAGGGACGAGCACGAGGGGAGCGACGAGAGGCCCAAGTCTGAGAAGGAGGAGGGGACAACGAAGACTGAGAACGAGGGAAAACAGCGGGAGAGGGGTCAGGAGGAGGAAGCGGAGGACCAGAGACGGGAGGAGAGGGGGAGGAGGAAGGAGAGGGAGACGGGAGACCAAGGGTCCGAAGACCCGAGACAGGAGGAGGAGACGGCAGCTGCTGCTGCTGCGGCTGCTGCGGCTGCTGCGGCTGCTGCTGCTCCAGCGGCTGCTGCCCCTGCTGCTGCTCCTGCTGCTGCTCCTGCTGCTGTCGCTCCTGCTCCTCGAGCCGCTGCAACTCTCTCTCCTCTCTCTCCAACTCCAGCTGCTCCTCACGAGCACGACGAACACGAGCCTGGAACCTGGTCGGGTAGGGGTGGGGGGAAGGAGTAGTGTCCGGGGCAGCGGCAGCCCCAGAGTCGACCTCCGAAGCACCAAGCACACCACCCCCAGAGGCAGCACCAACACCAGCTCCAGACCCAGGCTCTCCAGAAACCGAAGGAACACCCTCACCCCCAGACGCAGCACCAGCACCCCCAGACTCCGCACGACCAGTACCAGCCCCCGGAGGAGAAGAGTCCTCTGCAACCCGCGGCTCAGCTCCAACTCCAGCACCCCCAGAACCAGAGACCTGTACAGGGACAGTCGCAGGACCAACCTCCCGAGAGGGAGCACCTACAGGAGGCGGTGAGGAAGACTGTGGGGAGGGAGGCTGTACAGGGGGGGCTACCGAAGGGGGAGGGCTAGCCTGAGACACACCAGACGGGGCTGGACCAGGGGGGGGAGGCTGTACCGGGGGAGCAGGCGGGGGAGCGGCTGTCAGGAAGAGGGGGGGAGGAGGAACCGGGAGACCTCGACTGGGGTACCTGATGTAGAACGGGGTGGACTCCTCGAAACGGACGTCACGGGAGTCAAAGAACCGGTGAGAGGGAGGGTGGTAAAAGGTGAAGTCAGAGGAGTCCTCAGGGAAACCAAGGAAGACACAAGGAACGGCGCGAGGCGAGAGCTTGTCCGCGGAGGTGTCGCGGACAAGAGCCAAGCACCCCCAGACACGAAACCTCGACGCGACACCAGGGGACCCTGTCCAAAGACTGGTCGGTGAAGCCTCCGGCCGAGAGACGCGTGGCCAGAGGTTCAGCTGGTGCGCGGCGTACCTGACTGCGTATGGCCACAGGAAATGGGGGGCACGGGCGTGAGTCAAGGAGGTGCGGGCAATCTCCATGACCAGGCCTATGCGACGCTCAGCAACCCCATTCTGCTGTGGGGACTCCGGAAGCGTCCAGGACTGACGAATGCCCTGTTCGCGACAGAATCCAGCGAGAATGCCGGAGCGAAACTCGCCCCCGCGGTCGGAGTGGAGACAGCTGACACGACGACCACGAGTGTCCTGGGTGGTAAGCAACCACCTGATCAGCGTAGAAGTCACCTCAGACTTCCTCGCCAGGGGGAACACTGTGGTGTAGCGGGAGTAGTCGTCAACGACCACCAAAAAGAAACGCTCACGCTCAGGGCCAGGGCGAGGAGAGGGGCCCCAGACGTCCAAGTGCAGCGTCTCAAAAGGCTCGGTGGCCGGACGAAGGGAGGAGGAGTGAGGGGTGGCACGCAGCCTACCCTCGACGCAAGGACCGCACGGTGGTGCAAGAGACGGCGGCAGCGACGGCAAGATTCGCGGGAGACCTAAGACCAGACGCTGACTAGACATAGCACGCAGACGTGGAAGAGAAGGGTGTCCCATCCGGTGGTGCCACAGAACGGTGGGGTGGGCAAGCGACCGACAGGAGCAAGACGCAGCGACTGGACTGGACGCGACAACCTGAGGGGACGGAACCACCTGGTGAGACGCAGGGAGGAGACTAGGGGGAGGGACAGGAACTGGGAGGAGTGGCTGCTGCGACGGCGGCCGCTGTGGCTGCGGCTGCGGCTGCTGCCGCTGCTGCTGCTGCGGCTGCTGCTGCTGCTGCTGCTGCTGCGGCTGCTGCTGCTGCTGCGGCTGCTGCTGCTGCTGCAGTCGCTGCTGAGCGCGCGGGCCAGTGTGAAGAGTGTAGAGACCGGAGCCCGGCTCAGCAGCAAAAGTGGCGAGGGGCTGGTAAGAGTCCCCGTCAACACACACCGCAGTCTCTCCAGAAGGGCGCGACGCGACGGGGGGAAAGAGCGCGACGCGACGGGGGGAAAAGGGCGCGACTCGACTGGGGGGAAAGGGCGCGACGCGACGGGGGGAAAGGGACGCGACGAGGGGGAAAGGGCGGGCAGGACGCGACGCTAGGAGTGGCGCTAGGCGCGGCACTACGCGCGGTAACAACGGAACCGGGACGAATGAGAGCTAGGATCAGGCTCGGGAGGCTCGAACGGAGAACGGAGGAACGGGATCCCACAGGATCCTAACCTAACTGATACCATGTCAAAATGAAGAATGGATGGTGCATTGATGTTGGTTGGGGTACATATAGCTAACCCTAAGTTTTGTACCCCCTAAGACAAACCTCACTATAGGCTACAACATTTGACATATGTCTGGAGTTGTGACAGTCAGCAAAACTATATTTTCAGCTGATTCAAAACAATTAATTGCATGCCAGTAGATATACGTGCTAAACTACAGTATCACTTTCCACTTCACATCACATGCATGTGCGCAAAAATGTGCTGGGAATGCTTCGGTTGGTCCACTTACTTCCAAGCAGATGGACTTTTTTGTCTGATTCGTCTGACTGTTTTCCTTCTGGTGAGGGAAGGCATGCAGCAAGGCAAATGACGTGTGGCTGATATGTCCCCTCTGACATGCAAATAGTATCCAATGCTTGATAAAGCACCGGTTGGAGTCAACACATTCTGTGTGAAAGACATCCTCGTGCCCCTCCTTGCCCTTCCCCAATGCCACTAGCAGTATTTCTGCTGTTGTCGCCACCAACTGGGACAGAGAGGAGAGAAAGGGGTGGAGAAAGGGTGGACATGACATGGTGCCAACACGACCATGCGACTTTCAGCAGTTGGCATGGGACAAGGGCAGCGCCATACCTGAACCTCACGCACTTGCCTGCATGACCAGCAGCACCACACCCCCATACCACCTGCATGGTGACTGAGCGGGCCAGCACAAGCACGTACCAATTGGCACTTGCCATGTGGCATGTGCAGCTAATTGCCACACCCAACCCCCACCTGCATGAGTTGCGGCGCCACAGTGTGGTCTTGAGCGGGCCAGGCCAGTCCAGCACCGTCAGCTGCACCTCGCCCTCCCTCCCTGGGCTGGGCACCGGGAACATTATTGACATCTGCCATGGTGCAGAGCGGTGGCGAGGGTGGAGAGGGGAGGAGAGGGGTCAATAGGGGGTGTGTGAGAATGTAGGACTGCAGTGATGAGCAAGGTGCAAAAAAACGACCGAAAGATTGAAATTCTGGCGTATAAAACGCCATCGTATTTTTCGGCCGTTTAAAACGTTTTAAAACGCCAAAAAGTGGTAACTTTAATGTGGTGCAAAAAAACGGCCGTTTTTTTACAGCAGAAACCTTGAAACCAGTTGGTTTACACATACTTTTAAGTATTGGTTCCAACCATGACCCTCGATCGGATGAACCAGCCATGAGGAAGACGAAGGGGATTTATCAATGGGACTGTAGTAGAACGGTGACTCCGGGGAGGAGAGTATGAAGAGTCTGGGGGGGAGGAGGTGGAGGGTCGAACGAACTCAACCAAGACACTCTGTTACCATGGTATTGCTTCTTTGCTATCCTGGTCAGGAGCGGAGTCGTGTCTACTGGTAAAAAAAAAAAAAAAAAAAAAAAAGTCACAAAATCTCTAACAAAAAAACGGCCGAATTTTTTGAATCTGGCCGTAAAATACGAGCGTAAAAAAGGGACCGTATTTTACACTTGCCGAAATTTTGCACCTTGGTGATGAGGGGACGATGGGACGCGTATGCAAGGTGTGAGATAAGAGCAGCGGATCAGCATGGTATGGGATGGCACGTGCTGGCAAGGATGCAGCACAGGGCTCACAGGCACCCAGCACCGACATGCACACGATGCACACAGCACCAACATGCACACAGCACCAACATGCACACAGCACCAACATGCACACAGCACCAACATGCACACAGCACCAACATGCACACAGCACCAACATGCACACAGCACCAACATGCACACAGCACCAACATGCACACAGCACCAACATGCACACAGCACCAACATGCACACAGCACCAACATGCACACAGCACCAACATGCACACAGCACCAACATGCACACAGCACCAACATGCACACAGCACCAACATGCACACAGCACCGACATGCACACAGCACCAACATGCACACAGCACCGACATGCACACAGCACCAACATGCACACAGCACCGACATGCACACAGCACCAACATGCACACAGCACCAACATGCACACAGCACCAACATGCACCCCTACCCACCCTCAAGCAAGTCGTTCTTATCGCTCCTTGTCTGTTGGTGACGCCACTCTGTCTCATCCGCCTCCGTGCCCGTGCCCCGCCCTGCCTCCCCTCGTCCCCTTCTCCTCTCCCCCCATTCCCTCTCTCCGCCTTGCCCTCCGGGCAGGTTGTGGAGGTTGGGGGGCAAACGACAGGACAGTGCACCGCATCAGCGCCATGCGCAACCGCACGGGGAGGATCGTGGGGGCGGGGGAAAGGTCAGGGCTGTGCGTGAGCCAGCAGCATGTAGGGGGGAGTGGCCAGAGGGTGGGCAGAGGATCAAGCAGAGACAGCAAGATGCTTGTTTCAAACACACACTGCTGCGCTGCCCCGTGCTGGTACCACTTCACATAGAAGCCCTGCGCCCGCTCCTGCCAGTGGTGAGTAAAGGGGGAGAGGGAGAAAAGGTAAGGGAGGTTGGTGGAGAGGAGCAGCAATGCAAAGGGGAGTTGCCAGGAGAGCAGATGTGTGTGCTGGTGCCGCTTCACATAGAAGCCCCGCGCCCACTCGTGGTGGGGTTAAGGTCCGCAGTAAGGGGGGAAGGGGGGAAAGAAGGCCGGGAATGGAGGCAGGTGAGGTGATAGGAAGAGCAGCAATGCACGGGGCAGGACAGCAGCAATCACAGAAGCGCAGGTTGACAATCACAGAACAAACAACCTGCTGGGATGGCGGCGGGGGGGAGAGATCCCCAACGATGGTGGCGCGCGCATTGGCGTTGGCAAGACCGCTCCACCCCGGGATCTGCACCACCACGGTGCAGCGCGGGTCCGACTGGAGGTTGCACGCGTGCATGCCCAGGGAGGACAGCAGGAACACGGGGTCTGGTGAAGGGGGAATGGCAGGAAAAGGTGGGGCCTGGTGGGTGGGGGAAAGGGGGGTGGCAGAGGAAGGTGAGTGCAGGAACAAGCAGACTTCCTTGCTCGTTCCCCGTGCACATTCACTCCCACCCCCACTCCAACCTCGCTCACCCATTTCTTCCCCTTCCCCACCTCCCCCCCTCCCAGTCTCCCCCTCTCTCTCCCAGCTTCCCCCTTACCCACTTTCCCACTCCATGCCCCCAATCTCCCCTTCCTTGACTCACGGCCATCAGCATCGGTGGTAAAGTCAACAAGCGGCCGGAAGGGGTACCCGTTGAGACGACAACACTCGTGGCGCTCTCCACCCCTCCGAACACGGGCGAGCGGAAGAGAGCCCTCCGCACACGGGCGAGCGGAAGAGAGCCCTCCGCTTATGGGCGCCCCGTGGGCCACCCTGTGTGGGAAGGGTGAGGTGGGGGAAGGGTGAGGTGGGGGAAGGGTGAGGTGGGGGAAGGGTGCGATGGGGGAAGGGTGAGGTGGGGGAAGGGTGCGATGGGGGAAGGGTGCGATGGGGGAAGGGTGCGATGGGGGAAGGGTGCGATGGGGGAAGGGTGCGATGGGGGAAGGGTGCGATGGGGGAAGGGTGCGATGGGGGAAGGGTGCGATGGGGGAAGGGTGCGATGGGAGAAGGGTGCGATGGGGGAAGGGTGCGATGGGGGAAGGGTGCGATGGGGGAAGGGTGCGATGGGGGAAGGGTGCGATGGGGGAAGGGTGCGATGGGGGAAGGGTGCGATGGGGGAAGGGTGCGATGGGGGAAGGGTGCGATGGGGGAAGGGTGCGATGGGGGAAGGGTGCGATGGGGGAAGGGTGCGATGGGGGAAGGGTGCGATGGGGGAAGGGTGCGATGGGGGAAGGGTGCAGGGATTGAACTCTGGCAAGTCAAACGGACAGCTTGTGGGATGATTGTGGGGAGAGGGGACGGGCGGAGGGGAGGGGAGGAAAGGAAAAGCTACCTCGCTCAACCTCCCTCCCCGCACCACTGCCTCTCACCCGCGACCCCCACCCCCCACCACTGCCACTTACTCGCCCTCCCCGCACCACTGCCTCTCACCCGCTCTCACCATCCCCTCTCACCCGCCCTCACTGAGCACATGTGGCACAGGCAGTGAGGCAATGGGCACATGCACCCATGCACGCATGCACACACGCAGCGAGAAGCAGCATCACAGAACTCCGCGCAGTGTGCGCCAGTCTTGGCGGGCGCGCACCTGTTGCGCCCGCTCACTGTCAGCTCCAGTTGGAACTCCGCGCGCCGCGCGTCGCCTCATCGTCGCACGCCGCCAGCGCCACGGCCGTCCACCGCCCCACGCGCCCGCTCCCCCCGAGAACCACCACGCGCTTCTCGCCCCCGCTGCTTCGCTCGTCCCCGTCCCCGCCCCTCGACTCCTCCCCCTCATCCGCGCCGTCCGCCGCCTGCGCCGATGGCGCGCCGCCTGGCCGCCCCGCGGAGAGGGGCGAGCGGAGTGCGGCGACGGCAGAGAGGACTCGCGGCATGGCGGAGAGCGGCGGTAGGGGGGCGGAGCAGTGATATGGGTGATGCAAAACGCATGGCGGAATGAGAGGCGCGCAAAGCTAGTGCGCGCGGGGGAGGGGAAGCGCGGACATGGGGGTCGGAATGCAAGCGACAGACGCGGCGAGGGGGGGAGTTGTGTGGGAAGGAACTCGTGAAGGGGGGCGTTGGGGGACGCCCTGAGATGCGTTGAGGAACGCCAAGAGGAGTCTGGCCATGCCGCTGCGGGGGGAAAGGGGGGGCGTGAGCGTTCTGCTTCAAGTGGGTGCGGAGAGGGGGGGAGGAGTGACAACGAAAGGAGGGGGGAGCTTGAGGGAAGGGGGAAAGTCGTAGAGAATATGCCCTCTCATGGTCGCTCCACCCCATCCGTAGCTACAGCCTGCTGTTTCTCGTCGTTTGTAGCAGGAAATAGCAGAGCGACGGAGGGTAATAGATTCGGCGGGAAGCAAACACGGCGCGACATGAGGAAATAACAGCGCGACAGGGAGCAAGTCGTCGCGCTACGGTTGGGAAACCAAGCATACCCACTCCGTCCCTTGGTACTGACGTTTTCCAGCTTGCACGTTTTTCCAGAGCATAGCCTCTAAACGACGTCGACATCGAGATTTGCAAAAGCGGCGAAACGCGGAGGACAGGTGGAATAATCGCGTACCTATGCCTAATGGCGAAACATACTTGCAGATATGCACTCGGAATGCTCCTGGCGGCATTGCTAGTCGACAGACGTTTCCACGCTGTGCCTTATTATTCCTTTTCGTTGGCTCGTTTTTACACAAACATGAAAAATATTCACGAGGTTGCTCGGAAGGAGGAGCTTAGCGTGAGTCAATCAGCAACAAGACTTGTGATCCACTGTGCAACTGATTGGGCGGCTCGCTGTACAGCAAAGGGGAAACGTAGGCGAGGAAGCTCGGCGAATTCGAGCCTTGGTACGCGGTTTGGGGGCTTTCGCAGGGAGGTCGCACGGCGAGTCTCCGTGTCGAGCCTTTTTTTTCCGAACCTGACCCAACCTTTTCCAATTCGTTGGTCATCAGGGTACCGCGCTATCGAATGGGCCAGAGGTTCTCTTTGCTCTTTTCAAACCCTCGTATTTCCAACTCTTCTTACCAGTTCTCTCCCATTTTCCAGCCATTTCTCCCCACGTAATCAAGCATACCGGTATCTCTTTTGTTTTGTTATCGTCGTTCTCACGCTCTCGATTCGGTGCAGCGGCGAACCGTTTCGGAAAAACTTCTGGCAGCGGGCGAATGAGCGAAGGGCGAATCCACGCAGTCGTATAGCTTGCATACGAACTCAGTCTTATACCCGTGTCGCCTCCCTTCGCGGCCTCGCCTCGCCTCCCTCGCATCGGCTACTATTGCGGGCTCGCCTCGCATTGCTTCGCCTCGCAGGTACCCTCCCCGCAATGTCGCGCACCTCGCATTCGGGGCATTAGCCGAACAAGCGCCCTGCCGCGTTCGCCCATCCGCAAGCGCCCTGCCGCGTTCGCCCATCCGCAAGCGCCCTGCCGCGTTCGCCCATCCGCAAGCGCCCTGCCGCGTTCGCCCATCCGCAAGCGCCCTGCCGCGTTCGCCCATCCGCAAGCGCCCTGCCGCGTTCGCCCATCCGCAAGCGCCCTGCCGCTTTCTCCCATTCACAGGCGCCCTGCTGCATTCACGCCTCCTCCACCTCTCATGCCCCCCTATCAATCTCCCCGGATCGTGATACGCCATTCATTCTCCCATCGGCACGCACCGCACCGCGTTCTCCCATCCGTAAGCATCCTGCCGCATTCTCCCAAGCGTATGCGCTTTGTCGTCTCCTCCTTTACTGCCTTGCACCACCGTCCCCTTCCCCCTCGCCTCCCGTCCTTGCGCCTCGACCCTTACCCACTCTGGTCCCTTCCTCCCTTGCAGGGAAGTCCCATCCCCCCTCTCATCCCTTCCTCCCTTGCGCCACCGTCCCATCCTCCTTCTCCTCCCTTCCTCCCGTTGGCAGGTCCTCTGATAGGCGCGCGCGAACAGGTGGGGTGATGGAGCTGTGTGGCGTGGCGGAGGTGGCGCCGTCGGCCAGCGCGGAGGTGGCGCCGTCGGCCAGCGCGGAGGTGGCGCCGTCGGCCAGCGCTGAGGCGTCTGCGGAAGGGAGTAGTGTGGAGGAGGGGGAGGTGGAGGTGGTGGATTTGGAGGAGGACGAGAAAGGCGGGAAAGAGAAAACGGAGGAAGTGGAAGGGGGGGTAGAGGAAGGGGAGGTAGGGGAAGGGGAGGAAGAGGAAGGGGAGGAAGAGAAATTTGAGCTAAAGGAAGGAAAGGAAAAGGAAAAGACACAGGGGGAGTGGGTGGCGGAGTGTGAGGAAAACTATAAGGAGGTTGTGTTCCCGAAGAATGGAAAGGACAGTGTGGCAGTGAGGTGGAAGGATGTAGAGCAGCTGAAACCAGGAAGATTTCTCAATGACACACTCATTGACTTCTACCTCAAGTGAGTGGGTTGATTTCCTATAAAAAGCAGCTAATGTTTTCACATTCGCCACCCTCCTCTGAACTGATTTCAACATTTACCCCCCTCTCCCCCTCTGTGTGCCCGCAGGCATCTGGAGGTACAAGCCATGGAACAGGGCCGCATCGCCTTCCCGCTTGCTGCAGGCGACCAATCACTGCCCGCACCACTGCCACCAGCAGCAACTGCAACAGTATCAGAGGCAGCGGAAGAAGGTGCAGGTGGGGCGAGGCAGGCCCCTCCCTCAGTGCATTTCTTCAACTGCTTCTTCTTCAAGAGGCTCATCGGCGAGGAGAAGGTCGACCCCTTACCTCCCACCCGCACTCCCGCTGCTGCTGCTGCCACCACCCGTGCTGCTGCTTCTGCCACCACCCGTGCTGCTACTTCTGCCTGCACCCGTGCTGCTGCTTCTGCCACCACCCGTGCTGCTGCTTCTGCCACCACCCGTGCTGCTGCTTCTGCCACCACCCATGCTGCTGCTGCTGCTGCTGCTGCTGCTGCTGCTGCCGCTGCTGCTGCTGCTGCTGCTGCTGCAGCGGCAGTGGCAGCAAATGGGGGGAGTGGGGGGGAGGGGGGGAAGGCAGCGCACTCCCGCGTGCGTACGTGGACCAGGGGGGTGAACCTCTTCGCCTGTGACTTCGTCTTCATCCCCGTCAACCTCAGGTGGGTGGGAGGGACCCCTGTGGGCCTCAGGGGGGGCCTCTGTGAGACTAACGTGGCCTCCCCCTATTCTTTTAGTTTCGTTTTTATGTGGGGCCACAGCTGTGCGATTCGTTTCCATCATGCATATATGGATGTGACACACATGTGTGGGTGCTTCTTGTCCTTGTGTACTCGTGCTTGGCGTGCATGCATGCATGCGTTTCTTCACGCATGATTCTCCTGAGGCGTCGTTGTTCATGCAAAGCAAAAGGATGCGTTTACATATGTGCCCTTTTTGGGCTCCTCTTCTGTGCTCCTCGTCTGTGCTCCTCCTGCATGGTGTTCCTTTCCTGTGTGCACTTGACTATCCCCTCGGCCGTTATCACCGTCGGAAAGACTCTTGCGCCCATCCACCAAACATGCTATTATGCGAAGCAAGATCAACCATGCAGAACAAGATGCTTCTTCAGTTCATAAGGTTCCACGCAATCTTGCCCTGTCTGCACTGCCTTGCATTGTGTGCGCCATTCTTCTTTGCAGCCTGCACTGGAGTCTTCTGGTCATTTGCCATCCCAACCGAGTCGTGTCAGTGCCACCACCGGCACCACCATCATTGCAAGCAGCAGCGGCACCACCGCTCCGTGACCCAGCTCCCACGCGCTCATCGCACCACCCCGCCCACGAGGCAGCGCCGTGCATTCTGCACTTTGACTCGCTGCCCGGGCTGCACGGGGACGTGGAGGAGGCCGTGCGCTCGTGAGTCGTGCCTGGGAGGGAGGGTGGGTGATGGTGCCGTGCTGTACTGTGTGCATGGCAGAAGCGATGTTGGGTGGGGTAAGGGTTGTGGGATGGGGGCTGCACGGGGACGTGGAGGCGGCCGTGCGCATGTAAGCTGGGCTGTGGGGGGGGGGTCCAGGACACGGTTGTGGGGTGATGGGAGAGTTGTTGGGTGGGGGTAAGGGTTGGGGGTAGGGGGGGAAGGGGATGCAGGGCCCGTCTGCGTCTGCCTGCTGCGTGCATTCTGCACCTTGACTCGCTACCGGGCTGCATCTCCACGTGGAGGCGGCTGTGAGCATGTCAGTTGAGCTTTGGGGGGGCGTGGCGTGGCGTGGCGTGAAGGAAAAGATGCCTGATGGGAGAAGGGTTGTGGGTTGGGTGGGTCCGGGCTGGGGCAAGGAAGTGGGGAGGCGATAGAGAGGTTAAATTGGGGGAGTGGGGAAGTGCAGGACCCGTCCGCCTGCCTGCTGTGTGCAGTCTGCCCTGTGCTTTAACAGTTGAATTGCTTGCTGCAATGGCTGCATGTGGACGTGTCACTCTGGGAATGTGAGTCGTGCAAAGCAAGAGTGGATAATGAGGGCCAGGGGTCGAGGTGGGTGCATGGCTCTGTGCTGCGACTTGATACATTCCACTCACTGCACCCCTCACCACCACCGTGACACCCTTCACCATCCATCGCACCCCACCACCAGGTACCTCCAGCAGGAGTACCTCGTGCGCCACAACGTCTCCCCCACGCCAGTGATCACAAACGCTTTCAACAATCTGCCTGTGTTTCGCCCAAAGGTAATGCTAACAGACTTCCCACAACCTACCCTACCGTGTTGTTCCTATCGCACTCAAGGAGCGCCACTATTCAGCGGTCGGAGACATTGACTACCTCAAATGTTCTCCTCACACGTCCAGACTTTACCGCTCGAGAATTCACCCCTCACAGCTCGAATTCTTTCTTACAAGGATTTCCACCTGGCATGACATCATTCTGTGCTTCGCCTCTTTTTTATTTGTCCTTCGATCCGCCGCCAGAGTAGCCACCATCATAATCATTCTCTTGCGGTGCGTACATTTGCCTTACCTTTACAGCTCTCCTGCATGCCGCTCACCGTCTGCCGTGCGCCTGCCTGCTTCTCGCTCCCCTGCCTCTCTCCATGCGCAGGTCCCCCGGCAGCCGAATACGAGTGACTGCGGGGTGTTCCTGCTGCTGTACGCGCAGGAGCTGCTCTCCTGCATGCCGCTCACCGTCTGCCGTGCGCCTGCCTGCCACCAGTGCAAAGAAGTGGTGAGTGTGCTTGTGTGCGCTTGCTGCTTGCCGGCAATGTGCTTGCAGACGAGTTATGAAAGCGCATTCGTGTCCGTTGTACTATGTGATGGTACAGCATGCATGCATTGTGGTGCGAGCCGGCATTGCATATTTTTTTCCTCTCCACCTTCGTCCTCACTCACCCATCATCATCACTCTGCGTGCACAGTATTATATATATGTATATATATTGTATACACCCTTTAACGCTCGCTCTCAACTCTCCCAACCGAACACACCTGTGTGATCCCATTTTTGTTTCACGTGTTGCTCCCTCGTTGTTTCTCCCTTCCCCTCCCTTCCCCCTCCCCCCCCCACACCCACTCCCCCCAGCTGTCCTTCCCCTGGCTGACTCCCGACTCAGCCAAGCCCATGCGGGCCGCCATCCGCCGCACCGTGCTGCTGCGATCCGGCCTGGAAAAGCTCGTGACACGCGAGCCCATGGCAGAGGTGAGCCTTGACAGACGTTCCGTAGTTCTAGGTCACAGTGGGCAGAGGTGAGCCTTGACCAAGGTTCCGTAGTTCTAGGTTACAGTGGGCAGAGGTGAGCCTTGACAGAGGTTCCGTAGTTCTAAGTCACAGTATGTCAACTCTGCTCTTCCGCCTCTCGCTCCTGTCCCTCCACCTCTCCCTTTGCATGTGCTATCGTTCCCGCCAGGCATACGCGGAGATGGAGGAGAGACAGGGCAATGCTCGCATGACGCATGTCCTGCGGTTGCTCGCCCAGGCAGAGCAGGTATAATTTGATGCTATGGTGTGGTGGAGGTAGTTATGATGCGGGTCTGCTGTGGTGCGGGTCTGCTGTGGTGCGGGTCTGCTGTGGTGCGGGTCTGCTGTGGTGCGGGTCCCCCCCAGGGGGTTGGGCCACGGCTCAGTTGCAGTGGGGGGGTACGCCGCACGAGTGTACTTGGCTGCACCCATCGCTGCCGCAGGTACGCCCCATACTTTGGGGCTTAGCGTCGAAGCAAAGGCAGGCAGCAGCAGTGCGCCGTAAGTTTAAAAAGGCTGTAGTCCCCTCGCGGTTGAAGACGCAGTGCTTTAAGACGCAGCCAAATCCGCCTGAGGTGAGGCACCACACTAAACCCAGACCATCAGAACAACCATTAGTACATTTGATATAAGAACATGTCGCTCGTATATTATGAATGCTTAAGCGAATGTTGTGTGCAGGCTGAGATGTTTGGGCAGATTGTTTGAGGGCATTATATGACCCTGTACTGCTGCACACCCATGCCCCCTTCGCCCTTCCACGACTCTCTGCCTCACCCGCTATTTCTTCATCTCCCACACAGCACACATCCTTACGCCATTCCCCTAGCCCACTCACACCTCTTTCCCTATCCTCCTCTCTTACCCCTTCCATCCTGTTGTTTTTGTCCTTCATCTATTTCTGTGCAGGCAACAGCAGCAGCAACACCAACAGCAGCAGCAACAGCCACAGCCACAGTAGCAGCAACACCAACAGCAGCAGCAACAGCCACAGCCACAGTAGCAGCAACACCAACAGCAGCAGCAGCAGGCGAGGAGGAGGATTCGCGGGCGCGGTTGTCAGCTGGTGTGTTGCAGCAGGAGCAGGAGGAGGAGGAGGAGGAGGAGGAAAGGGCGGCAGCAGGTGGAGGGGGGCGCGAGGGAGGTGGGGGGTCAGGGGGGCATCATGATGGACCTTGATCCGGCCGACCGCCACTCGCAGGACGAGGTGAGCCACGGAAAGCCAGGGGCGAGGGGGTGGGGGTGGGCGTGAGGAAGGCAGTGAGATTTAGCTCCTAACTGAACCTACTTGTTCAGTTTTGGCCCTCTCAAGTCGACCCAACCCAGAAAGCCAGGTCGATCCGACCCAGCATAAATTGGGTTTGGGACCCGACCCGGCCAGATGTGTACCCGGCTGAACACGGCCGAGTCGGTGATTGGAAAAGGTCGGCCCGACCTGGGCAAAAAGGGTCATCAAAATTCTTAAGCATAGGCACCAGAGCAGTACAACAACCATTGGTGCCTCTATGATTACTTATAACTTGATATGATTGAGGGTCTGTACTGCTTCCCACCCACGTCTATCCGCCTAATCCGTTAGTATCTTTTCACCTCAATCCCCCTCACACCTCTTTGCCTCACCCGCTCTCTTCCCCCTTCATCCCGTTATTTTTGTCCGACCTCTATTTCTGTCCAGGAAAGAGCAGCATCAGTAGCAACACCATCACCAACAGTTGCAGTTGCAGCATCACCTCCAGCAGCATCAGGAGCAACAACAGTGGCAGCAGGAGCAGCAGGAGCAGCAGGCGAGGAGGCGGGAGATGCGCGGGCGCGTTTGTCAGCTGGTGAGTTGCAGCAGGAGCAGCAAGAGGAGGAGGCGGCGGCGATGGGAGGGCGGCAGCAGGTGGAGGGGGGGGCGGGGGGGGTGGGCGAGCAGTGGAGCTCAATGGATGTTGATGCTGCGGACCCCGCCACACAGGACCAGGTGAGCCCAGAGGACCCACGGGCGAGGGGGTGGGCAGCATGCACATGAGGAGGGGCACGAGGACGACTTGTGAGCCCTTCGTGCTGACAGCTGGTGGGAGAGGGGCCTCTGCCGTGGCTACGCGGGTGCTGAGAGGGCGTGTGTGTGCATCCAGCAGGTGAGTGCGTCAAGTGAGGCAACCATGATCTCACGCGTGTGTGGGAGGGGTATGGTATGGTGCGGACATGTGTGCGACGGCGGTCGACAGAGAGTTGTTCGCCTGGGCTGCGAGGGAAGCCGGCGCCCAGACCCGCGCCTGTTGCGCTTCTCCCCGCGGTGACGTGCAGTGGGTGAGAGGCAGCAGGTGAGAGGCAGTGGGTGAGAGGCAGTGGGTGAGAGGCAGTGGGTGAGAGGCAGCAGGTGAGAGGCAGTGGGTGAGAGGCAGTGGGTGAGAGGCAGTGGGTGAGAGGCAGCAGGTGAGAGGCAGTGGGTGAGAGGCAGCAGGTGAGAGGCAGTGGGTGAGAGGCAGCAGGTGAGAGGCAGTGGGTGAGAGGCAGCAGGTGAGAGGCAGTGGGTGAGAGGCAGCAGGTGAGAGGCAGTGGGTGAGAGGCAGCAGGTGAGAGGCAGTGGGTGAGAGGCAGCAGGTGAGAGGCAGTGGGTGAGAGGCAGCAGGTGAGAGGCAGTGGGTGAGAGGCAGCAGGTGAGAGGCAGTGGGTGAGAGGCAGCAGGTGAGAGGCAGTGGGTGAGAGGCAGCAGGTGAGAGGCAGTGGGTGAGAGGCAGCAGGTGAGAGGCAGTGGGTGAGAGGCAGCAGGTGAGAGGCAGTGGGTGAGAGGCAGCAGGTGAGAGGCAGTGGGTGAGAGGCAGCAGGTGAGAGGCAGTGGGTGAGAGGCAGCAGGTGAGAGGCAGTGGGTGAGAGGCAGCAGGTGAGAGGCAGTGGGTGAGAGGCAGCAGGTGAGAGGCAGTGGGTGAGAGGCAGCAGGTGAGAGGCAGTGGGTGAGAGGCAGCAGGTGAGAGGCAGTGGGTGAGAGGCAGCAGGTGAGAGGCAGTGGGTGAGAGGCAGCAGGTGAGAGGCAGTGGGTGAGAGGCAGTGGGTGAGAGGCAGTGGGTGAGAGGCAGCAGGTGAGAGGCAGCAGGTGAGAGGCAGTGGGTGAGAGGCAGCAGGTGAGAGGCAGTGGGTGAGAGGCAGCAGGTGAGAGGCAGTGGGTGAGAGGCAGCAGGTGAGAGGCAGTGGGTGAGAGGCAGCAGGTGAGAGGCAGTGGGTGAGAGGCAGCAGGTGAGAGGCAGTGGGTGAGAGGCAGCAGGTGAGAGGCAGTGGGTGAGAGGCAGCAGGTGAGAGGCAGTGGGTGAGAGGCAGCAGGTGAGAGGCAGTGGGTGAGAGGCAGCAGGTGAGAGGCAGTGGGTGAGAGGCAGCAGGTGAGAGGCAGTGGGTGAGAGGCAGAAGGTGAGAGGCAGTGGGTGAGAGGCAGCAGGTGAGAGGCAGTGGGTGAGAGGCAGCAGGTGAGAGGCAGTGGGTGAGAGGCAGCAGGTGAGAGGCAGTGGGTGAGAGGCAGTGGGTGAGAGGCAGTGGGTGAGAGGCAGTGGGTGAGAGGCAGCGGGTGAGAGGCAGTGGGTGAGAGGCAGCAGGTGAGAGGCAGTGGGTGAGAGGCAGCAGGTGAGAGGCAGTGGGTGAGAGGCAGCAGGTGAGAGGCAGTGGGTGAGAGGCAGCAGGTGAGAGGCAGTGGGTGAGAGGCAGCAGGTGAGAGGCAGTGGGTGAGAGGCAGCAGGTGAGGAGAGGCAGCGAGGCGAGTTGCATGGTGGCTATCTTGAAAGTGGGGACTGCATGGCTGCAAGCTGCTTCTGCACGAATGCAGCTCCGCCCTCCTGTGCACCAACGTGGTACAGGTAGGCCCTCCGTGCTCTAGGGCACACCTGCGGGGAGGCCTTCTGATTGCACCTGCGAGTCAGCCCAGCCCCACATTGGCGCGGGTTGTGTTGGCGCGGGTTGTGTTGTGTGGGAGGCCCAGTGCTGATAGCCTGTTGCTGACGTGGTTGAAGGCTGCTGTGCAGTCGCCCGGGTGTCCGACGGAAGGTAACGCCATCAGCATATGCCACGCAGAGCACGTTGGGGTGGGCAGCGGCGGTGGCGGAGAGGGCGGGGTGGATTCCGGCTGCGAAAAGAAGGAAACACTAGGCGAACGCCCCTCTCGCTAAGTAATGGTGGGTTTGTGAAGCCAGCATCGATGGCTGGGCGTAGGTGAAGTGCACCAGTGGGGCAGTTGGTAGAGCGGTGAGTGGGCGAGTGAGTGCATGATGGCGTCTCGGTTAAAGGGCTTTGAGAGGTCCGCCTGCAGAATCAAGGCCTCGGGGTGCGTGGACAGGCAAGTTCTTGCTGCGTGCATGATTGTTTCCGCTCGCCCTCTGACCGCCACACCAACTTGTAAGGGCAGGAAGAAGTGCCGTGCAGCACCGGCAGCCACTGTGAGGGCAGGCTGAGCTACCAGCCGGGTAAAACACTCGCCTCTGCCTAAGGGCCGCGCCGCACGTGGGGCTTGGCCAGGGCGAGAAGGCGAGAGGAGGTGAAGGCTAGTGGTGGGTGCCTGGACAGTGGCGGAGGGCATACACACCGGGGTTGCCTCTAGGACGAGCGTGGCCCTACGCAGGCTGTTACAACGCACAACCCTTCTGCTCTAGCCCTCCATCTCCAACTCCCTCTCCCTCTTCCCCTCCTCTCTCTCTCACTCTCCCTCTCCCTCTCCCTCTCCCTCTCCCTCCCCCCCTCCCTCTCCCTCTCACTCTCCCTCTCCCCCTCTCTCTCATTCTCCCTCTCCCTCTATTTTTATCCAGGCGGCACTGCCAACACCACCAACAGCAGCAGGCGCAACAACAGGCGCAGCAACAGGCGCAGCAACAGGCGCAGCAACAGGCGCAGCAACTGGCGCAGCAACAGGCGCAGCAAGAGGTGGCTCAGCACAAGCGGAGGAAGCAGCAGCCACTTGTGGCCCTTCCAATGCTCCTGTAGCATTAACAGCAGCGGACGCA